CTTTATGTTTTTAAAGAAACATTTTTGTTTCCAAAGTGAGGTGTGACCTGCACCTCACGGGCTGTGATGACAGGACCCAGAGATATGAGTAAAAACGTGTACTTTTCTGAGCTGCATTCAGAGGAGAAAACTGGCTGCTGTTGTCAGCATCCACATTCCTAGCTCAAAAGATGCCAGGGATCTTTTATCACGTCCCTCAGATGAAGAGATGCACGAGAAAAGAATGGCTATCACTTTATCCTGCTCCCTAGAATAGGAAGCGCCCCCCCTCCCCCAACTAATTTAAAACATCCTTCAGCAAATCCTCAGCTTTTGGAGGAGTTGCTAAGCTTGCCTCCCCCAAACTAAGTGGCGGGAGTATGGAGCTAGAAGAATAGCTTCCCTGAAGTCCAATCCAATCCAATCCAATCCAATCCAACATGGCGGGTTGGATTGTGCTTACTGCGTGCAAAGGGATGTACAAGGAAGGCACTGGGGATACTAAGACAAAACGGAAAGAATAGCACTCACTCTCAGGGAGCCTGAATTCTCTTGGGGGAAGGGGACCCATAATAGGTAAACAGATTAGGATATAGGGTTAATTCGAGGAGACAGGGCACATTAGCTAGAGAATGTCCAACTTTGGAACTTGTAAGTCACCCCAAAATGTTTAAGTTCTTTAAAAACAGGTGGATAGAGCACTGGACTTAAGAGTCAGGAAGATAGGAGTTCAGATTTGACTCAGACACTTAGTTGTGTGTGACCCTGGGCAAGTCATTTAACTTCCGTCTGCCTCAGTTTCTTCACCTGTAAAATGGAGATAACCTCCCAGGATTATCGTGAGGCTCAAATGAGATAATATGTATAAAGTACTTTGCAAATCTTAAAGTGCTGTATGAGCATTATTAGAAAAAACCACATCACAGTCAGTCAGGAGTCCAAAGAAACAGTAAAAGGAAATTTTAGGAGTGAAAATTAACGTGACTTTTAGACAATGAATACAGCAAAGAAGGCCAGTGGATTAATTCTGTGCCTGATAGGTGACTGAGAAGATGAGAAATGAAAGGAAACTTTTGTCTCATTGCTGAAGTATTGTATAATGAATAACAACACCGTCCGGATGAGCTTTGGCGACTAATCTGGGAAGTGAGACAGAGGAAAGAGTCAAGGGCGACTCCAAGGTCGCGAAGCTGGATAAATGGGAAGAAAATCATGTCCAGAACAGAAAGGGGCCGGTCCCATGACAGCTGAAGCCACGGGAGGAAAGGAGATGGGTTGTGGAGGAAGGGAGCACGGAGTAAAGAAAAGGGCACTGAGGATAGAGCCAGAGGGAAAAGCCTTTAGAAGGGAAGCCTGTTTCCCATCGCCTGATTATCCTACTATAAGGAAACCAACCAGACATTGGAAGCAGATTGTTCTGAGGATGACCTGAGGGGCAGCTGGGTGGTGCAGTGGATAGAGCACTGGATTTGGAATCAGGAAGACCTGAGTTCACATCCAGCCTCAGACACGTACTAGCTGGGTGACCCTGGGCAAGTCACTTCAACCTGCTTGCCTCAGTTTCCTCATGTCAAATGAGCTGGAGAAGAAAATGGCAAACTATTCCAGTATCTTTGCTAAGAAAATCCCAAATTGGGTCACGAAGAGTCAGACACAACTGAAGTAACTGAACTCTTGATTTATAATATAAAAAGGATTCATTTCTTTGTAAGAAAATCCTCCCTGCCTCAGTTTTCTTGTCTTTAAAATGGGTACAGTGATATCTATAGTGCCTACTTCACAGGATCATAGAAGCATAGCTATGATCATAGATTTCGAGTTACAAGGGATTTTAAAGATCATCTTAGTCCAACCCCCTCTTTTTATAGATGAGGAATATTTGGCCTAGAGAGCTTAAGTGAAGTTAACAGAATACCTCCATGGCCACACAGGTAGAAAGGGAGAGTTGAACCCAAGTCCAATGATTACAAAGCCAGTATTGTGTTCACAGTACCACTCAGTCTCCCTTGTGAGGTCCAAATGTATATAAAGTACTTTGCAAGACTTAAAGAGCTTCCCACCATCAGATAGAAAGAGAAATCCTATTTAAAATAACTGCAGACAATATAAAATATTTGGGAGTTTACCTGCCAAGACAGACCCAGGAACTATATGGACCCAATTATGAAACACTTTCCACACAAATAAAGTCAGATCTAAATAATTGTAAAAATATCAACTGCTCATGGATAGGCTGAGCTAATATAATAAAAATGACAATTCTACCTAAATTAATTTACTTATTAAGTGCCATACCAATACAACTACCGAAACATTATCTTATAGAGCTAGAAAAAATAATAACAAAATTCATCTGGAAGAACAAAAAGTCAAGAATATCAAGGGAATTAATGCAAAAAAAATGCAAAGGAAGGTGGCTTAGCCATACTAGACCTAAAACTATATTATAAAGCAACAATCATCAAAACTATTTGGTATACTGGCTAAGAAATAGAATGGCAGATCTGGAATAGGTTAGGTACACAAGACATGATAGTCAATGACTATCGTAATCTACTGTTTGATATACCCAAAGATCCCAGCTTCTGGGATAAGAACTCACTATTTGACAAAAACTGCTGGGAAAACTGGAAAAGAGTATGGCAGAAACTAGGCATAGACTAACATCTTACACTGTATACCAAGATAAGGTGAAAATGGGTACATGATTTGGACATAAAGTGTGAGACTATAAGCATATTAAGAGAACAAGAAATAGTTTATCTGGCAGATCTGGGGAGAAGAGAAGACTTTATGACCAAATAAGAGATAGAGAATTTTATGAAATGCAAAATGGATAATTCTGATTACATTAAATTAAAAAGGTTTTGCACAAACAAAGCCAATGCAACCAAAATTAGAATGGAAGCAGAAAGCTGGGAAACAATTATTACAACCAGTGTTTCTAATAAGGGCCTCATTTCTAAAATATAGAGAGAACTGAGTCAAATGTATAAGAATATAAGTCATCCTCGAGTTGATAAATGGTCAAAGGATATGAACAGGCAGTTTTCAGATGAAGAAATCAAAGGTGTCTAGAGTCATATGAAAAAATGCTCTAAATCACTACTGATTAGAGAAATGCAAATCAAAACAACTCTGAGTTACCACATCACACCTATCAGATTGGCTAATATGACAGATAAGAAAAATGATAAATGTTGGAGAAGGTATGGGAAAATTGGAACACTAATGCATTGTTGGTGGAGTTGTGAAATGATCCAACCATTTTGGAGAGCAATTTGGAACTATGCCCAAAGGGCTATAAAAATGTGCATACCCTTTGACCCAGCAATAGCACTTCTAGGACTGTATCCCAAAGAGATCATACAAATGGGAAAAGGACCCACATGTACAAAAATATTTATAGCAGCTCTTTTGGTGGTGGCAAAGAACTGGAAATTGAGGGGATGCCCATCAACTGGGGAATGGCTGAATAAGTTGTGGTATGTGAATGTAATGGGCTACTATTGGGCTATAAGAAATGATGAGCAGGCAGATTTCAGAAAAACCTGGAAAGACTTACATGAATTGATGCTGAGTGAAGTAAGCAGAACCAGGAGAACGTTGTATACAGTAATAGCCACGTTGTGCAATGACTAACTTTGATTGACTTAGCTCTTCTCAGCAATGCAAAGATCTAAGACATCTCCAAAAGTCTCATGATGGAAAATGCTATCCACATCCAAAGAAAGATCTATGGAGTCTGAATGCAGATTGAAACATACTATTTTCAGTTTGTTGTTGTTTTTTTTTCTTTCTCATGGTTTTTTCTTTTTGTTCTGATTCTTCTTTCATACCATAACTAATGTGGAAATATGTTTAACATGATAGTACATGTATAGCCTATATCAGATTGGGGATGGGGAAGGGAGGGGAGGGCGTAAGGAACATTTGGAGCTCAAAAATCTTATAAAAAAAGGATGTTTAAAACTATCTTTACATGTAATTGGAAAAAATAAAATACTACTAAGTGGAAAAAAAATAATAATAACAAGACTTAAAGAACTATCCATGATAATGGCCAGCTAGCCTTGGAGTGGGAAGACCAGAGTTCAAGAAACCTACTGGCTGTGTGACCCTGGACAAATCATTTAACCTCCTTCTGCTGTAAGCATGTGTTGTTATTCAGTCATTTCAGTTGTATCGACTCTTCGTGACCGCATTTCGGATTTTCTTGGCAAAGATACTGGAGTGGTTTGCCATTTCCTCCTGCAGCTCATTTTACAGTTGAGGAAACAGGCAAACAGGTGAAATGATTTGCCCAGAGTCACACAGCTTTTAAGTGTCTGAGGCTGGATTTGAACTCAAGAACTCTGTGCACTATGGCACCACCTGGCTGCCCTGTGCTATAAACAATTAAGACCATTAACTGAAGATGAGTGAGGACCTGCATCCAGAGAGGGAGTTTCCTCACCTGAGAGTTCCCTGTGCCAATGAAACCACAGGTCCAGACCCCATCTCTTATTAACAACCAATACTACAAGATGATCTAATATTAATAATCTGAATAATGTCATTAATGATTGATGAGGATGATGATGAGAGCAATGACAGTGAGAGACTAAGCAGTGGGAATCCAGAGCCCGGGTGGGAGGGGCCAGCTCTTTCTGCTGAAGATCCCTCAGAAATGAAAGAAAAGCAGTCTTCAATTATGATGTAAATCAATGAGAAAAATAGGATTAATTTCCTTTTTAAATTGCCTTATGAAAAAAACAAACAAAATTGCCTTATGCACAACTTTTACCAGATAAAATATCCCAATGTAGGGGTAGCTAGGTGGTACAGTGGATAGAGCACCAGCCCTGAAATCAGGAGGACCTGAGTTCAAATCTGGCCTCAGACCAAACACTTTATGCTTAGCTAGCTGTGTGATCTTGGGCAAGTCACTTAACCCCAATTGCCTAAAAAAAAAAACTCGTAATTATTTGGAAAAACAACCTTCTCGTGACCCAATCTCCTTTTCAATGATGTTTTTCCAGCCCCGCAGTCCGTCCTTAGAAGTGAATCGACTCTTCAGACTACAAACACAGAGCAAGAAGTAGTAGAGAAGCCCCCGCTCAAGGTGGGTGCCCCCTTCCCTCTTTTCCTGCCACTCCGTCAGTGGGTCGGCCGATGGGTGGGGACTCTCCGAGGCCCAACGTTTCTGCTGCCGTGTCTGGAGGAGGGAGGATCCCCCGGGGTGGGGGCTTTCTTCTCTGGTCATAGTCTCTGACTCCTCTAGAACTTGGCCTAGACAATTTAGTGATGGCTGAGTTGAGCTGTGCCCTGCCTCCTGTTAATAAACAGATTAACAGATTTATCTCTCCATGTGTACCTGGTCCCCTGGTAGAGCCTGCCAGAACTTACCTATGCTGGAGTCTGTAAGAACCCTCCACGATGATGGGTGGGAGGAGGACTTCAGTGGAGGGAGAGGGCGGGGACTAGAATGGAAATTCATGGTAGCCTATATCCACTCTGTATGAAGTTTCATGAAAATGCAATAATTATACTAATAAAGATAAGAATAGTCGATAAATAGCCATTAACCATTTATTTAGCACCTACTATATTCCAAATGGCACAGAGGCAGCTAGATGGCTCAGTGGGTAGAGCATGGAGTTAGGAGGACCTGAGTTCAAATCTAGCCTCAGATACTTACTAGCTGTGTGACCCTGGGCAAGTCACTTAACATCTGTTTGTCTTAATCTACTGGAAAAGGAAATAGCAAATCACTCCAGGATCTTTGCCAAGAAAACTCCATGGACAGTATGGTCCACAGGATCATGGAGAGCCAGACACAACTGAACAAAAATAATATGCCAAGCCCTGGTCTAAGCACTGGGTATTTGAGGAAAAACAAAAAAAACAGTGCCTGCCCTTGAGGAGCTTACAGTCTAATATGAGAACAAGATAATAATAATAATAATAATAATTTGCTTTTGTTTACTAGACCTGTGATTTCGTTGGTATAGAGAACTCCTGAAGAAAAAAAGATCCCGCCACCATTTCAACCTCTCTGCAACTTAGGGTCTTAGTTATCTGTGGCACTGAGAGGTTATGTGAATTGCCCACGTTCACCCAGCAGGATGGGTCAGGTCAGGGGCCAGGGGTGGAACTTGAGCTCAGGTCTTTCTCTCTCCAAGGATGAGTCTTTATTTTTTATTTTATTTTATTTTTTTTGGTTAGGCAATTGGGGTTAAGTGACTTGCTGCCAGAGTCACACAGCTAGTAAGTGTTATGTGTCTGAGGTCGGGATTTGAATTCAGGTCCTCCTGACTCCAGGACCAGTACCCTATCCACTGTGCCACCTACCTGCCCCAAGCTTTTGTCTTGTATCCCATGCTGCCTCTCTAATAATAACAGATATTTAAACAGTACCTAAAGATCTCTAGAGCTTTTATGTATACTGTTTAGCTTTTTAGAGTAGTTCAGTTATTAATACATCCCCATAACTAATAATAGCTTTGTATAGTATGTATATAGGGCTTTAAATCTGCAAAGTGTTTTTCCTTTGCTCATTTGATCCCAAAAGCTGTTGAACAACACCCTTCCTGTAGAGTGGGACCCCCTTTATCACGGTGAATGTGACATCTGATTGCACCAAACCAGAAATCCAAGCATGCTCTGCTTGCATAGGCCTCCTCTTGGCAGGAGAACTTGAGGAAGGCCCCCAGCATTTTTTGGGGGGCCCTCTGTGGTGAATGTGTAGCAGTCAGTATGGTGGGAGTTGATTGAGGGCTGATCTTGGAGTCAGAAGACCTAGGTTCAAATCCTGCCTTTGGCCCTTGCTTTCTGTGTGACTTTGGGTAAGGCTCTGGTATGTAAATCAGTGGTGGGAAAAATAAGATTCATTCATTTTTTTAAAAAAAATTATTTATGCCCAGCTGAGCTTCAGCTCCCTCATCTTGTAAAAGGAGGGAATTGGCCCAGATGCCTCTGAGGTACCTTTAATATCTAGGAGCGTGTGGTCCCATGACATGGGCACGATTGGCCCAGGATGGGTAGGCACCTGCCCCGTCCGAGAGGGCAGAGTTGGCCTATTGGTGTCCCATCCCAAAGGCCAGGAAAGTTTTCCCTCTCCAAAGGCAACCAGGGCATGTTTATGCCAATCCGCTGAAATGTGGATGGCTCTCAGCAAATGAAGAGGAAGATCAAAGTTAGAATTCACAGCCAAATTTCTAGCGTCCTCCTCTAAGGAATCTTGTTACAATGCTACTCCTGTCCCTGGGCTTTGGGCACCAGAAAATAACTCCAGTCTTTTTGAAGGTGTCTGACTTTTTTTTTTCCTTTGGAGGAAGGGTACAAGAAATATACATATTCCTATGTCAAAGCTATTTGTTTCCTGTGTTTCAGAAAATCGTCAAGCAGATAGTTGAAAGACTTTACCTTCAGGTGTGTTATGATTCCGTTCCCGAAGAATTTCTGAATCAAAATATCGTTTTCTTTCTCAGAAATACAAAAGGTATGCATATTTCACTTGTTTCCTACATTGTTACAGCACGGAACATGCTTGCAGAATTGAAAGCAAGTTCTATTCATTAGGAGCATTCTGGGGCGTAATTTTACCTCTCCGAATTTGTGCAAACTTTCCCATGGTGGTGGAGATCCTTCGTTGATCCTTTTATTAATTTTATTCTCTCTCCTTAGACTCCCAGTTCCTTGTCCCTTCTTGACCCATTATCATCTGGTTTCCATTCCCACAACTTCCCTGAAGCTGTTGTTTCATAGGTTTCTGTCCCCCTCCAAATTCAACAATATTTTGTCAGTCTTTTTCCTCCTTAACCTGTCTGCAGCCTTTGACAACCTGTCTGTCCCTTGAAACTCACCTCCTTTGCCCTCTGGGAGAATGTAGTTTCTTAGTTCCTTTGCAGTGGTGTGCTGGGAAATCTGTAACAAAAAAATTCTCAAAAAAAAAAAAAGAAATTTAAAAGTATAATTATACACACACGCACATAACTTTATTATGCATTTTACTGACATAAAGGATGTGCAGCACCCAATTTACAAATAGCAATAAATTATTCAATACTCTTTGTTGTAAATTACATCTAACCAATTAATTCCTGAAGAATGCTTTTCTATCCATAGCCAACCTATGGTTGTGATTCAGTCATGATTTGACAAATGGAGTTGTCTCATAATCACCTAATTCTTTTCCCAATAGATTTATTGTCATTAAATCTTATATGTGATCTACTGTTAAGGTATTTTTCACTCTTATACAAATTATATTAATTAAACTGAAACTTCGTTCAGCCTTCAGCTGATTGTGATGGTGTTAACCATCTTTTTAGGTTTTTGTATAGTTGGAGAGATTAGAGCATTCTCTGAATCTACATATTATATACAAATGCCCCAAAAACACTCAAATCAATTTCACATTTTGAAGTTTCACTTATACGATATGCTTCCCTCCCCCTCCCCCAAGAGCTATCTATGGTGGGCAGTTCTTAATAAGGCCAAGTAAATTGTTCTAATAAATCAAAATAATTAAAAATGCTTTCACTGTTGTTTCTGCCCAAGAAAAGATATATGTTCGTGGACCAAATTGTATTTTCTAGTAACAGTACTAGGTGTAAAGTCCAGAATTCCCCTACCTAGGGAACCCTGTTATCTCCCTCATAACTGTGGGATATTCTTTTTATACCGAAGGAAGAGTCCAGAGAGCTCCAGATTGATTATTGGTAGTAGTTTAATCAGTTTGCGTTGCTTACACTTGGGGCAGTATGATGGATCCCTGCCAAGGTATCATCCTTGGTCAGGGGTGGCAGCCAGACCAGTTGGTGAATCCCCACCAGAGAACCCCCAGAATCCCTGTGGTAATTATAAAAAAACAAAGGCAGGAGGAACTAGAGAGTGCCTCAATACTGATTGGGGGATATTTTTGGTTTTCTACTTAGTAATGAGCTTGGGAATTAAGCCAATGTTATGCCCAAACATAAGTTTGCATATTGATCATGTCCCAGTCACATATATATCACAATATTCTTGTTTTGGCTTTCACAGGCGATAGTATCTTAAGTTTTGACTCAATATCTAAAATATAATTCAGTATCTAAATGGACTTCCACCTTTCACAGAGTTTACGTTTTTATGGCTTTTCACTTATTACTGCATTTTATGGCTTTTTCCCAATTGGGACCCCACTCTAGGAAGAGCATTAAATTCATCATTTTTTATAAAATGGAATGTCTTTAAACTTAGCTGACTTAATCGAGTCTTCAGCTTGAGATTCATGTTTTCCAATGCCAGTCTTTAAATTTTCCAAAGCTCATTTGGTGTGTTTGATTAATTTTTGCAATCTTATCTCAAGGAGCTCACAGCCTAATGGAAGAGATAACATGTGAACAACTTTGTACAAACAAGTTACATACAGGATAAATTGGAGACAATCAACAGAGGGAAAACACTAGTGTTGAGGGGCATTGGGAAAGGCTTCCTGGAGAAGGTGGGGTTTTAGCTGTGTCTGTTTCTATATCTTTTACAGTATGTAGGATGGTACCAGGCTCATAGTAGCTGCTGAGTTAACATTCTCTGATAAAATAAAGTTCAATAAATGTGAGAGTTCACAGAACTCGTTCACAGACCTCCGGGGTCTCAGAAGGTTCCAACCCGAGCTCCTTTTATCCAGCCCTGACGGGGTCGTCCAGCTTTGGTGTGAAGCCCTCTGGAGCAGAAGTGCCCACCGCCTCCCAAGGCTGCCCACGCCGCTCATTGTCAGAATTTTTTCCCCATGAGAAAGCCAAATTTCACCCTTTGCACGTCTACCCACTGCTCCTTTCTCTGCCTTTGGGAGACAGTAAGCAGCATAAGTCTGTTCCCTACTTTAGGTGATGGACCCACTTGGAGACATCTCTGTCTTAGTCCCCAGATGTTCCATTCTCCAGGATAGGCATCCTCAAGTGCTTCCTCTGTGCCCTTCATAGGACATGAATTTGAGGCGGCTAGGTGGGTGGGGCCCTGGACCTAGAGTCAGGAAGAGCTGAGTTCAGATCCTTCCCTAGACAAGAGCTTTGTTTCCCTGGGCAAGTCTGCCTCAATTTCCTTATCTGAGAAATGGGGATACTAATAGTACTTAACTCCCAAGGTACATGTGAGGATCAATGAGATAATATTTGAAAACAGTGCTGGGCACATAGTAGGTGTTTGATGAATGCTTGTCCCCTTCCCCTTCCCTTTAGCATCCTGGTGGTCCTCTCATGGGTTCTTTCTTTCCATCCTTCCTAAAGTGTGGCTCCCAGAAATACATGCAGTCCTCCAGATGTGGTTTGACTAGGGGGTGTCTGGTGGGACCTCCCTGTTCCTGGACCTCTCTTATTGTTGTCTGTTTTTTTTTTTACTGGTTCTGTGATTTAATTGATTTAGGGACACCCCCCCCTCCAGCCTAAGGTCACATGACCATTAAGTGCCTACTGTGTGCCAGGCATGATACTAAGGGACTGAGAATACTAAACCAAAAATGAAATAGCTCCTGCCCTCAAGCAGCTAATGTTTTGTTGGTGGGAAACAGCATATATATCCATAGTTATAAGTAGGTTAAAATCCATATAAAGGAAATATAAAGCAAATTTTGGGGTGAGACCACTAGCAAGTGGGAGGACCCGAGTAAACCTCATGTAGGAGCTGCCTGCCGCTTGAACTGGGCCTCAGAGAAAGCTTTGGGCATCTGCCGGGTACCAGGGAGGAGGGAGTTCATTCCAAGTGCGGCCTGCGTGGGCCCTCCATTCCTCGATCTGAGATGACAGCTCACCGGTGAGTCATGACAAGGAGGCCATGTTGGCTTCAGCATAGACTACATGAATCTGTTTATGAAAAAGTGGCCTGGGGCAGCCAGGTGGTCCAGTGGATAGAGCAACAGCCCTGGAGTCAGGAGGACCTGAGTTCAAATCTGGCCTCAGACACTTGATGCTTACTAGCTGTGTGACCCTGGGCAAGTCACTTAACCTAGACTGCCTCACAAAAAAAAAAGGGTATATTCTAAGCCACCCTTCCTTTAAAAAAAAAAAAGTGGCCTGGGAGATTCAGTGCTAAGAGAAGAGGCTTTGGGAGCAAGGGATCTGGCTTCAGAGCCTGTGAACTTTGTGACCTCCTGGGCCACAGTTCTTCACTGGTTAAATGAGTGTGCTGCGCTAGATGACCTGAGGTTTCTTCAGGCTTTAATATTTTATGAACCAAAGGAACAACCATTTGTTGAACACCTACTATGTGCCCTGGGCTCTCCCTGGCATACAAATACAAAAACAGATAGTTTTTGCCCTCTATGAGCTTACACATACATTCGGCTGGGGATAAATGGAAAAAAGTCTTTACTTTTTATTTATTTATTTTTTTGGTTGAGGATATTGGGGTTAAGTGACTTGCCCAGGGTCACACAGCTAGTGTCAAGTGTCTGGTCTGAGGCTGGATTTGAACTCAGGTCCTTCTGACCCCAGGGCCAGCGCTCTATCCACAGCAAGTCTTTGCTTTTTAAAAATCAATTTTACCAGCCTCAGGTACTTGACACTTAGTAGTTATGTGACCCTGGGCAAGTCACTTAACCCCAATTGCCTCACCAAAAAGCAGTAACAAAAAAATTTAATTTAATTCAAATTTTATTTTTAGTTCTGAATTCTCTGAGAAGGCAAGAAATATGATACCCACCATACAAATGAAGTTGTTCAGAACATAAAGTTGTAGGAGATTAGGGGAACATTTAGGAAAGTGGCAGATGAGTTTCTTTGTGGGCAAGTGGGAGGGAGTGGATTTCCAGAAACGGAGAGTAATATTTAATAAGCCTGGAGAAGTAGGCTAGAACCAGATGGTGAAAGACTTTAAATGCCAAACAGGAGTTTGCATTTTAACCTGGAGTTAATAGTTTCTTGCATGGGGGCCTGACATGGCCGGATTTGCACTTTTGGAGTATCAGTTTGGCTCCATCAAGGTCATGCTGAAGAGGAGCTAGGCTGTTACGGTAGTCCGGGGGAGAGATGTTGAAAGTCTGAGTTATGGCGGTGGTCTTGTGAGTGGAGAGGAAGGTATGGATGAGAGAGATGGGATGGAGGTGCAGTCAACAAGACTTGATATTAATTAGATCAGAGGGTGAGAAGAAGAGAGGAGCTGAGGATGACTCTGAGGAGTGAACCTTGGAGGCAGGGGAGTGCCCTCAGCTAGCCAAAAGGGGACGCTTAGGGAGAAAGACAATCGCTTCTGTTTTGGTTGCGGTAAGTTACAGGTGCCAACGGAGCATCTGATTGAAAATGTCTGATAGACATTTGGTGATAGGGGCCTGGAGCTTAAGAGGAGAGGCTAAGGAGATATGTGTGTGTGTATGTATATATGTGTGGGCATATTTGCATATGTGTATATGTATATATATGTGTGTGTATGTATGTATATCTATATCTCTATATGAGTCATCTGTGTAGAAATCATCATTGAACCCTTGAAACTTATGAGATCACTAAGACAGTGAGTGCAGAGAGAAGAAAAGGGGGCCCAGGGCAGAGCCTTGGGGTGTACCCATGGTCAGGGAGTGAGAGGAAAGCAGATCTACTGATGGAGACTGAGAAGAAAGGGTCAGGTGGGTAGGAGGAGGACCAGGGAACGCGGGATTTAGAGAACCCAGAATGGAGATGGTATCCAGGAGAAGAGGGGAGTTAACAGCGTCCGAGGCTACGCAGAGGTCAAGAAGGATGAGGTCTTCTGTTTGCCAGTTCAGAGAAGCTTGGGAGCAGCTAGATTTCGAGGGGTTGAGGATCAGGATGAGAGTTGTACAAGTGGAGAGGATAGGAAGTAGAGGCAGTGAAGGTAGGACTTTAGCAGTGAAGGAGGAAAGATGAAGGACCTGAATCCCAGAATTTGGTGTTCACAGACTTTCAAAGTTCAAAGAGACCTCAGTAACCATCTAGTCTAATCCTTAACCCGTCCCCAGCACACCTTATGATTATCCAGCCTTCACTTGAACACCTCGAATGACGGGGAGCTCACCACCTACTGAAAAAGCCCATGCAGGTCAACGTTTAGATCTACCTCTGTTAACTTCCCTCTGTTGCTCCTGGCTCTGCCTTTTGAAGTCGAACAGAACAAGCCCAACCCATTTTCCATGTAACAGCCTTGAAGTCAAAGTTCATATCCCCTCACCCAACTTACCCACAGCCCCCCAAGATGGCCTCTTCCTTTGGGTATACAACCTCCCCTGATTCTTATCCCAGTGTTTTCCTCCAGTCCTGCTCCAGCTTATCAGCATCCTTAAACCATGGTGCCCAGAGCCCAACCCTTCAGCTGTGGCCTGATCCCAATAGGGTCCAGAGGCAATATCACCCTCTTTATTCCCAGAAGTGGCCCCCCAAGATCCCATTACCATTTCTGGCTGCCCTGTCATGGTGTGGACTCACATTGGGCTTTCAGGCATGTTACAGCCATCAGATTTATTTCAGGAAAACTGCTACCTAGCCCTCATCTTCTACTGGTAAAGTCAGTTTTTGGAACCAAGTTTAAAAAAATCTGTATTAAATTTCACCTTATTTAATTCAGCCCAGTATTCTGACCTATTAAAATTTTTTTCAGATCTTCACGCCCATTCATTGTTAGTTATCCAGGCCAGCTTTGTGTCATATACAAGTTTGATAAGGATACCTTTATGCCTTTATTAAAACAGTGTAGGGTCAGTCACCAATTCTGGGAGCAGTCTCCTGGAGGCCTTTAAATTGGCATTCAGCCCTCAGTGACTCCTTTTTGGGTCTGGCCATTCAACCTTGTTTGAATACGCCTGTTATCTAGCCTACATCTCTCCACCTATTCCACAAGAATAACCTAAGAGAATTTACTTTAAGCAATTTGCTGAAATCTAAGTATATTTTATCTACTGCATACCCTAGTCTGACCCTTTAATTCTCCTGTCAAAAAAAAAAAAAGAAGAAAAAAAGGAAACACCCTTAGTCTGACTAGGCTGAAACTTTGCTGGGGTTTTGGGGACAACTGCTTCCTTTTCTTAATCAAATGACATGACTTGGATATAATACTTTGTAATCCTCAGGGGTCATCTAAATGTGAATTGTTGGCATTTTTTAGCAGACTTTGGAGCTCCCAGTAAGGAAACGTCCTCTCTCAATGACTATTGGCTCCCACTCTGCAACCTAAAATATTAGAGATGGCTAGGGATACTCCGAGTGACCTGCCCAGGGTCATATAGCAGTGGGTTTGGAGGCAAGATTTGAACTCAGGGTTTTTCTGATGACAAGACTGGCTTTCTATCTATTACATCACAGCGCCTCTCTAGATAATTGTTGTCATCGTTAAAAGTCATCGGTCATCCCTTTAATAACCTGCTCTAGAATTTCGCCAGGAATCAAACAAACACAAATTACTTAATATACTTACCGAGAAAAAAAATGGAACCACAGATGTTATTTCAATGATGAATTTGGCCCCAAAGTTAGGCATTTATCAAACCGTTCTTGACACAGAGGATTCCTGCCCCTGTTTTTCAGTTCATTTGCATTCACCCCAAGCCCTTATGGTAGATAATTACCTTTTGTTTGTGTGAGAACTCACTAACTAGTAGCAGAACCAGGGTTTTATTCTCCAAACCTGAGTTGTAAGCATATTCAGAAAATGCTGGCCCCATAATTTTCTTTTAATTTTACTTTTTAAGGTTATTATGCAGCTGTTTAGGAAGGAGAAAAAGAGAACCACGACTGTGGAGATGTTAGTTATTTGTCATTCTTTTCAACTCTCTCTCTCTCTTTTTTTAATCTGTCCCATTCAGAGACCATTAATGAAGCTAATGATATGAATGAAGCTATGGAGTTCATGCCAGAAAGACTGGAGTATGGGGTCCTTAATGGGCACATTCTACACATGCTTAAGGATCTTTTGCTTCATGTAAGTATGGATGAAGATTCTCCCACTGCTGCTTTCCAAGTTTTTGTTTTTTTAATGGTGTGATATTGTAATGGTATAAAATTTTATTTTAGACAATCAGGGTTAAGTGCCTTGCCCAGGGTCACAGTTAGTAAGTGTCTGAGGTCACATTTGGACTCAGACCCTTCTGACTCCAGGGCCACCTGTGTGGTGTCTATGTCACCTGGCTGCCCCCTCCATACAATTTTTTTAATACAATATTTTTTAGAAGCACCCATCACTATTGAATTTTCTGCCATACTCCAGGCATTGCTGCTATCCGGGACCTTAGCTGAGGTTAGTTATTTTCTTTCTCAGTCATCCTTATGGAAATGCCTTCACTGATGGCTGTCTCAAGACCATGCACCAGGAAGAAAGACTGTCCACAAAGTCCTTTTGGTATCATTGACTTGCAACTCGTAGGCTGACATTCCATCCCTAGCTAGTTCCAGCCTTTTAAAACCTTTTAAAACAGATTTCCAACATTTAGCACAGTCCCTGGCATGTCCAGGACTCCCCAGGAGCTCCCATGCTAATGGAGAGACAATGTACCTTTTAGAGTCTTTATATCCAGTCTAAATGGAAGTAACCACAGAGGGGGAGGCATTAGCAGCTTAGGAAACTGGGCAAAGTTGGCTGCAGAAGGTGGGAGGTGAGCTGAGCTTTGAAGGAAGCCTGGGGTGCTAAGCAGCAGAGGAGAGGAGAGACAGAACACCTGGCATGGGAGAAAGGCTGTGCAAAGGCTGAGAGGTGGGAGATGGAGGGTCCTCTGAGAGGACCAGCAAATAGATCGTAAAGTGCCTGGAGATGGGGAATTACATATAGGAAGGGTGGGAAGTTAAGAAGAGCCCAGGCAATGAAGAGCTTTAAATGCCCCCAAAGAGGTTATGCTTGATCTGAAAGTCAATAGGGAGCCATTGAGGTTTGTTGAGTAGTGGAGGGTGACGTTTTGGCAGCTATATGGAGGATGGATTAAAATGGAGGGAAACTTGAGGCAGAAAGATGAGCTAGAAGACTACAACACTGAATATAGAGCTTTGCACACTCGGGAGGTGTGCGCTCCATGCCTAAAGAGTGTTGGAGTCACAGGAACTCAGTTCAAATCTCACCACCGTCAAAGTCACTTTACTGCTCTATGCCTCAGTTTCTTCATCTGTAAAATGAAGGGTTGGATTCAATGATCCTGTGGGAGAACTGTACTTCTGAGGGTGGTATGATCCATTTTTGTTAAAATTCTTAATCACAGCTTAATTTCCTTCCAATCTAGTCTATGTTCTTTCATTCCTGCCTGGTGCTAATTTGAGGTAGTTAATTTGTGGTTGTGTTTTCATTTAATATTCATAAGATCATACATTTAGACTTGGAAAGGATCATAGAGAAATCTGATCTAGCGCTCTCCTTTTACAGATAAGGAAACTGAGGCTGAGAGGTGAAAAGACCTTCCCAAGCCCCAAGCGTTCCGCAGGACTTGAACTCAGGTCCTTCTGACTTGAAACGTGCTCTGTCTTCCCTATGCCACGAAAGCTTCCTACTTAATGGAAGAACTTAAAACTGGATCTTAAAATTTCAGATCTGAAATTGTTGAGAACAGTACCATGTAATATGCTTCATCAATTGACATTTCAGGTGTTTATCCCAGCGCTCTCCTTCAACCAACACAAGGCGGAACCTCCAGTACAAGTCGTCCTTCCAGGAGATCTGACACCTCCCGAAAGCTCTAACGTTGAGAAACTCCCAGGGGAGTCCATCGAATACCACAGTATCCAGCTGATACGGGATGAGTTCCTCATGAACATGCAGAAATTCACCAACAATATCCAGAGAACGATACAGCAACTTGAAGGTGAAGGGGATGTGTGTGTGTGTGTGTGTGTGTGTGTGTCCTCACTGGTTACAAATGAATGAATGGTCTGTGACAGATTAGTTCCAGAGTGCTCACAGTTAGGTCTTCGGGAATCATTCCTCTTCCTTTAAAACATTTTTTTGGTTGCATTTTTCTGGATCGCTTTTGTTTTTGCATTACATTCGTTTCAGAATATATTCTTCCCCACTTCCTTGACCAGCCACCCTTTCCTTGTAACAACGATTAAAACAGAGAAGAATGAAACAGTTGAGCAAAGCTAAACCATCGTATCGGTTGTCTCTGGAAGGGTATGCAGCCTTCCCGGAAGCCTTCCATTTCATCTACAAAGGGAAGGAGGCACGTTTTCTTGGTTCTTCTCCTGGACCAGGTTAAGCCATTATAATTACTCCTTGTAGAGTTTCTTTTTTCTTTTTTCCCTTTCCAATTATATTACTCTAGTCATAGTGTTTGTTTCATTCCCCCCACTCCTTTCCCCCTTAGTCCGCCTTCTTTGCTTTTGTACCAGCTCATATAGCTCTTCCCTTCTTGGGATGAATTCCTCATATTCATCCTTTCTCTTTTTTTGGCAAGGCAATCAGGTTAAGTGACTTGCCCAGGGTCACACAGCTAGCGAGTGTTATGTGTCTGAGGCCAGATTTGAACTCAGGTCCTCCTAACTCCAGGGCCAGTACTTTATCCACTGTGCCACCTAACTGCCCCCCATGTTCATCCTTTCTTTTGGCATGGTAATATTCCATTCACGTACTGCATTTTGCTTAGGCTCACTTCCCAACTGACGGACATCTCTTTTGTTTGAAGATCTTTGCTACCACAAAAAAAGGGCTGCTAGGAATATTTTGGAACGTTTGGGACCTTTCCTTTCTGTCTTTGTTCTCCTTGGTGTATATACCTAGTAAGGAGATCTCTGGATCGAAAGGTAGGGACATTTAAGTCACTTTTTTGGAGGGCACAATTTTGAATTGCTTTCCAGAATGGCTGGACCAATTTGTAGCCCCATTCCCAGTGTATTAATGTGTCTGTGTTCGGATAGCCCTTTGAACGCTGACTATCCTTTGTTTGGTTAGGAATTCTTCCCTTACCCATATATGTGAACCATGCCTCATCTCATTCTCTTCTGATTTTGATGGTGTGACCTTTTATGTTCAGGTTGCTCACTCCTTTTGGCCTTTCTGTAGTAAACGGTGTTTGTATAACCTAATTTCTGCCAAACTGCTTTCCACTTTTCCTGTTAATCCTCATCAGATCAGAAGTCCTTGCCCAAGTGGCTTACCTGTTCTGAACACAATATTCATTCATTCGTTCAATCAAACATTTATTAAATGCCTCCCATTACAAGGCACTGCTGGGCCCTGGGTACACAAAGACAAACACTCCTGCCCTCAGGGAGCTTATATTCTACCAAGAGGAAACAACACGTGTGCAGAGAAGTCCATACAAACACACACACGGTAATTTTGGTTGGGGTTAGGGCCAGGCACCCACTAACAGCTGATGGGATCAGGAAAGGCCTTATGGCAGTCAGTAAACTTGAAATTTAAAATTAAAAAATATTAATTAATTTAATTCAAAAGTAAAAATCAAGTGCCTCCTATGGGCTAGGCATTGCACTAAGCCCCAGGGATATAGGTAAGAAAAAGAGAGTCCCTGCCCTTAAGGAGCTTACAATCTAAGAGGGGAAGACAGCACCCAAAAGGAAGCTGAAAAGGGGAAGGGGCGGGTGGGGGGAAGGCGCTTCTGTAAGATGGCAGGTTACTGAGGACTGGCAAGCCTGCATCAGTGGAGAGAGTTTCCATGCCAGGAGTTCCTTACACTGATGAAATCATAGATCTGGACCAAATAGAAAATATAAGATATAATATAGTGTGTATTATAAAAAAAGAGAGGGGGACCCAATGTTATTAAGGTTCAGAGGAAGAAGAGATGTCATCTGGTTGGGGTGGGATTAGGAATGCTTCCTGGAGGGGTTGGCATTTGAACTGGGCCCCCCCCGGAAAGATTTCTATAGGCAGAGTCGGAGGAAAGGGAATGCTAAGTGGAGGCAAGAGCATGGGCTGCATGGAGGTCGAAAAGCACAGGCTGTGCTCAGGGAAAAGGGAGTAATCCAAGTCGATCGGATTGTAGGATATACAGAGTTGTAGTTCAGGCTTTTCAGTTGTGTCCAACTCTTTCTGACCCCATTTGGGGTTTTCTTGGCAGAGATACTGGAGCGGTTTGTCCCTTCCTTCTCCAGCACATTTTACAGATGTGGAAACTGAGGCAAGTAGGGATAAGTGGCTTGCCCAGGGTGACACAGTAAGTGTCTGAGGCTGGATTTGAACTCATGAAGATGAGACTCCAGGCCTGGTGCTCTATTCATTGTGGTACCACCCAGCTGTCCATGTATGTAGAGTAGTAAGAGATAAGGTTGGAAAGATCATGGGAGAGCAGATCACGGGAGGCCTTGACTTCCAGCCTGAATTATCTCTGGACTTCAGAAGAGACAGCACTGTTAGGAGTTTTGAATGGGGGAGTGAATGGAGGAATGTCCAAGTTGTCCCTTTGAAAGATCAACTCAATGTGTAGGGTGGGTGGGGTGGGAGGAAGAGATGAACTGTCTGTCTGGAGGCTTTGGCAATGTTGGAGGGCTGAATGGGGATGAGATAGCTCGAATGGAAAGGAGGGCAAGAAATCATGGCGGAAGAATTTGTCACAGCACGCTTTGACTACATTTGTTTCTAGTTCAGAAGATTATGGTTTTTTTCTCTCTGAAAGAACAGTGATACTCACTGTCTGTGTCTCTGTATCTTTTCCCTGGGTTCTCTCTGTCACTCCTGGAGTGTTTCTCTGTCCCTCTGTATCTGTCTTTTTTTTTTTTAAGCATTTAAGTGTCAAGTGTCTGAAGATGGATTTGAACTCAGGTCCTCCTGACTCTAAGGCTGAAGATCTATCCACTGTGCCACCTAACGGCCCCCTTAAGCATTTATTAACCACCTACTATGTGCCAGGCGCTGTGCGAAGTAAGCGCTTTACAAATATTGTTTCATTTGATCCTTGCAACAGTCTTGAGAGGTAGATGCTGTTATTATTATTCCCATTTTGCAGATGGGGAAACGGAGGCATTTAGAGGTTAAAGTGATTTGCCCAGAATCACACAGCTGGTAAAGGTCTGAGGCTGGATTTGAACTCATAGCTCCCTTACTTCCAGCCAAAAGTGTGACCTAGCTGCCTCTGTAAACCAATGCCTAGTCTTGTTTGAACCCACGCTTGGCCCAGGCTCTGTGCCTCCCTTTGAAAACAGGCTTGAGCACTCTTGAAGGAAGGAGAGGAGGAAGGGAGCAGTTATTAAGAACCTACAACATGCCATGTACCATGCTAAGTGCTTTACTAATGTCTCATTTAATACAATAACCTGTGAGGTAGGCGCTCTTGTTATCCCCATTTTATGGTTGAGGAAACTGAGACAGATGAAAAAATCAAAACAACTGTTATAACAAATATGCAGTCAAATAAAATTAAATCTTGGGGGTGGTCTTTATGATGCTGTTGGCTCAAGCCCCATTTTATCAATCACCAGTTCCAGTTAATTTCTCTCTGATAACATGCTACCATTGATTAGTGCCTTGGCATTATTTTACACCAGTGAGTTTTTACAAGAGGATGTTTACTGAGAAGATATGGCAGGAATAGAAGTCTAAGCACATATCCACCAGGGCACATTTCCTCCTATTCCGCCCTCACTCCTGGGGAACAGTAGGTCCCTGGTACTTTCCTCACCTGAATACTCACAACAGTTCATGACCTCCAGATGTCTGCAGGTGACCTTCCTGTAAGCCACCTCAGTGTAAGACTTTGTGTCCTTGGACCTGAGCTGATCTTTGCTTAGGCCTGCCTGGCTCACCAATTCAGTCCCTTGACTGCCGTGACAAATTTTATCTCCACAGTTCTTGCATCCTTCACCTTCCATCCATACGACCAACACCCCTAACTCAGGCCCCATTACTAGTGTCCTAGATCATTACCAGATCTTGGCCAGTAGTGCCTTTCTCACTGATCCACCCTTTATATAGACCCACCATGCTGCCCTCTGGCCAACTTCCTACTGCACCACCACACCTATTCCCCTGCCTCCTAATCTTTACTCTAAGACTAACAGTGAAACCAACACTATTATTCCTGGAAAGGACAGGTTGATCAATTACCCCATGGCTCTGCTCACTATTTCTTTGACTTCACAGACCAAAACAACCCTCCCTTACCACCTATGTGTGTAGTTTTCCTCTATTAGAATGTAAACTCCTTAAGGGCAGGGACTAGCTTTTCTTGCGTTTTGTATCAATATCCCAACCACTTCATAGAATGCTTGACACATAGTAAGTCTTTAATGATTTTTCCCTCCCTTCCTTCCTTCTTTCCCTCCCTCCCTCCTCTCCTTCCTTCCTTCTATCCCTTCCTCCCTTCCTTCCTTCCTTCCTTCCTTCCTTCCTTCCTTCCTTCCTTCCTTCCTTCCTTCCTTCCTTCCTTCTTTCCTTCCTTCCTCCTTTCTCTTCCCTTCCCTTTCCTTTCCTTTCTTCTTTCCTTCCTTCCTTCCCACTATAATCTTCCCATTGTTCAGAAAACTTCAGTGGTTTCCTCTTGCCTTTAAGATAAAATACAAACCCCTTAACTCAATGTTTCAAGCCCTCCAACATCTGATTTCAACTTCTTTATCTAGCCTTATTTCATGGTATTCGCTTTCATATATTCTGTGTTCAGTCTAACTGGACCACTAGCTCTTCTTGGACCCTGTGTCATCTCCTGTCTCTGTGTATTTGCAAAAGTCCCATGCACTTGGTACACACACCCTCTTTATCTCTATGTCTCTGAGACTTCTTGTTTTCCTGTAAGGCTCACTCGTCACCTCTGTGCATCCTGAACACTTCTCCCAAACTATTTTATACACACACACACATATACACATATACATGTGTACACACATGCAATACATATATGTTTATGTATATTTGTACATACACATATACACATATACATAAATGTGTATATATATATATATATATATATTTTTTTCCCTCAGATCTATTTCCCCATCTGTCCTTTCACCTTCGCTTTCCAGAGAGCCATCCATTAAACAGCCTGGGCTTCCAGCTCCAGTGGAGCTGGAGGAAGGGGTCATGCAGATCCCATCCTGGAGTTCACCACTTGGTGACATGAGCTTGGCTTCCTGGGATTGTGTGTGTCAGAGAATTCTGGGAGGGAGAAGAAGGAAAAGGAGAGTTCCTTTTCCACCATAATTGTGCCATGTGGGCAGGCAGGGTTGAGGAACACATCTTGCGTCCATGCCTGGTCCTCCGCTCCCTTCTGTTACTGGATGGAGCAATCAGAGCCAAAGAGACTGTCAAGAACTGAGCGGGACCCTGGGGGAGACTGCTAACACTAAACTGAAACATCTCTCTTTCCTCTCTGCCTCTGCTCCATTCGGAGTAACAGCACCCCATTAACTGCCAAACTCATTCGGCTTCTGTCTCTCCTCCCCTCCCACGAAGGGTAGGCGCTCGAGCGAACAGAAGCTCATTCTGCCTCGGAGGCTAGCTGTGTGAACACCAGACTCTCCCCTGGCATTGCCATCATCTTATTCCCCTTCATATAAAAGAACATCCAGTGGCTGTTAGATCTTTGTCTGGTGCGATTCGTGCTGGCACAGGCGGATACTGGGGGAGAGGTTCGGATCCCCCCAGACGCATTCCTGCTTCGTGCAGACGAGGCTTGCGGGACCGATAAATCGGCACTTCATTTGAAAGTTGACAGCTCTATGAAAGCATGCTGAAGTCACGCCCCTGCACAATCACACGCTTCTATACACGGACCCCACAAGCAGAGAGAGAGAGAATACGACGTCATACAAGACAATCTGATACCGTACCATAATATGTAACGTAATGTAATGTGATATCACGTCATAAACGTAAGAAACATTACAAAGGGATCCATGACAGTTTTTTGAAGTTGAGAATCCCTGGTCTAGGGGTAAGCATGAATTTGTATACAATTTAAAGTATATACATCACATATGTTACATATGTAAATCTTATCTATACATATATAATGTTACATTAGATTATACATCATAAGATTCCACATACACATGCCCCTTAGAGCAGGGATTCTTAACCTCTTTTGTGTCATGATCACCTCTGGCAGCCTGGTAGACTCCCTTTCAGAATAAAAAAAATTTTTTTTTAAGTGAGGCAATTGGGGTTAAGTGACTTGCCCAGAGTCTCACAGCTAGGAAGTATTATATGTCTGAGGCTGGATTTGAATTCAGGTCCTCTTGACTCCAGGGCTGGTGCTCTATCCACTTTGCCACTTAGCTGCCCCCAGAATAAAATTTTTAAATGCGTAAAGTAAAATATGTTAGTATTATAAAAGAAACCAATTATATTGAAACACAATTATCAAAATATCTTTAAAAAAATAAAAGGACCCCAGGTTAAGCACCTGGGAGAAACTTGGTCAAGGTCAAGAAGCAGCACATCATGCTCCCTGTGACATTTTTTCCATCACCTTCTTAAGTCTAGAGCGATAGTCAACAAAACAGTACACCAAGCCCTGATTTATATTTTCTGACGTTTAAATGCTCACACTGAAAATTTAGCAATTGGCTTCGGAGCCCTTTCTAGCTGGCTTCAGCGTACAGAAGAAGGTTTCTCGATTTAGAGCAGGAAAGAACGCGAGGGTCTATCTAGTGTAACCCCTTCATTTTACTGATGGGGAAACTGAGGCACTGAGAATTAAGTGACTTTCCCAGGGTCACATAGCTAACAAATATCTAAGGTGGGGCAGGTGGGGCAGGGGGAGATTGGGAACCCAGGTATTCATGACCCTGAAGCTAACATCTTATCCACCGCTCAATTAACTCTAAGTCAGTTACTGTTCTCTTTTTTCCTAATGCCGTGTTTGGCCCTGATTTCTTTTCCTCCATCAGGAGAGATCAAGTTGGAGATGCCAGTGATCAGTATGGACAGGGAAGTGTGGGAGATCGCTGCTGACCCAGAAGCGGTAGACAGCTTGGAGCAATGTGTGATCAACTGGCTAAGTCAGATCTCCTCCGCCATAGAGGGACAGTTGAAAAAGACGCCTCAGGTAACGTGCTGAACGTTTTCTGAGAAGCCTCGTTAGTGTCCAAAGTGGGACCTGAACCAGGTCCTCATTCCCCTCTTTCACATTGCCTCTTGAACTCAAGATTAAATCTGCCTTTGTTGCTATTATGGGAATGAGAAAGGTAGCTGGTGGTGGATAGAGACCCGAGTTCAAATCCTGCCTCAGGCCCTTTCTAACTATGACCCTGGGCAAGTCACTTAACCTTTGCCTCAGTTTCCTCCTCTGTAAAATAGAAATAACGACTATACCTCCCAGGGTGGTGGTTGTTGTGAGGGTGAGATGAGATAATGCTTGTTAAATACATAGCACAAAGCCTGGCACATCGTGGGTGCTAGATACATGCTTATTTTCTTCCCTGAGAGAGCGGATCCCTCCAGCCATCCGAATGCCGTCCTTTGATATTTTCTGTCTGGCATTCGCACTTTGGGGATGTAGCCATCATGATAACTCTGGATGGTGGGATTCTTCTTTTGTTTGCTCATTCTTTCAGTCCACTTCCTGACTTCAGCCTTGATGTTAGGGCTGGACTCTGTTGCACTTCTGGGGAGAAGGTCTGGGGGTCGTCCTTTGCTACCTTCTTGTGATATTTTGTGATGTGCTGTTTCAGGATCTCAGGGACAGCTTTTAGTGCTTCCGATTCGGGGCATGGTCTGATTACTTCTCTTCCCCCCATCCGAGGCTGAGCTCTACGAGTTCCTAACCTGGGTTTGGGTCTGGGCAACGGGACTGCTGGGTTCAGCCCCCATCAGCCAGCTGGGGAGCTCTGCAGTTTCAAAGTGGCAGAATTGTGAAGCTCCCCTGTGCCCTGGGGGCAGACCGAGGAAGGGAAGGGTTTGGCCGCAGGCCCTTGGGGTGTCCGGGAGAGAGGAGGAGGGTCAGAAGTAAGCAGCAGTGGCGTGGTTCAGACTCCAGGAGCAGAGTGGGGTCTCAGGTCCAGCTCCTGCTCCAGACTGAAGCCTGCAAAGGAATAACCAGGCAGAAACCCCAGACAGGAGGCTCCTCCTTTTCAGCCTTTACCGATTTATTTCTGCGGTCATTTTTAGGAATTTGTTCCTGAGAACTTACCCTTGCCACACCCTCCCCAGAACTTCTCCTTCCGATGGGCCGAAGGGGGTTGGTTTGGTTTTACCTTTGCCTTCACCTCTGCTCTTGTCCTTAGGGTAAAGGCCCATTGGCGGAAATAGAATTCTGGAGGGAAAGAACAGCGACCTTCAGCGCTCTCCATGAGCAGACCAGGCTGCCCATAGTGAAAAAAGTCATAGAGGTCATCAAAGAGGCCGACTCCATGCTTGTGGCCAATCTGCAGCCTATCTTGAACGAGTTGTACAAGTTTCACGTCGAAGCTTCAGACAACGTTCGGTTCCTTTCCACCGTGGAGCGCCATTTCAAGGTACTTCCTGAAGCTGCTACCAGGACCACCACCGCCAGGGTCAAAGGGCTTTGACGCCACCACTGCTGCTGCTATTAATTTTAATGTGAAGTACATTTATTAAGTGTCTAAGATGGGCAAAGACTCACGTTAGGTATTGAGGAGGATTCAAAGATGAGTAAGGCACGGAATCATTGATGACCTTCTGTGAGTACACCTTTTGTTACTGAGAAAGAACAATGAAGCTTGACCATTCACTGTCCCATTTGAACTTTTAAAATTCTAAAATGGAAAGATTTAGTGCGTAGAATCCCACACATGCTTTAATCTTTCGTAAATGTTTATCTGTGCAGAATTTAACCCATGGAGTTGGATTTAGCATTATTCTGGAAACGCTTCCTTCCATGATGAGTGCGCTGAGGATGGTGTGGATTATCTCCAGGCACTATAATAAAGACGAGCGGATGATCCCCCTCATGGAGCGGATCGCCTGGGAGATCGCGGAGCGGGTGTGCCGAGTTGTGAACTTAAGGACTTTGTTCAAGTAAGCACTTACCGAAGTGGTCACCTGAGGGCACCGGATGTCACCGACCACGCCCTTTTGTTTGCCTTCAAAGCGATGGAAAGGATGGAATTGTGGTGCAAGCTGAGTTTTAAAAATTCGATTTCGGAAGTCAGCAGGAGAGAAGACCCAATGTCCCAGCCTCTCTCTTTTGAAGTATTTGGATCTCTCTTTTTTGATCTCTCTTTGAATGCTGCTTTCCACCATTTTTACTTACTTTTTAAGATAAAAATTTAAAAAATCCAGTTGTAATTAATTTGACCAGAGCAGACATCTTCCAGTGTAGAAATTCCTTTCTCTGGTGCAGGTTATTAACTCCCGGTGCAGGGAGAGATTAAGTGACTTCTCTAAGGTCACACAGCTAGTATGAGTCAGAGGACTTGAACCCAGATCTTCCTGGGTACAAAGGTGGTCCTCTGTTCCCTCTGCTGCCTCTCTAAATTCTAGAGTCTATTGACTTTTTTTAGGGTGTGGGCTGGGGTTTGGACGTGTGATTCCATCTATGGAAGGAGCTCTTTACTCAGAGAACTCTTTCTACCGTCACTGGGTATGAGCTATTGTTCTGCAACTTACATATAGTTTTAGGGAGTTCCCTGGGACCCCAAGGGTCACACAACCAACCGTGTAGCCAAAGTGGGACTTTCAGCCCCAGCCTTCTTGAGTTGGAGGCTGGCCGACTACCCACTATGTTATTTTGCCTCCTTAATAAATACTATAATCATATCATTTCTGGCACTTTGATAACACTCACTGTCTAAGTCAATAAAAATGCCTCGTGACTAAGAATTAAAATGCAGTAGGATTTCTGTGAGTGAGACTTTTAAGTATACTCGTGATCAATTGAGCCTTGGCTTCATTAAGCCTAACTTTAATGAGCTTCCACAAGAATTTATGAAGCCCTTTCTATGGCCGAAGCACTGTGGTAGGTTCTGGAAATGCAGAGAAAAGCAAGTCCCCACCATGCTGAGGACAGGCAGAGGGCAGCCTCGTATATGAAGGAGCAAACCATGATGCTGTGTGTTCCCACCACTCGGTGGTAGGTTCTGTGCAGCTGCTGAGTCAAGTACAGGAGGGCTCCTGGGATTGAAGCATTAGGATTGGCAGTTTCCCATTAGTTTATGGGTGTCCCAGCAAGGGGCCCCTTGACCTCACTCAAGCTCCATTCTTATCCTCAAAATGGAGGTTAATGCTGTCTGCCGACGATTCTGAGCCAAGGATGCACCCTGTTAAAAATGAGGTTAGAAGAGATTAAAGACAAATGAATGCTTAATTAGCAATTAGGGCTTTCTCTATACTATCATCCGAATAATGGAAAGATCACTAAAAAGGGAAAGCTTGCTTAAGAAGGTGGGCAGCTGACTAGGATTTTGCAATAGGAAAAATACTTCAACATTTCTTTTTTGTGTGTGTGACTGTTTCTAGAATGTGTGCCCCATGTATAGCAAAGAGTATCCCAGAATAGCATTTTTGCAAAAATATTCTTGTTGGTTTAAAAAACAGTGTGTCTAAGACTATTCATTTTGCCCAGGTAGAAACAAGAATGTGACATTTGTCTCTTCATTTCAACATCTCCTTCCCTCTAATTGATGCCATCTGCATGTTGGCTTCTTGGTGCTTTATCTCAGGTGTTACCTGGGGCCCAAGGCCCCCTAAAATCTCTGGACTCAAATGGATTGGGTCTAATCTTGGGGGTTCAGACCAAAAGGGGTCAGTTTCCTTCTTTGGCTAATTGCCTCCACCTGGAACTACTTCAGGAAATCTTCCAACATAGATATAGCGTGTGTCTAAGTTCTCCAAATGTTGATAAATAGGATCCCAACCTCCTGTACAAATACTCAAGGTACCTAAGGCATATCAGGTACAGGACATACTTTATTGTACCCCACAGAAAAGGCAAGAGGTGCAAAAGATTCACAGGAGCTATGAAGAGATGCAGAAACACATAAATCATTCAAATAACACATCAGCTCCCCCCAGAAGTGAAATGAAATTGGGTTGCCAGTAACGTAACACCCTGACATTCAGATAAAGTCTTTCTCTTCCATCTGAATAAATATGTGGTCTCTTGCAGACTCATTGGGCCGTCCAATGGTTCAGAATCCTCCCAGAATGTTAGCACGCTTTCCAGGCTGCTGAAGAAGTGGGTCTGCTTTCCAGGAGCTTATACTGTCTGAGCTATTCATTGGCTTTGCTCTCCAAAGAGGGCTGTATGCTGAAACTAGATGGATTACTCATTTTTTTTTTCCTCTAGGGAGCAAACCTCGTCAGGAGATCCTGTCCTCTCTAGAATGGACTCAAACTTTCCACTTTGGGATTCTCCTTGACTGCCAGGGTCACACAGCTAGTGAGTGTCTGAGGCTGGATTTGAACTCAGGTCCTCCTGACTCCAGGCCCAGTGTTCTATCCACTGAGCCATCTAGCTGCCCCAGCTTTAAGGTTTACAAAGCACTTTTCTTTCAATAACCCTGTGAGCTAGGGGTGAGCTAGGATATGAGTATTATTATCCTTATTTTACAGATGAGGAAAATGAGTCCCATAGAAGTTAAGTGACTTGCTCACTGTCAAATAATTAGTAACTGTCAGAAGCAAGGTTTGAATCCAGGACTCAGTTTCTTCTTCTATACAAAGAAGGCTTGGACTAGTTGTCCTCTGAGATCCCTCTCTGCCGTATTGCTCTGAATGGAATAACTACATCTTATCTCGAGTCATTGGAAAATATTGTCTTAATAATAACCTGATTTTTTTAATTAATAGAGAGAGTCGAGCATCCGCACAGACCAAGGTGGCCGAGGCTAAGAGCACTCTTTTGTTGTGGAAGAAATCTTATTTTGATGTCCGAGCCAAAATCGAAGCGTCCGGAAGAGAGCCACGCTGGGAATTTGATAGGAAACGTTTATTTGAAAGAACAGATTACATGGCTACAATCTGTCAGGATCTGTATGATGTCTTACAGGTAGAGAGGCCTGGGTTTAATTTCCTTAATGTGTGTATATATGGGGTTAAAGAATGACTGATCAAGTTCTTTTTAAGACTACTTTCACATTTTCCAAAGGAAACTATTGTATTAGTTGGTGCCTTTCATTTCTTACATGACAGTTATTTTTGGATGTGCATAACAACCCTTCCCTTTTTATATCAAAGAAAAAATGTTTAGAAAAACCAGTTATGTTACCTGATAGCGCATGCACCATTCTGTACCCGTGGTCCTCCCTGTGCATCTTAAGAGGAGGAAGGTCCGTTTCATTATTTCTTCTCTGGGGCCAAGATTAATCATCACTGTTACTCAGAGTTCAGTGTCCTTCTGGTGCTCTTTTTTGCACATGGGATTCTAGTCATTGTCTGTATCACACTCATAATATCATAGCTTTTGTGGAAATGACCTCCGAGGCCATCTTATCCAGCCCCCTCCTTTCACAGGTGAGGAGGTTTGAGGCCAGGCTAGTTCAGTGACTTGATCACCCAGCTAGTAAACGTCAGAGGTGGGATTTGAATCCAGTTACTGGTTCTGCAAAGAGTAGTTTACTTTTTATGATGCTCTTGGAATAATTAGGTCTTAGGGCCTTTCCAGTTAGATGTCAGGAGTCAGAAATAGGTTGTTATGGGACATCTTTATGATGTGGCTTTGAATGTAAGAGCATGGACAACGTCCTTACATTTTCCATAGTCAATATTTACCTAATTTCTGGTAACTTTCTTCCCTTTTCAAAAATGTCATACGGGTATGGATGGATTCCATCCTAGTCAAAGATGATAATCCAGAAGAGATTGTGAAATCCAAGCTGACTCAATCCCTGAGATCAGAAGGAACATTGTGTAAATACTTAGCATGGCCCTAATGGTCCCTGACTGTCCTCTTTACCTCTAGATTTAGAGCGAGGATGGGCCGAGTACATGACAAGATACTCTATGTAAATTCCCTCTCCCTGTGTGACCCTGGGCAAGTCACTTAACCCCATTGCCTAGCCAAAAAAACCCCCCAAAAAACCAAAAACCCAAACCCCAAAAAATTCCCTCTCCTATGAGAATCCCTTTCGATTCCCTCAGCTGTGGGTGCTTTCTTGTTCCTTCCTAAAGTTACCACCTCTCATACTTACTTGTTGACATGTCGCATCCTCCCTGTAGAATATACACTCCTTGAGGGCAGGGATTGCTCTACATTTTAAAAAAAATATTAAAAAAAATTTTTTGGGGGGTTAGGCAGTGGGGTGACTTGCTCAGTGTCACACAGCTAGTAAGTGTTAAGTGTCTGAGGCCAGATTTGAACTCAGGTCCTCATGACTCCAGGGCTGGTGCTCTATCCACAATTGTTCTATATTTTGCTGTTGTGTCCCCAGAGCTTGCCATAGTGCCTTGCGCATGGTAAGTCTTTGATAAACACGTGCTGCATTGGATTGTATTGGATTCTGTCATTGTCAAATTATTTTGTGGTTAGTTCTTTCCAAGATAGCCTTGGAAGAAAAAAGGAGAGAGTTTGTGAGTGTGGAAGATGGGTTTTTTTTTTTTTTAGTGTGGACAGGGAAGTGGACTTGAATTTAAGAAGACCCGGGTTCAGATCCCACCTTAGACACTTACTAGCTATGTGAACCTTTGTGTGCCTCAGTTTCCCCCTCTGTTAAATGAGCAGTTTGGATCTGATAGCCATTAGGATCCTTTCCAGCTCTGCGTCTGGCATCCTATGAACCCACTCCAACCTCTTACAATTGGACTTTTGAAAAGGTCAGTACAGAATACTTGAGAAACAGGTTGGTCTACAAACCGTTCCTAATTAGAGATGAGGTGTATTAGGTTGAGGTAGCAGGATAGAATGCTGGACATGGGGTCAAGAAGACCTGAGTTCAAATCTTGCCTGAGATACTGATCCTGGGCAAATCACTTAAACCCAGGGCACATAATCTAGAGATGGCATATTTGTGAAACAGCAGGATGACTAAAATGTGACTTTCTCATGCCGTTGGATTTAACAGGTTATTGAGGAATTTTACAACATATTTGGTCCAGAACTGAAAGCTGTGACCGGGGATCCGAAGCGTATTGATGACGTCCTGTGTAGGGTTGATGGGCTCGTCAGTCCCATGGAAGTGCTAACCTTTGACCCCTTTAGCATCAAGTGTTCCCAGTTCTGGAAGTACGTTATGGAAGATTTCAAGATTGAAGTCCTGGTAAGTAGCCAATCTAAGCATTTTCTTTTACTAAAATATATTTTGGTTTAAAAAAAAAGACCTATTGTCATGTTCAGTTTAAAATTTGATTTCACATGAACGGAAATGCCCTTATAGCTAGAATATAGTAGTAGTGGTGGTGGTGGGTTTAAATCTGGGCTTTTCACTTTATGATTGCTGTAAGAGAAAGTATTCATAGCAAGGTGACATAGTGGATAGCACAAAGGAATTCTTACTGTTATCCTTCCTGTTGCGTGAGACAAAGATACAGTCACAATGTAGCACTTGGCTCTTCTAGGGGTGCAATTAAAAAGCAGAAATGATTTTTTTAATGAACAAAAATAGATTATCTCTGCCTCACATTCTTTGCCCCTTATAAAAAGAGAAAAAGAAAAGGAAAGGAAAAAGCCTTATTAAAAAAAAAAACCATGGAGAGCCAAACAAAACAAATTCCCCAGTGACTATGTCCAAAGAAATGATTCTCAATCCTCATCCTGAGTTCCCCACCTCTTTGTTAATAGATGGGTAACATGTTTCATCATGAGTCCTCTGGAAACTATGGCTGCTCATTGTGTTGATCAGACTTCTTAAGGCTTTCAAAGTTGTTTGTTTGAACAATACTGTTGTTATTGTAGAAATTGTTCCCCTGGTTTTGCTCACTTCACTCTGCATCAGTACATGCAAATCTCACTTATGGCACTTAGGGTGTTCTGTTACATTCTTATACCATAATTTGTTCAGCCATTCCCCAATTGATAGGCACCCCGTTAGTTTCCTGTCTTTTCCACTACAAAATGAGCTTTCAATATTTTTGTACATGTGGATCTGTTTCTTCTTTTTTTGGTCTCTGTAGGTGTATCTGCCTAGCAGTGCTATTGTAGGGTCAAAGAATATACAGGATTTATACCGAGTTTGGTTACTTTGGCATTCAAAGCCTTTCAGAACCTAGACCCCTCCCCGACTCTTCCAGTCTTCTTACACCTTACCCCTCTACCATGTACTCCTCCATTCGGTGACACTGGCCTTCTTGTTGTTCTCTAAAAAGACACTCCAGCTCTTGGCTCCAGGCATTTTCTCTGGCTCTCCCCCATACCTGCAATGCTGTCCCTCCTCGAGTCTGCTTCCTGGCTTCCTCCAAATCCCAGCTAAAATCCCACCTTTTTCTAATCCTTCTTAATCCTAATGCCTTCCCTCTGTTGATTTTTTCCTGTCTATCTGTTTGTGTATTTTCTCCCCCTTTAGACTGTAAGCTCTTCAGTGGCAAGGATGGTCTTCAGCCCTTCTTTGTGTCCCTAGCACAGTGCCTGGGCACATAGCTGGTGCTTAATAAATGCTTACTGACGTACTCAATAATAGTTCCAAATTGCTTTCCTATGGCTTTTGCACAGGTCCGCCACAAGCATGAATGTGTAAGTTTTCCCTGCGACAGTCAACTCTAGTCCATCTTCCACTTAGCTGTCAAAGCACAGGTATGACCATGTCACCCCGACTCCCACTACTTAATAAACTCCAGTGACTCCCTGTCACCTTCAGGGGCAGAAATAAAATCCTCTATTGGGCATTTTCAGAGCCCTTCACGACTTAGCCCCACCTCCTTACTTTTTCAGTCTTCTTACACCTCATACTCTCCTCTTCTGCCAGAAGCCTGTCTTAATCTCTCTGGTTTCCTGCCTACCTTCCTTCTATTGATTATTTCCAATTTATCCTGTCTATAGTTTGTACATAATTGCTTACATATTTGTCTCCCTGACTAGACTTGAGAAACCTGAGTCTCTCCAATTAGATGCTCCCTTGAGAATAGAGACTATTTTGCCTTTTGTTTTTGTACCCCCAGTGCTTAGCACAGTGCCTGGCACATATTGACTGCCTTAGCAAGTGTTTATTGATTGATTTATGTTTCTCTAATTGGACCTTTTTTCATATAGTTATTGATAGCTTGGATTTCTTCTTTAGAAAACTGCATGTTCATGTCCTTTGACCTCTTATCAATTGGCAAATGGCTCTTATTCCTACAGGGTTGATTCAGTTCTTGATATATTGAAGACCTTTATCAGAGAAATTTGTTGTAAAGATTTTTTCCCCCCTAGTTCCCAAAACAGAGAAGTTCAGAGTTGGGGAAGGGTTTTGGGGGAAAGAAAGCAAGTTCAGTTTTGGAACTGTTCAGTTTGAGATGCCTTCAGGACATCCAGGTGTCAATGTCCAGTAGACCTTTGGTGTTTCAGGACTAGAGCCCCTGGGTGCAGAATGCTGTGGACGTGTGGGGTCTGTGCTTTGTACTTAACACCATCAGCATTAGCATCCTTAAGGGAATGGTCAAACACAGGGAGTGTGTTAAGCCAGGCCCAGGATTATGTAGTAGAAGCGTGTTTGATTTTGCCTTCTTCAGTCTCAGCTTCCACTTCCCATTAGCCATGAGATTTTTAGTATTTCAGAAGATCTGTGACTGCATCATGGTATGATGAAAAGAGCGCATGAAATCCTGGCTCTACTGCTTCCTGGCTGTTGGACCTTGGAGATGTCTTGCTCTGGCTCTCTGTTTCCTCATCCATAAAATAAGGGGTTGACACTGGGTGCTCTCTGTGGACCAGACCACTCTGTAAATCCTATGAGCCCATGACCGCTGCATGCCTTAGCAGAGAAGGCGTCTTCATGAGTTTCTGTGGCCCCCAAGAACCATGTCCTGGTGTCTGGTCTTGTGGTGACGAGCCTCTTATCTAAATAACAAAGCTGTTCCCTAGATAACAGACACATTGTCCATCACTGGGTCTCTGCTTCAGATCCTTCCATCTTGGCAGACCTACCCACCTACCAGAACTTGAGTTTGGTTGGATGGTAGAGTCTTCAAGAAGTTGACATGGTCCGGGTGCCATGATGAGGACCCAGAGCGGCATCTTGGTGAAAGCAGCCCCGAGAAGCCTCCTGTCAGCTCCAGCATTCTTCTCTAGTCTCCCCTGTTCTTGCCCCCTAAGTTCTGCACAGGCAGATGACTTATCTGCCTTGTCTTTTTGGCAGGTTATTGAGAAAGAAGCAAAGAACTTTATTGACGAGTCCTTCAAGACTCTTCGCTCCGCAGAAGCTGCTTTTGACATGCTCTTAAAGTTCAAGCACATTCGCTCCCGGGAGGCTATAAATAAGCAGATGATGATGAAATTCAATGATATTTTGGCACAATACTGTAAAGAGGTAATTTTAAGCAGCGTGTGAGCTGGTAGGCTGTGCCCCCCTAGCATCGCAAGTGGTTAAAAGTGTACAGAGGGCAAAAGGAGGCTGGGCAAATAGCTTAGAGTTGTTTTTTATGATGGGAGATCCAAATCCAGGGAACCTATGGACTTTCCCTCGATGTCATTTAGTAATTCAAGTTACATAGTCAAAACAACATGGATTTGTTAATATAGGCAAGGAATTCTGCAGTTGTGTCCTGGATGCCCGCTATGATCTGAGCCATAGTAGAGGGGTGCTTGGCCCTAAAAGGAAGATGTAATGGGGTCCTTTGACAACTGGGACCTTTTCAGCCAAAGTTTTCTGAGTCTGGATCTAAATCCTGGCTCTGCCTCTTAATTACTTGTGTGACCTGGAGCAGACCACATTCCCCCCGGGCCTCAGTTTACTCATCTGTAAAATGAGGGGGTTAGAATAGATAACCTTTAAGGTCCCTTCTAATCTAGTCCCCTAGTCCTACCTATCTATGATCCTGTGATTCCATAAGCAAAGGTTAGGGAGAGGATAGTAAAAGAGTCCTCAGTTTCTCCTAAGCCAGCGGGATGACTCTCGGCCAGACCAATCTTGGTCATCAGTTTATCCCTTTGGCCACGATAGAGGTGGTTGGTATCAAGGAGCTTTCAGTCTTGCTTAGAAAAAAAGATTAATTAATATATTTCAGGGGTGTACCTGTTGGGATGCAAACCCAGGGTCTCAGATTGGTGTTTCCCAAGGGATTGCCAGTGCTGGGACATTTCTTGATGGCTTGAGTGCCAGTGTTAATGGAACCATGTTGGCACTGAAGCCATCCAAAAATATCCAAGTCCTAGCAATCCATAGGAAAATGTCAGTCCAAGAGTCTGGGGCCTTATCCCAATGGATATGTGTTCTACACATACCCGTTGACATGAAATAAATAAAGAATCATTCTATTGTAGTCCAGCATATAGCGTTCTAAAGAATTGAATTTTGCCTTAATTATCTGGATAATTGTAAAACATGCTCCTTTTTGACCATGGAGACTTGGCCATTGGTAGCGACAGGAATAGAGTTAGTTAGGACTGTTGCCTTGGCTCTTAGGGCACACTACCGAAAAAAAAAACTATTACAAGCCTTTGTATAGTACATGTCCGAGTGAAGACCATCTATGCACATGCATGGGGCAGTATAGGGTTTAGTTATCATACAAATAGGAACACTGAGGAGATGGAACAGAACAAAAAGCCCCGATTAGCAGAGAAGAAGCTATTAGAAAAAAATAAAAGGCTACCTTAAATATTTCTTTAAACATCCACTTTTTTAATCTGTAATTTGCTTCAAGTTTACAGATAATAGAGAAAGGGTCTTTGATATATTATACACAGGACCATTGGTGTTTTTCAGTCACCAAATACTTTTTGTCTTTGTCTTTGCAGGTTGACATAATTAATCGCTTATTTGTTCTGAATCTTGAAAACCCACCCTTATACAAGAATCATCCGCCGCTGGCTGGTGCAATATATTGGGAGCGATCTCTCTTCTTCCGGATTAAGCACACCATCCTTCGGTTTCAGGAAGTGGAGGAGATGTTGGACAGTGAGCGAGGACGGGAAGTAGGTGGCTTTTACATCTGTTTCTGTATTTTACAGTTTTATTCCAGATAAAATGTCGTTTCCATTTCCAATGCAATCCCAGTACCGACACAATTCTGTCCCGCTAACTACAGCTGAAATCCTTTAATAGGTAAAACAAAAATATCTGGAAGTGGGTAGGAGGATGAAGGATTATGAAGATAGGAAATACGAGCAGTGGAGAGACTGGACGGAGCAGAGTTTACCGTCCCTTCTGAAAAAGAGCCTGCTGGCTAAAGCCCGGATGACGGCATACACAGCGTCAGATTACGGAGGACTGGTAGGAGTCTCCTTTCTATTGTTCACGTGCCATGAGTATTGGGTTTTTATTGGCTTCTTTTAATGAAACTGATGTGTATTTTAAAAACTAAAGAGTGAAGCCAAGAAATGAGGAAGTCAGAGTAAGGAGAAGAGACTGAGGCAAGGGAGGGAGGTCATATGTGACACCATGGAAGACGTATCCCCCTCAGCCTTTGAAATTTTAAAATGTGCCAAGTTTTTAGCATGTCAGATGTTGAAGTCAGCGTACGTTTGTCCTTGTCAAATTTGGTTTTAACATTATATACGTGTCTTACTGTTTTTTTTTGATTCTATTCATTCACTTGTGAATTGTCTCTTCCATAGTCAAATTTGGTCAATGATGATGAAGCTACCACAGACAAGGGGATTTACTTTGTTATCAATTTTTCTCCTGCTCTTAAAGAGATTATTAATGAAACAAAATATATGGAACAGCTGGGGTTTATTGTGCCTGAATTAGCAAGGAATATCGCACTTCAGGAAGACAAGTTTCTTAGGTAAGAATATTCTTTGGGGAAGAAACCTTGGTAATGTTTAAAACATACAACGGGGAGGCTTTGTTTTTTCCACAGGGGGATTTTTTTTTCACTTAACAATGCTACCCTTGTCTAGCTGACTTTTTTTTTTTATTAATTTATTTTGATTTATCAGCAATCATTTCCATAAATCTAGCTGACTTGTTAGCCAAGTTGAAGAATGTACGCCATCTGCAGCTTCAATTAATTTTCATAGGTTCTGCTTTTGTGCCTGGCACAAGAACAGCAGTAAATACAGAAGACTATGGTGAACTGTTCTTGCTTTAGATAAACTTAGGATCATATTGGGGAAATGATGACTTTGTAACAAATAAAATTATTAAAGCATACGTCAAGGTAGTGTATGAGTAAGGGCTAAAATCTAGGGTGGATGGAGGAGGGGTAGTGTAGCGTGGTGGGAAGAACGCTAGATTTCGGGTCACCGGACTTGGTTCTGAAGCCTGTTTCTGTTACTAATTACCTGTCATGTTGGGCAAATCACAAGTGTCTCTAGACCTTGATGTCATCTTCTGTAATATGAGGGCATTGGAACAGATGGCCACTGATGTTATGAAGCAGCTGATTGTGTGAAAAGGGGTCATAGTGTGAAAAGGTAGTATTCTGGACTAGAGCTGTCAGAGAAGACTGCGTGAAGGACAGGATTTTCCTTCAGTTCCCAAATCACTTGAGGAAATCAGCATGGGACCATTATTGAGAGGATGGAAGAAGGAGTGAACATTTTTCCTGAGGTTAAATATGTAGCCAGCTAACAGACTTTTTGGGAACCCATCCATGACATGAACTTCAATTACAACCTCCAATGTCTGTCACTTCCTAGGTATACAGAAGGAATAAGGCATATGTTGGATCATTATTATACACTTTTGGGAACATTAAATGAGGCAGAGTCGACTCTTCTTGAAGAACAATCCCAGGAATTAGGGAGAGTGTTCAAGGCTGGATATAAGAGATTGAACTGGAATTCACTAGGTAATGTCATTCATGTACTTATTTACTTTTAGGTGGAATTTTATAATAGCTAATTGCCTGTGATATTTTAATATAATTAGGTTTTTTTTTTTTGCAAGGCAATATAACTGCTATTGTTCAAGAATTTTTGAATGTTTTTTTTTTTTGCTTTTTTGGTGAGGCAATCAGGGTTAAGTGACTTGCCCAGGGTCACACAGCTAGTGTCAAGTGTCTGGTCTGACACTGTATTTGAACTCAGGTCCTCCCGACTCCTGGGCTGGTACTCTATCCTAGCTGTCCCTTGAATGTTAATAAAATAGGTTCCATTGAACATAGAATTATAAATAAAGCTTGATTTATGATGTTTTGGTTTTTAGAGCCCACAAAGCAGATTCAGGGGCCTTATTGGAAATGAGATGATCTTTGTTCCCCCATTTTCCTCAACATTTAGCAGGAAATGCTGTCTAAATGGGTGACTTTTTTTGTAAGTCAATGGTCACACCACAAAAAAAAAAAGACATGCAGAACGTATTTATTTGAAACCAGATTTGTTGGGATTTGATTCTAGGGTGCACTCACCAGGCTCTTATTCTCATGGCAAGATAAACAAACATGGCAACCGAAATGAACTTCTGGGCACTGCCAGCTGAAGGGGTGGTGGCTTTGAGGTCTGCTGTTGTTTCTACCAGTGTAAGTGCTAACAGATGGGATGTAGGTCCTTGAAGAAAGCAGGAATCCAGAGTCTGAAGGTCCTGGCACTTCCTTATGAAGGAAAAAGAATTAGCCTTTTATATGGACAATGACATAGTAATTTTTCCCAGTGTTGAACCTTTACCTGAAGAATCCTCATTATACCACACCTCATAGGAGGTCATCTCACCTTTCCTTCAAGACATTCTCATTTGCCCTTTGGCCGCATCAGCAGAAAGGATCCTCCACAAAGGCATCCTGGCTATAGGTTCATCAGTATTTTATTTATTTGTTTATTCTATGGGTTTATCAGTCTTTTATCCATTCATTCATTCATTCATTCATTCATCTATTTATCTATTCATTCATTCACTTATCTATCTGTTTATTCTATGGGTTCATCAGTCTTTTATCCATTCATTCATTCATTCATTCATCTATTTATCTATTCATTCATCACTTATCTATCTGTTTATTCTATGGGTTCATCAGTCTTTTATCCATTCATTCATTCATTCATTCATTCATTCATTCTATTCATCTATTCATTCATTCATTCATTTACCTATCTATCTATTCTATGGGTTCATCAGTCTTTTATTTATTCATTCATTCATTCATCTATTCATTCACTCATTTATGCATTTATCTATCTATCTATCTATCTATCTATCTATCTATCTATCTATCTATCTATCTATCTATCTATCTATCTATCTATCTATCTATCTAATCTATTTGTTTATTTTTTGGCCAGGCAATGGGGTAAGTGACTTGTAGGGTCACACAGCTAGTAAGTGTTATGTGTCTGAGGCCAACTTTGAATTCAGGTCCTCCTGATTCCAGGGCCGGTGCTTTATCTACTGCGCCACCTCGCTGCCCCGGGTTCATCAGTCTTGTGGAGGCTAATGTCCTCTGAACATTTAGAAACGTAAAGTCATGATGAACAAAAGATCTTTGGGGCAGTGTGACAGAAACAGAGGACAGTGGATGCTTCTGCATTCTAATACAAATGGTTTGCTAACCAAAATTGTACTGAGAATGGCACATGCAGAGTAAAACGTGCGAGAGTTCATTGTCACAATACTTTTCAGGGGACCCATTTGTTTAATTCCAACTACTACAGGTAGTATCACTTGTCAGTCACTAGTAGTTCAGAATAATGAATCTCAGTTTTTCTCACTTGATGCTTTCCATCCTCTCCACCCCCACTGCCATCCCCAACGTGACTGTCTTAAAGGGACAAAGGATAAGACAGCTATGAACTTCCTTTAATTCAATTTGATTTTCAGTTCCAAATTCTCTCCCTCCCACTTCCCCTTCCCCACCCATTAAGAAAGCAAGAAAAGCAAAATCTATTACATTTTTTTTATAGACAAGCAGAATGAGTTCTTGCATTAGCCTTGTACAAAAAAAAATATGCTTCCAATTGTGCTCTGAGTACATCAGCTCTTTATGATGGGTAGCATGTTTCATCATAAATCCTTTGGAACTGTGGTTGGTTTCATTCTGTTCAGAATTCTCAAATCTTTTAAAGTTGTTTGTCTTTACAATATTGTTATTATTGTATAATTTTTGTCTTCTGGTTCTACTCACTTCACTTTGCATCAGTTCATACAATTCTTCATAAGGTTTTCTAAAAACCACCCCTTTCCTCATTTCTTATGGCATTCCATGATGTACATGTACTATAACTTGTGTAGCCATTCTCCAAATGGATACCCCTCATTTTCCAATTCTCTGCCACCATGAAAAGAGCTGCTGTAATTATTTTTGTGCCTATGGGTCCTTTCCATTTTTTTTAAAAATCTCTTTGGAGTATAGACCTAGTAGTGGCATTGTTAGGTCAAAGCTTTTTGGGCATAGCTCCAAATTGCTTTCCAGAATGGATAGACTGGTTCACAACTCCACTAACAGTGCATTCATATACCTGTTTCCCCCACCAGCATTTCTAATTTTCTTTTTTGGTCAACTTTGCCAATCTGAGGGATGTGAAGTGGCACCTCAGAGTTGTTTTAATATGTATTTATTATTAATTTATATTTATATTTATATACCAATTTATGTTTATATTTATTATATAGACCATTTATATATTTATATATATTCAGACCATTTTATGTGGTTATTGATAGCTTAGATTTCTTCCTCTGAAATTTGCCTATTTATATCCTTTGACTTTCAGTTGGGGAATGGCTCTCATTCTTATAAATTTCACTCGGTTCCCTCTATATTCTACTAATGAGATATTTATCAGAGGAACACTACCACTCTCACCCCATCCCAATTTTCCACTTATGTAATAATTTTAGCCACTTTGGGTTTGTTTGTGCAAAATTAAAAAATATATGTATAATCAAAATTGTCCATTTTACCTCCTGTGAACCTTTCTAACTCTTGCTGCTTAGGAACTCTTTCCCATCCACAGATCTGACAGGTGATTTCTTCCATGCTCCACTAATTTGCCTATGATATCACCCTTTATGTCTAAATCATATAGCCATTTGGAGCTTTTCTTGGTATATATGTGACGTGAGATATTGGTCTATAACTCAGTTACGGTTTTAATACAAATAGAAAAATATAGGGAAAATGTAATACAGGCAGGAAGAAAGGTCTAAAATATCTACTTATTCATCCAAATCCTGCTTCAGACACTTATTACGTATCTCACCTTGGGCTTGTCACTAAACCTCTCTGGCCTTGGTTTCCTCATCGGTAAAATGAGGGAGTTGGAATTGATGGCTTCTGAAGTATTTTCTAGCCCTCTACCTGTGATACTATGACTTTGACCTTATCCTCATTTTCCAAGAGTGTTAAACAGCACCATGCTTATCTTTGCTCCCCTACAGACCTTCTATATAACAGCTTTTACTCTCAGGTCTTCATGCACTAATGGTTTTGTTAATGGGTGGGAGATCATTTTGTCTGAACTTAATAATCCTCTGTCTTTCTCCATTAAGGAATAGTAATCATGAATTGGGTTATATTTGGTGAGAAGTGTGTGAAATGAGAGGAGAAAAAGTAATGCCTTTCTTTACAAAACATAGGTATTGCTGACTACCTTGGTCGGTGTAAGGAAGCCATGGGGAAATTTCAGTCTCTTGTACACCAGATTCATAAAAATTCTGATGACATCACATCCATGCTTGGATTAATAGAAACAGCAAATCTCTTTAAATTCCCAGCTCCTAAAAATGATAAAGAACTTCCTGGTAAGTTTGATATTTTATTTCTCTATTTTCTGAAGGAAAAAACCATCTCTTGCTACAACTATGCCCTTTTAACCCAAAAAACCATCCCAGATATTCAATAATTTACTTGAGTAATTTCTGTTTGTGTCAAAAATGCCATTGTGAACAAGATATTTTAAAACATTTCCTAAATTTGAGAAAACCCACCCTCAAAGCTTTTCATAAAGAATTTTATCCTATTCTTGTAGAGAAGATGTTGAGGTATAGATTGGACCAAGGGTGCCTTAAGGCTGCAGGTTCCGCCCCGGGGTGGACAATGATCCAGTCAGACAGAGTCAGAACTGGTTGGATGACTAAGCAGAAAGAGGAGCTCAACGTCAACATGGCAAGAGGTCTCCAGTGGAGCGTTGAACCCCAGGAATCTGACCTTGGCTGACAGACCAGAGCACTGGGCTGAACTGCACAAGATGAACTTCATTAGGGATAAATATAAAGTCTTACACATGGGGATGCAAATTAACTTCCCACTTACTAAAAATAGGGGAGGCGTGGATCGGTGGCAGATGTTCTGAAAAAGATGTGGGGGTTCTGCAGACTCAATATGAGCCAGCTGTGTGATGTGGGATCCAAAAAGGGTGCATGAAGAGAGGCATAGCTTCCAGGAACACGGGGGTGATAGCCCCCCAAATCTCATCTAGAGTTTGGATTCACTTTTGGACATGATTTAAGAAAGACATTTATAAGTTGGAGAGTGTCCAGAAGAGGGCATCCAGGAGGGTGGAGGACCTTGACTCTGTGTTATGTGAGTGTCAGTTGAAGGAACTAGATAGATGCTCAATAGATAGCATCCATTAAGTGCTTGCTATGTGTCTGACACTGTGTTAAGTGCTAGGGATGTGTCCTAGAAGACAAGACAGTCCCTACCCTCAAGGAGCTTACGTTCTAGTGGGAGAAGACAATGCACATAGGAGGACATGAGGAGGAGTCGGAGTCCGCAGAGTGAGTCCAGAAATGAGTGAGGGTAAAGCATAGCTGGAACCTTTTCTGAAATGGTCCCAAGGAAGGAGAGCAGATCTCAGGGTGGAAGGGAAAATAGTAGGTGAGGAAGAGGAAGAGAAGTCCAGAGAATGAGTCCAGTGTGAGATGGCAGGGTTAGCCAGAAGAGCAGATGGAAGGGAGCCAAGCTAGCTGTCTTCAAGTGTTTGAAAGGCTGTTGTATGAGGGAGGGATGACGTTAATTAGAGTGCTTCCCTTTGGCTTGTTGTGTGTCCCTCATTCTCCAAGAGGGCCATGATGTCAGGGAGGTGATGCTGTAACTTGTGAATGAATTGGGTTACAGTGAGGGAGGGCTGTGCAAGGTCACGAGCCTCACTTTCTCCCCTGGAGCCATCTGGGTCCAGTGGCAGGATATAGACCAGGATGACTGGAGATGGCCCCGCTTCTTTCTGGCACCAGAAGGCAGACCTCGGAGCAGCGGTGCCAGGAATGCGTGAATGAAGATTAGAGGGACGATGAAAGTACGCTAGCTGGGAGTCATAGGTTTGCAGAGATTCAAGCTACCCAGGAGCAATCAGATAGGAAATGGAGTCTGGGGTAAAAAACTGGCAACGAGGTCTCAGATTAGACTCTCAGAGAGCTCTCCTACAGAGAAAACAGTTTAAGCTGGGTTTTTTTTGTTTTGTTTTTCATTTGTTTTTGCTTTTTGGTGAGGCAATCAGGGTTAAATGACTTGCCCAGGATCACACACCAGCAAGTGTCAAGTGTCTGAGGCCGGAATTTAAGTTGCTTTTCAGAGAAAAAGATGATGTTTTCTCCCATGGCTCACAAAAGTATTGCTTTCACACAAATTATTTTGGGATGGTAAAGATGTGAGGTTGTTTTATGGAATTGCTTCACTGAATGGAAAAGTGTTTTATTTTTAAATGATCACAGTATTTTATTTAAAAAATGATCAATGAATGTAATAAATTTTATAACTAAAATAAACTAAGTGGACATTAAGGTTTTCCCTTATTAATATATAACCAGTAAACTTGTGACTCTTTTGCAGGTGTGAAGGAATTCTTTGAATGTATCGAACATGAAAGAGCCAAAGACGTAGAACACATGGTCAGAAAATACCTTGCTATAGGACCCCTGCTCACCAAAGTAGAAGGCCTAGTGATCCACACAAACACAGGCAAAGCCCCCAAACTGGCTCCTTACTATTTGTATTGGGAAAATAAAATTTATGAAGCCTTGACAAGATTAGTCCTAAAGTAAGTTAATCTTCTAAAAACCTCAGTCTGGCTTGTTTATTTTATTTGCAAACCATCGCTTGAGCCCCCCTTGCACTGTGGTTGTGATTTCCTGGAGCTTGACACGCTTGTCAGAACTGTCTTCCTACATTGAAATTGTAGGACCAGACACCCCTGCACATCCCAAGAATGAACCCAGCCCGTAAACACGAGCCCCAAGTTCATGGTAACTTCACACCTCCCCCGAGCAGTAGACTTTCATGGCCATGCTTGATGAACTCAGGTCTTTGTTTGACTTAGCCACACTTACTTTGCTTAGTGGTACCACTTGCAAGTCATGGCGTCATCTTCCTGGTGTCATGGTCCTCTTCGAGAACAAAGGACAAACCACACACACACACACACACACACACACACACACACACACACGCTCTGTGGGAGATTAACTGTGGAAATGAGTGTTAGTAGCACAATTAAGCCTCTTTCTTTCCCCCCACCAGGAATTTGCAGTCATTCAATACTTTGGTTCTTGGGAAGGTCCCTTTATTCCAAATTGAAACAATTTTAAGTGCTCCTGAGATAATTCTTCATCCCGGTGCGAATGAGATAGACAAATTATGTGTCCACTGTGTCAGAGACTGTGTAGAAGTTACCAAGGTGAGTACTGCGATGACCTCAGAGCTCCCTTCTAGCCCTAAATCCCATGTATATTCTAAGACTGACCAAGTACGTTCTTCATGTATATGTAGCTTCTCTTTTTGGGCCACTGGGTTCTATTATTTAACCTATGAAGGCAGTGTAGTCTCAATCGATGTGTCATTTTTTTATGTGCTAGGCACCACTGGGGAGCTAATCCATAAATAACTAGATAAATACTCTCTCTCTCTCTCTCTCTCTCTCTCTCTCTCTCTCTCTCTCTCTCTCCTCTCTCTCTCTGGCTTTCTCTCTCTCTCTCTCTCTCTCTCTCTCTCTCTCTCTCTCTCTCTCTGGCTCTCTCTCTCTCTCTCTCTCTCTCTCTCTCTCTCTCTCTCTGTGTCTCTCCTCTCTGTCTCTCCTCTCTCTCTCTCTCTCTCTCTCTCTCTCTCCTCTCTCTCTCTCTGTCTCTCCTCTCTCTCTCTCTCTCTCTCTCTCTCTCTCTCTCTCTCTCTCTGTCTCTCTCTCTCTGTCTCTCCTCTCTCTCTCTCTGTCTCTCCTCTCTCTCTCTCTTTCTCTCTCTCTCTCTCTCTCTCTCTCTCTCTCTCTCTCCTCTCTCTCTCCTCTCTCTGTCTCCTCTCTCTCTCTCTCTCTCTCTCTCTCTCTCTCTCTCTCTCCCTCCCTCCCACCCTCTTTGTCTCTGTTTCTGTCTCTTTGTCTCTTGTCTCAGTCTCTCTGTACACAGAACAGATGAAGGATATCTGAAAGGGGGCCTCATTAGCAGCTGGTGGGGAGGCAGCAAAGGCTTCTTGTAGAAGGTGGGGTTGAACTGAGCTGTATTAGGGAAATTAAGAGGCCGAGGGGATGCAGCAGAGCATTCCAGGCAGTAGGAACGGCCTGTGAGTGCAAAGCAAAGGAAGGGAACATGCATTTATTAAGTGCCTCTTGTATGGCAAGCACTGCCCCAAGCACTTGACAGATGTCTGTAGTGGGAAGGGAAGTGGATTGGTGGTTAGACTCCCTGGGCTCACATCCTGCCTCTTCTTGGTCCTCTCTGTGTCTCTTTGGGCCTCCATTTGTGAAAATGGACTCCTGTGGACCGGATGATGTCTGTGCTTCCCCCTATAAGCCCTGTAGTTGGGCGCTGCTGCTTTGCGGTGGCCGTAGCTTAAGCCCCCTGTGACAAGTTCTTTGTGCTCCGATTCTTCTCCAGAAGCCTGTAAGCATGAACATGGCTAGTGATTTGGCAAATGTACGCAACTAGTCACAGTCGGGACTAGGCTGGAGAGTGTTAGAAAGAGAGCTCAGAGTGTAAGCCATGCTGACGATTCTTTCAGTAAAGAAAAACAAAAAATGAATGTTTTCAAGTTGAACTGAAGGAAATAGTGCCAGTGAGCTCACAGACCCATTGAGATATAAAGCATCAAAAGATTTGACTAAAGAAGACACGCAGGTCCTAAAAGATTGGGAAAAACCTCACAACCTTCCTGTTTGCAGTCCTGGAGCTGTCCTCCACTCCTTCCCCCTCCCCCCAAATCCCATCAGTCACAAGTCTGGTTGACTCTGCCAGTCCTACTCCTCTTCGTCCATCTGTCTTCTCTTGTAACGTATTCTTCACCCTCATCACCGTCCGTCTGGGTTATCACAATAGCTTCTTCCCTCTTTCATCCACACTCCACACATCTGCCACTTGTTTTAACTGTGGGCTTCTTCTGCTCAAGAAGAATTAGTGGTTCATTCTTGCCTCCAAGATAACTTGGCATTTAAAGTGCTTTAAAATCTTAGAGTTAGTAGCTATTTCCCCTTTGTTAATTGATTCAGTGATTAGTGCCCCACTCTCAGTTTGACTGGTTCTTCATCATCATTGATAAGCAATTAACATCATTTAGCTTTCATAAAAGTATATTTACTGAGATGACATAGCTAGCAGAAAAGCAGAAAAATGCCCCTCCAAAGTGGGGCATCCTCTCCTTTCTACTACCTTGGTCCCTAGAGAGAGGAAAGCATTTGTCCCACCAAGTCCACTGCTAGATGTGGCAGTGCCAGTGACCAAGTGGTCTCAGCTGCCAAGCTGACCCGTTGCCTGGATGTAGCCTCCTCGTTGCTCTTGGGGCTCTGCTGGGTGCCTCATCTGGCTGTGCTGTCTTTTTGTTTTTGTTTTTTGGTATGGCATCTGTGATTTCATTATAGGCAGTTCCAGGGAGCTCCCAGTAAGGAAACACTCTCTACCATTGTAGGTTAATGCACAGGGCTAGAGAGTTGCTTGGGGACATTGAGAAGTTGTTACTTGTTGAAGGTCATGAAGCAGTATGGGTCAGAGGTGAGACTTGAAACCAGGTCATCCTGCCTCAGAAGATGTTCTTTACCATTACATCGCTTGTATTTGTTTTTTCCTTTTCAAGAGATCTCATTTGGGGAGCGGGGTGCAACCTGTAATCAGACCAACAGTGTACCCCAGATGATATCATTCAAGTTCAGGAATTCTTAGCCTTTTTTGTGTCTTGGACCCTTTGGGCAAATTAGTCTGGTGTAGCCTTGTGGACCCCTTTTCAGAACTGTATTTTTAGATAATTAGAAGAGCTTGCTGAATTTCAGTTAGAGGTTAGTGAAAATAAAAATGTCATTTTTTTTCCCCATCCAAATTCATGGATCACCCTCCCTCACCCTCCACCTTAAGAACCCCTATTCTTATCTCTCTTTAGCAAAGAAGAATTAATAAAATTCATTTGCCAGTATTAAAAGCAATGAAAACCTCAAAGCCTGTGCCCAAAACATTTTTCTCCTTTTTTTTCTTGATTCTCTAGCATTTTGTCCGATGGATGAACGGCACCTGCATCGAGTGTCCCCCCCAAAAAGGTGAGGAGGAGGAGCTTGTCGTACTGAGTTTTTACGATGACATATTCCTGAACCCCCAGATCATGGAGCAGGCCATCATGATCCCCCAGAATGTGCACAGGGTCCTAGTCAACCTCATGAAGTACCTGCATAAGTGGAAGCGCTATCGGCCCCTTTGGAAACTGGACAAGGCCATCGTCATGGAGAAGTTTGCTGCCAAGAAGCCCCCCTGCGTGGCCTATGATGACAAGCTGCAGTTCTACTCCAAGATCGCCAGTGAGGTGACGCGGCAGGCCCTGATCAAGGATGACCAGTGTATCCGCCTCCAGCTGGGGCCGCTGGCCTACACGGTGCAGGAGAGTGCCAAGTCCTGGATGATTTCTCTGGGGAGGCTTCTCAACGACTCCGCCAGGGAAGAGCTGTTCCTACTGCATGAGGAGCTTGAGGTACGTGGTTGCTTTGTTCCCTCCAACAATAACAAAAAAGTCATTTCATAAATTTTAGTCTTCTCTTTGAACTGTTTCTTTTCTTGCTTAAGATACCCATAAGGTCTCACAACCTTCTCTTTATAGACATTGGGAAAAAATCTCAAGAGGCCTCCCACTAGTCTTGAAGATCTCAAATTTGTCCTTGCAACAATTGCTGAAATTAGAAGCAAATCGTTTTTAGTGGAACTGAGATTTAAGGATATTCAAGAGAGATACTGGACCATGGCAATGTATGACCTCTATGTAAGTGATTTTGTATTTCCTTCAGTGTTTTGGGGTCTCCTTTAGCAAGCTGTTGACTTGTTTTTCATGATTTTCTTGCATCACTCTCATTTCTCTTTCCAGTTTTTCCTTACTTCTCTTACTTGCTTCTCAAAATCCTTTTTGAGCTCTTCCATGGCCTGGGACCAATTCATATTTTTCTTGGAGGCTTTGGATGTGGGAGCTTTGACTTTGTTGTCTTCTTCTGGCTGTATGTTTTGATCTTCTTTGTCTCCAAAGTAAGATTCTATGGTCTGACATTTTTTGTGCTGTTTGCTCATGATCCCAGCCAATAATTTGAGTTTTGAACTCTTTGTTAAGGCAGGGGTCTGCTTCCAGTGTGGAGAATGTACTCTCCCAAGCTTTGTGCAGCTGTTTGCAGAGATACTTTCAGGGACCTGTAAATTTTCAGTTCTTCCAAGGTGGTATGATCAAAGGTGAGGTGTTTACTCTTTTCTTGGCCTGTGAGTGACCACAAGCACTCTTTTCTGCCTTGGAACTGTGAGGAGGCTTCCCTCTGTATCACCACCACAAGCTCCATCACACCAACATTCCTTCTTGCCCCAGGACCACCACCCAGAACTGTCACCCAGATCTAAGCACAGGTAAAGCAAGAGATTCCTGCCTCAGCACCAGCAAAGAGATCCCTGTAATCCCCCTCTGATCAGCCAGTCGATTCCCCTTTCATTTGTGGGCCGAGAGCTCTGGAAGCAGTCGCCGCCTCGGGGCCTCTCCAGGACTGGGGTCAATCCAAGCTCCTTTCTCACCATGGTCCAACAAACCTTTCCTACTGAACTTCTAAGTTGTCTTTAGTGTTTGTGGGTTGAGAAGTCTAGAAACTGCTGCAACTGCTAGTGATTCAGTTCCCTGAGGCCTGCTCCAGGTTCACTGAGGCCTGGTCTTTGCCTGTACACCCATGCTGAACTGCACTCCTTTCCCAGCTTCGTGCAACAGACCTTTCCTATCAACCATCCAGGTTGTCTTGGGCTGGAAATTTGTTTCACTCTATCATTTTGTGAGTTCTGCTGCTCTAGAATTTGTTTAGAGCCATTTTTTACAGGCATTTGGAGGGGTTTGGGGGAGAGCTCAAGCAAGTCACTGTTTTTATTCTGCCATCTTGGCCCCTCCCCGATTTTGTATTTCCTAAACATTTTGTGATTGGACCAATAACGAAGACTGTTTTTAGAAAGATGGCAGATGGCATGCAGTTCTGCCCTCTGGGGTCCCATTTAAGGGAGGTGCTCTTTATCTTTTTAGTGTCATTAAATCCTTCCTCTTTGTCCTGTCTGTGGCTTGTTTGGACATAGCTGTTCAAATGTTGTTTTCCTTATTAGACTGTGAGCTCCTTGAGGGCAGGGACTGTCTTTTGCCTTTCTTTGTATCCCCAGTGCTTAGCACAGTGCCTGGCACACAGCAGGAGATACATAAAGGTTTATAGTCTGACTGTCAGCAGCTTCTTTGGATGTCTGGTGAAGCCGATGGACCCATTCTCAGAATGATGTTTTTGTTTTTGTTTTTTAATTGATAATGGAAGGAAATGCTGAATTTCAGTTAGAGTTTAGAGGAAATAAATATATGATTTTTATTCTCCATCTGAGTTCACAGACCCTCTCTCTCCCCCTAATCTATCCACAGATCAGGTTAAGAATCAGAGAGAGAGAAAGTATGGGAGAGAGGGAGAGAGGGAAGAAGGAGAGGAAGAGGAAGAGGGAGGGAGGAGGAGAGAAAGGAAGAGGAGGAGGAAGAGGAGAGACAGTGAGAAAAAGGAGAGAAATAGAAAGCATAGAGGAGAGAGAGGAGGAGAAGAGAAGGAAGAGAGGAAGAGAGAGAGACAGAGACAGTGTTAGTGGGCAATAAGGCAATAAATCTTTCTTTACTTGAAGAGTTCAAGCCCCATTTAGAGTGAAATGCAAATTTTATTTTTTAAGTGAATGTAGACATTCAACAGTCCTTTAACCTTCTTCACATTTTATCAATGGACAGATATTGATTAAATGCCTATTTTGTGCTGGGTAATGGGGATACAAGGAGAAAAAAAAATCTTTGCTCTCAAGGAATTTCCTTTTTTCTGGGGCGGAGTGGTGGCACAATAATTCATGCATCTAAATGAATACAAATATATGCAGAGTAATTTCCCTTTGGGGAGGGTGATGAGGAGAAGCATGAGCTGAGTCTCAAAGGATCTGCAGAGGCAGTGGTGAGGAGGGAAGGCATTCCAGGTATGTGGGACAGTCAATGCAAAGGCCCAGTGGTGGGAGATGGAGGGTGTGGTGTGTGAGGAAAGGCAAACAGACCATTTGGGCCAGATCGTAGAGTGAACGAAGGGCCCTCATATGCAATGAGCCTATAAAGAAGAGAATTTGGACCTAGATTACAGAAGGTTTGAAATGCCAGACAAAGGAGTTTGTAGTTTTTTAGAGGGTGGGAGAGAGTAAATGCACACAACTCTGATGTTTTGACTGAACGCACTGCTCTCTTATGGAGCTTTGGAGGGACAGCTTCCAATCCCTTAGCTGGCGGTCCACTGGCTGGAGCACAGCAGAAATAAAGTAAGTGGCGAACCTGACACTGTTGGAACTGGAGCCTTATTTGGAACAGGCTCGTGTAAGGCATTTCCTAGGTTGTTTCCTGGGTTACTGTGCAGCCAGAGCCAAAAAATAAGTCCTGACTGAAGAACGAGAAGGACAGGAAGTAAGCTCCCATTGGAGACTGGTACTCCGAATGCTTCTCCATCTACTCTCTGCCTTGTTTCTCATCAGCCTGGTGAAGCCGAGAGGGAACTAGCTTCACAAATTGAGGACATATGGAAAAATCTGTTTGCAGAGTCAGTGGAAATCGAACACTCCCTTGGGGGCATAAAGAAAACATTTACAGAGGTACTTTTTTTGTTTTACATTGTAAATACAAAGATTGAAAAAGGGGAAATGAAGGGATGGGCTATGGCACAGTAGGACAAGCCTGGAGCAGCCCGATGTGGAATTGTCTACTAGACTTGGAGTCAGGAAAACTTGGATTCAAATCCCATCTCAGGAACTAGCTGCTTGACCTTAGGAAAATCACCTAACCTTTCTGAGTTTCCATTTTTTCATCCTTAAAATGGAGATAGAAAATAAAAGGGATTGTTGTGAGGATTAAGTGACACCATGTAAGTGCTTTTCAGATCTTTAAAGCTATAAACATTACCTTTTAATCCTTGCAGGCCTTAGTCTCCACATCTATAAAATGGGAATAATAATGTGTGCCCTACATCCCTCAACAGTCATGTAAGGAAAGTGCTTAAATCTTTAAAAAAAAAACAAACCAAAAAAAGCAATTAAAAAAACTGTAAGATATTATACAAATGTGAGTTATTCTCATTATTATTATAATAACTGATGATCTAAATTGCTTTTCTCAGATCACTCGCACTGAAATTGCAGATTATAGTCATGAGATACAGGACTTTGCAAAAACGTTTTTATGAGGAAGGCCCTGGTTCTGTTGGTGAGGATCTTGATAAAGGTGAGGAAATGGCTGGTCATCCTGGAGATACTCAGGTAGATTATGGGTAAGAATTTCATGTGAGAAACAGTCACTGGCCATTCATGAAATTGCCAGAGTTTCCCAGGCATAGAAGTATTTTTCTGATACCATTTTCTGAGATATTTATAATAGATATAAATATGGAACCCAAGGGTCAAGTCAGCTTGTCAATGAGCATTTATTAAATGCCGACTATGTACCATGCACACTATTCTCACTTACAGTCCACTGGGAGATTCAGCACGCAAATAACTTTCCGCAAACAAGATTATATAGGACATGCTGGACATAATCATTAGCATTGGAGATCATCACTAGCATTGAGGGAAATTGGGATCACCTTCTTGTAGAAGGTGAGATTTTCATTGGGACTTGAAGAAAGCCAAGAAAGCCACAAGGCTCAGATGAGGAAGGAAACTCTACGTATGGGGAACAGCCAGGGAAAATTCCCAGAGTTGGTAGATAGAGTATCATATGCAAGGGGAAGCCCTATTTGTGACTGGGAACTTTATGAACCTTCTTCCAGGAATGGAACTCTTAGCTGTGTTCGAGAAGGAGTTGGCGAAGCACGAAAGAAACCGGCAGGAGCTGGCTAACGCTGAAAAGCTCTTTGATCTTCCAATTACAATGTACCCAGAACTGCTGCAAGTACAGAGGGAAATAGCTGGATTGAGGCAAATCTATGACATTTATAACGCACAGAAGGTAAGTGACCTTGTGAACAGGCCAGAAATTCCTGGGCTCAGCAGACATTAGGCTCATCCCGAGACCAGGAGAGGGCTTCCCAGTTTTTGTTTTCTAAGACTTTCTACCCTTTGTTGTGCTGGGAATTGGGAGGTGGGAGGGAGGGTTGTGGGAGCAAACCGATCCTTGGCCTGTAGGCCAAGATCCCAGAGAGTAAGTAATTGGTCATTTTGATACTTCACGGGGATTCAGGCTAGTGTCTATACCACAGCTCACAGTAACTCTGAGTGCTGTCTCAACCAGCTTAAAATGTGATTGGATAATGTTTAACAAAATGAATACAAATAACAATATGGATCATGTTAATATGAGGTTTTCCAAGTCAATATGTGCCCCCTCCCCCTACCTGCCAGGAACCCTTATCTATTTGAGTTTGACCTCACTTGTCTACACTATCTCCCAAACAGTAGAAATGTGAAAAATATAGTCAACTATTTTTTCTGGTATCATGTGGATTAGAAATGCATGTATAAATCATATATTTTAACTGAATTCAGTCATATCGGTGTGAGCTTAGCCCATAGCATAGAGTCAAAGAGTTGAGGAGTTGGGAAGGGACCTGAATGGTCAAGTCCCAACCAGGACCTTGGACAGGGTAGTTGTGCTTGGAGACCTCTGGTAGGACTGAACAGCAGTCTCCCCGGGCAGTCCATCCCTGTCTTGGTCAGCTCTGATCATTAGGAAGCTCTTTCCAACATCCAGCCTAAATCCAGCTCTTTGTAACCTCCTCCTAGTTCTGCCTTCTGGGCGCAAGCAGAACAAGGCTATTCCCTCTTCCCCTGGACAGCCTGTCACTACTGGAAGACAACTGTTAATTAGCCTCAGTTACTCTCAGTTCAAATCAGCACGTATGTGAGTGGCTGGGTACAGAGCACCGTGTGCAGTATTCCAGGGGAGGCCTCAACTTAAATAAGGAATGGTTTCTAAGCAAATGGAGCTCACAGTCTCGTTTTTTTGTAAGCCTTTTGGTGCTAACATTTACTATTTAGATAATAACTGACATTAATAATATATCATTAATAAAATTAATTGATCAAATAAATATTAACATTCCAATATAATTTATATAATATATGATAAATATAATATATTTATATACCAATACAATATATTTGTAATATATAATATACAGTATGTAGTATATAATAATATAACATAAATAAATATATAAAATATTAAAATAAGCCTAAAATAAAATTATATAATAAATAAAAACAAAAAATTAAATACATAATTAAAAATGAATAATAATAATATAATAATAATATAGATGATAACTGACATCGTGCTTTAAGGTTTGCAGAGCACTTTACATGCATAGATTACAGTGGTTGCTTTAAAAAACAAGCCTTTTCTGTCTCTTTGGAAGCTCAAAAAACTCTTTTTTAGGCCTGTTGCATGTTCTTCTATACAGTGGGTACATCTTGTGAAGCCCAAAGTCAGAAACTTTTTTTTTTAAAGATTTTTAAAAGTGAAAAAAAAGACAGACAATGAAATTAGCCTTTTCTATTAAATTTGGGTCAGTTGTCCATGGGATGCCTTGTTGAATGGACCTGCTGTGTTTTCATAGGCTGCCAAAGAAGAGTGGTCTCAGACACTGTGGGCTAACCTGAACGTTCAGTTTCTCCAGGAAGGAATTGATAGCTTCCTCAAAGCCCTCAGAAAACTTCCCAGGCACGTGCGGAGCCTGACAGTCGCCTTTTATTTGGAATCCAAAATGAAGGCGTTTAAAGATTCTATTCCTTTGCTGCTGGACTTGAAGAATGAAGCTCTGAGAGAGAGGTCTGTTGTATTGGGTTGTAGGCCTTTGGTTCTAAACAACTCCTTTCCTTTTCCCCTGCCCCGCCTCCCCCAATTTACAGATGAAAAACTGAGGCAGAGAGGTGCTCAGGGTCACATGACTAGTAAGTGTCTGATGCTGGATTTGAACCTAGGTCTTCCTGACTCCCACTCCAGTGTGGGTACTGTGGGTCTCCTGACACTACAGCTCCACAGTGCCACCTGTTGGTAAGTAGCTTCATGGCCAAAGAGGCCAAATGCCCAGAGACCTGCGTGATGATGCTCTGTCTGCAGCATCACCTGTGGGCTGAGCTCTGCCCTCACACTGCAAGGGAGAAGCCTGATGAGGGGAAGTCATCTTGTCCAACCCTTCCTTGTTTTTTTAAAAAAAAGTCTCATAGTTGTCTTTTGACTTTTACATACAGTAATTTCTCAATGTTCCTCTTCTTCCAACTGAATCTGCCAAGAAAAATGGTTAAGCAGAGCTGACTAATAACGGTTGTGGCTTCAGCTGAAGTCCTTGGCTGAGGGGCTATCCGCTCTTCACAGAAGGATGAGAAGGCTCTGCCGTGCTCTTTTAGTTGAAAGCCTGGACGCTTTCTTTGTGATGCTTTTTAAAAGAAAAGGCTGAACCTCTAACACATTCATAGGAGCAGGCTAGTGTTTGTCCTTTGTCCTCGAAGAGGACCACGACATCAGGGAGGTGGTGCCATGACTTGCAAGTGAGTTGGATTTAAGTGAGGAAGGGCGGTGCAAAGTCACCATCTTCACTTTCTCCTCCAGAGCCATCTGGGTCCAGGGGCCAGATATAGATCAGGATGAGTAGAGATGACCCCCAGGAGCAGGCAAAAAACAACCAGCACCCACATTCTCCTTCCATTGGGAGGGGTCTGTCTGTTTCTTTCAGAGCCTTACCTGGAAGGGACTTTTCTTTCCAGAAGGAGAAGCTTTGTTCCAGCTACTGACCTCTTCAGAACACATAGCACAGCTGCTTATTCTTAGTACCTACAGGCTTAATCCTGTTTTCTATTTTTTGAATTATATTTCCTGGTCATTAGGGCTTCCACCTCTATCTAGCTTAGGGCTAGAAAATCTACGTGGCTGCCTGTTTAATTTCCAGTAGCTAAACTTTATCTACCTATCATCCATGTACAGGTTACCCTCTTGGCACCCTGCCAAGCCTCTGAGATTTGGAATCCTCCAGCTTTTTGGTTCCAAAACTTTTTTCTCTTCCACGAGCATGAATGGAAGGCAGAACAGCACTGGAACCAAACTAAGCCCTGGGGCAGGCATTGGTCTTCCCCACCTAGTGATATCCCTGAATTTATTAGGTTTCTTTGGCTAGCAAAACCCTTGTAGGCTTGGAGCCCATCCTTATACAAGCACAAGGAAAGAAGAACAACTAGGTTTAGTGTCAGCAGCCTTTCTTGTAGATAGGGTCTCGACAGCATGATGTTTGAGCATCTGCTCTTGATCTGGGTACTGGCAGTAAAAAGCCTGCTGGTAATCGTTCAAGGAGCTGGGGCACTGGGAGGCAAAAGGTAGCAGAGAAACTGCTCACGGTAAACAAGAACACCACCATGCAGGTCCCCTGGGCATGACTCCCTTGAGTCATGGCTGCTCTCCTGCCTGAAGAAGTTCAGTGTTGTGATCATTCTGTTCTGCCTCCAGCCTCTTTCACACAGTCTGCCACTTACTCCTCTGGAAAGGAACCATCAGTGGTTCCCTACTGCTGCCAGGATAAAGTGCAAAGCGCCTCCTGTGGATTTGCCTTTAGAACCCTTCCCAGCCTGGCTCCAGCCTCCCTTTTGGAGGTTTGTTTCACGTGACTCCCTTTTCCCAGGCAATGCCTCATGCCTAGGCTTCCACCTCTTACAGTCTCTACCTTCCTTCAGGGCTCTGCTGATGTATCACCTCCTTTGGAAAGTCTTTCCTGATTTTCCCAGTTTTTAGTGTTCCTGCCCTCCTCTAGTTATCATGGATACATACACACACACACACACACACACACACACATACACACACATGGATATATACACATACATGTATATGTGTATATATGTATTAGATATATTTGTCTTTATTCATGTTTTTATATCGTATTTAGTATTTTGTTTTTCCCCAGTTACATGTAAAAGCAGTCTTTAACATTTGTTTTTAAAACTTTGAATCTTAACCGCTCTCCCTTCCCCCCTCTCCCCCCTCCCTATTCATGTTGTTTTTATTTCTAATGCCTAGGGGTTAGGCAGCAAACATTTATTAAGTACCTACTGTATGTATTGGCACACAGTAGGTGCTTAAGAAAATGCTTAGATTGAATTGTAAATTATGTGTATACTTGGGCATTCTTTCATGCCTGCTAGACTAGAACACCCCTTAGGGGCAAAGATTTTGTTAATTTTTAAAAAATCTTCATTCTCTTCTCCTCCCACTCAGTGCCTTATACCTAGTGGGCGCTTAGTATTGGTATAAATGAACGACACTGTATTAAGACTTAGCTGTGCATTTAATGGTTCATTTTCAGACACTGGAAAGAGCTTATGGAAAAAACTGGCATATTTTTTGAGATGACAGCCACATTCACTCTGGAAAACATGTTTGCCATGGAACTTCACAAGCATACGGATGTTATCCAAGAGATTGTGGTTTCTGCTGTCAAGGAAATCACCATTGAGAAGGTGAGGATGCTGATTTTCAAATATAAAATTAAAAACCCGGAGAAATGTGTTTGTGCTCCAAAAGAGGCTGTTTCATTCCTGTTATTACTGACTTTTGTTGCTGCTTATTTGTTTCCTTCACGTCCAACTCTTTGTGACTCTTTTGGGGTTTTCTTGGCAGAGATACTAGAGTGATTTGGCATTTCCTTCTCCAGATCATTTGACAGATGAGGAAACTGAGGCAAACAAGGCTAAATGACTTGCCCAGGGTCACCCACCTAGTAAGTGTCTGAGGCTGGATTTGAACTCAGGAAGAGCTTCCTGACTCAGGTCCAGTGCCCTGTGCACTATCGTGGCCCCTAGTGGTCATTCCTCCTGATACTCATTCAGAAAACAATTTCTTGATCTGAACATTTCCTTTTGCACAAATTCTATTTCTCCAGTAGAACGTAAGCTCCATTGTGGGCAAGGGTTTAAAAAATTTTTTTTTAAAAAATTTTTGTTTGATTTTTTTTTCTTGGTGCCTACCATAGTGGGTCTTTGGTGAATTGAATTGCATTGAATTCTACTTTCGATTGCCTCAAATAATAGAACTGAAATTTAGAGCAGATTTGAAGAGTGTTGCTAAAGGCAAGAGATGAGTCTCACGCTCTTCACGGAGCCTGCCTTCCCAGCTGTATGCAGAGTGATTCTCCGCCATTTTACAATCCAGACAAACTGGCCTTTGTTGCTGTTCTTTGTTTGGGACATTCTCCCATCTCCCATGGGACGCTCTCATCGCTGGGTCTTTCCATAGCCGGCCTGTCCTTTCGGCTTAGTGGGCCCTCCCCAGGCTCCTCAGTCCAAGCTCCTTCCTGGCCTTCCTCTGCAGGCCACCAGCCCCTCTCTCCCTCCCCTGGCCCAGGTTACTTTAAATCTGTCCTATATCATCTTGCCCGTAATATTCTCTCGTGTGTGTTGGTCCCGTCCCCTCTTAGAACCTGAGACTTGTTTGTATGCTTAGTAATTAGCACACAGTAGGCACTTCATGGAACTGATTGATTAATTGAACCATTTTTTTATATCCACCAACAGGCTGTCAAGGACATATTAGACACGTGGGAAAACATGAAGTTTTCTGTCATTAAGTACTTTAAAGGAACTCAGGAGCGAGGATACATTTTGGGAGCAGTAGATGAGATCATTCAGTGCCTTGATGACAACACTGTCAATCTTCAGAGCATTTCAGGAAGCAGATTTGTGGGGCCCTTTCTGACAACCGTGCACAAATGGGAAAAAACTCTCTCCTTAATTGGTGAAGTTATTGAGGTAAGGAAAAAAAATCCAGGAGGGGCTCGTGTAGCAAGGCTTGATAGGGCCAGTGAAGGGCGCCATCATCCTCATCATCATAGCTAACATTTATGTAGTGCTTTTTATCTGTGCCTCCCCCATCTCGTAGTCAGTCAGTCAGTCGGTCCAACATTTAGAGTCCTCATAGGGAAGCAGTTTGAGATTAAGGCTGGAAAGGCAGCTTGGAGGTAGATTACAGAAGGTCTGGAGCCCAAGGGTTAATATCTTATTTGGTAGCTGGTAGAGAATTGTGGAAGATTTTCAAGGGGAGATTTTCAAGAGACTCCACCATCTGGCTACTGCCTGCCTCTATAACTTTGTTTCAGAAGACCGTCTCTCATAAACTCTGACTTCCAGCCAAACTGGGCTCATTACCACCCCTATTCTTGTCCTGCCCTCTCTGTAGTCTTTGCTTCTGTTCATCCTCTTGGATGCACGCTCTTGGAGCACGCTCTCCTTTATCTCAAACTCTGGAGACTCTTCTTTCCTTGGGCCACCTCCTCTCGGAAGCCTTCCGTGATCACCTCTTCCCCCAGCTGAAAGGGATTTCTTCCACCTCACATTTCTCATCACTCTTTGAACTCATTTATCAGTCTTCATACATTCTGCCTTGTATCACAGTTATTTGTGTTACGTGCCTTCCTCTTTTATGTGAGGCAGCTAGGTGGCGCCATAGTGCATAGAGTGCCAGGCCTAGAATCGGGAAGAATTTAGTTCAGAATCCACCCTCAGACTCTTGATAGCAGTGTGACCCTGGGCAAGTCACTTAACTTCTTTTTGCCTTAGTTTTCTCATCTGTAAGATGGGAATAATAATAGCACCCACCTCCCAGCGCTGTTGTGAGGATCAGATGAGATGATAATTGTCAAGCACTTAGCACAGTCCCTGGAACACAGTAAGTGCTCCATGAGTGTTCGCTCCCATTAACTATTATTATTTGATTTGAAGGCCCATGAGGACAGGATTTGATTTCATCTTTTTGGGCCTAGGACCCAGCAATACCTTGTCCCTCATAGATGATGAATAAATATTTATTGAATTAAATAATAAATAGGGGAGGATTATGGTCATGAAGTACCAATAAATTAACTCATTGTTTCATAACATCTCACAGGGTCGTTTAGAAGCTCAAATGAGATAATCTAGGTAAAGTGCATTGGAAGTCTTAAAGTACTATATAAATGCCTCCTATCCTTATTATATTATTCATTCTATTTATTTATTATCTTAATTATCTTATATAATAGTGTATTAGTAATTATTGTGATATATACTTTACGAGATAGATTTTGTGAATGTATAGAATTCACAGTTCTGTGCCGATAATAATACTGTACACTTCTAGATATGGATGGTGGTCCAGAGGAAGTGGATGTATCTGGAAAGCATATTTATTGGTGGAGATATACGGTCACAGCTACCGGACGAGGCAAAGAAATTTGACAACATTGACAGAGTCTTTAAAAGGGCAAGTAATCTAATAGTGATTAATAGTTAATTATTATCTTGCTAATAATTAAAGAGGTGCAGATTCAGCAACTTTTATGCACTACCTAATACCGATCAAATTGGCAAAAAAGAATTAAAAGCAACCAAACTCACTGCTGAGAGCTTGTGTAGAAAAAGATGTACTTATGCATTGCTGGTGGAATTGTAAAGTTATAGAAACTTGGTGGAGAGCCATCTGGCAGTACGTAGTAAGAGTTACTAATCTAGTCATATCCTTTGACCCAGTGATTCCATTGGTGAGGGTATATTCTAAAGGTGTTAACAAAATCAAAAGTAAAAAAAAAAATTATCTGTGCAAAGATTTTTTCATAGCTGCATTATATGTAATTAAAAAAAAAGATATAACCTAAATGTCCAGTGTTAGGAGGATGGTTAAATAAATTGTGGAACATTAATGTAATTGAACACTGTAATGACATTAAGATCAGCAAGTGTGAGGAATACAAAGAAATCTAGAAAGACCATAATGAAATAATGTAAAGTTAAAAAAAGCAGAGCTGGGGGCAGCTGGGTGGCGCAGTGGATAGAGCGCCGGCCCTGAAGTCAGGAGTACCTGAGTTCAAATCCGGCCTCAGACCAAACACTTGACGCTTACCAGCTGTGTGACCCTGGGCAGGTCACTTAACCCCAACTGCCTTAAAGAAGAGAAAAGAAAAAAGAAAAAAAAAAGCAGAGCTGGAAGAATGGATAGTGATAAGAGGAAAGAAATGATAATAAAGAGATACAGGACACTCATGGAGACATAAAGAGAGGGATTGAAATAGTAGTATGATACTTTAAGTGTTGCAATTAATTAAATGTAAATTGTTATGAATCAAGTTTAGCTTTTCATATTTATATTCCATTGTTAAATTTCTAATAAATGACTTAATAATGTAGAAAAGGGCAAGAACTAGACAGCTCTTTTAGTCCTGATCAGGGTGGAAAGAAAACTGAGATACATTTTCTCCTTTTTTGTGTGTGTTTGGCCCTGCATTCATATGAATTTTTTTCTTTATCCTGCTTTTTTTTGCGGGGCAGGAGAGGAGCTCAGATTTGTAGTTCATGGGTGAAGGAAGCAGCTGTACCACTGCTTTTCCTGAGAGAGGGAGAGGAGCATACCCAGGGCTGTGCACACAGGAGGGTCAGAAGTGGGACTTGGAGCTGGGTTTTCCTAGTTCTGAGCTGTCTCTCCATTCACTCATCACCCTGCCTTTAGTAGTTTGTGTGGTATTTAGTAAAAAGGAATTTGGGATTCAGCAACTGATCTGAAACGTGAAGCATTTTGAATGAATTGGGTTTGGGCATCTCATCTCCTTTGTATTTTAATCTGGTTACAGCTCAAAGTCTGCAGCTCAGCTGGTCATTGCATAGTACTGGTGGTTTGGCACTGGTGGGGATCACTAAGCTTTCCCCTGCTTTATTGACTCCAGACCTGGATGAAGGGGTCTTGCAGGTGCCTATTTTGTCCACAAGGGGGCACTTGATCAATAGAAGGTTCAGTCATGTCCAACTCTTCATGACCTTGTGGACCATACTGTTGATGGGGTTTTCTTGGCAAAGGTACTGGAGTGGTTTACCATTTCCTTCTCTAATAGATTAAGGCAAACGGAGGTTAAGTGACTTGCCCAGGGTCACACAGCTAGTGAGCATCAGAGGCCATGTCAGTAGCATCATCATCCTATGCGAAGGCCAGAATTTTAAAAACATCGATTACATAGAGTGCGTTTGAACGAGCTCCCAGTCAGTCTTGTCTGAAATCTCTCTTTTTGGCCTCGGGCAGATCATGTCTGAGACCTGGAAAGATCCCGTGATCAAGAAGTGCTGTGAAGCTCCCAACCGACTCACCGACTTGCAGAATATAAATAACGGACTTGAGAAATGCCAGAAAAGCTTGAATGACTATCTGGATTCCAAGAGAAACGCCTTCCCGAGGTTCTTCTTCATCTCCGACGACGAGCTGCTCAGCATCCTCGGCAGCAGCGACCCTCTCTGTGTCCAGGAGCACATGATAAAGGTCATGTTCCCTGCCACTTGGGGTCAAAAGCCAGGGGCCCTCCCTGGGCAGGGTCAGAGACGCTGCCATGGTCACTCGGTGACTGATCGGCTGTTCTCCTGGGAAGTGCAAAGCTTTCGAGTGGAAATGGATTGGATTTGTCGATTTGTTTTTGCATTTTTTTTTTTGGCTAGGCAATGGGTTAAGTAACTTGCCCAAGGTCACACAGCTAGGAAATATCAAGTATCTGAGGCCAGATTTGAACCCAGGTCCTCCTGACTCCAAGGCTGGTGCTCTATCCACTGTACCACCTAGCTGCCCCAGGATTTGTTGATTTGGAAGCATACCTAATAGAAAGATTGCTCAGTTATTTCTGGTTTTCCATGGTGGCAAAAATACAGTGAGACTGAGGTGATGATGTCTGGTTGGAGCCAGAGATACTATTTGCTGTCTCTGGCATTCTTATCTCTAATTATTCTTACCTTGTGAAGTATGGGGTCATTTATTTAAAGGCTTAAAAAAATTCTGTACTTAAACACCAAAAAAAAGAACATTTCTATACATCACACGACAGAATGCAAAAAGTGGCTTCTATATGAAACCATGAATCTCCAGCTGACACTGCTTGCTTTAAAAAAAGCACAGAATAGATATGTTACTTTCAAAATTGTCCTACTTGTCTGTGGTTCTCAGAACTTCTTCTTGCTCTCCTCAACCCTCTTTTTTTGGGGGTACATGCCAGTTTTTAAAATAACCCCTCCAATATAGCATCCTCCTACCTATTTTTGGAGTTATTGAGAGGGTGAACTGATCGGCACCTATGAAAATATTTGAGACTTATTGCTGGAGTTGTTATGAGCAAATGTCTTTCAATTAAACTCATAGCACCATATCAAACTAGAGCTCTCTTCTTTCTCAAAATTCTGTTTGGCTTTTCTTCTCATTAAACTTTTGCTTTGAGTGGAAATTAAGCTGTTCTTTTCTTGGCTAGTCAATGGAGTTAAGTGACTTGCCTAGGGTCACACAGCTAGTAAGTGTTATGTGTCTGCAGCTGGATTTGAACTCAGGTCCTCCTGACTCCAGTGCTGGTGCTCTAGCCACTGTGCCACTTAGCTGCCCCAAAATGAAGCTGTTCTTAAGCTGTTGTCACCATTAATTGCCTTAAGATGTTTTCTAGGGGGGGCAGCTAGGTGGTGCAGTGGATAGAGTACTAGCTCTGGATTCAGGAGGACCTGAGTTCAAATCCAGCCTCAGACACATAACACTTACTAGTTGTGTGACCCTGAGCAAGTCACTTAACCCCATTGCCTAGCCGCCCCCCTGCAAAGATGTTTTCTAGGGGAAAAAGTTCTATTTTGAAAGAATTTGAATGTAGTGCCTAAGCCCACATTTCCCTTTCATAAGGATAGTTAGGTTGGTTTTGCAGAACTTTAATTTTATTCTGATATATTAACATTCTTTAAAACTTGTTTTGTGCCTGGTGGTGGTACATACCTGTAATCCCTACTGTGAAGCTAATGAATTGCTTGAGCTCAGGAGGGGAAGGAGAGAATAAGCATTTATATAGCACCTACTGTTTACCAGACACTGAGCACTTCATAAATATTATCTCATTTGATCCTCACAACAACCTTGGGGAGTAGGTGCTATTATTATTCCCATTTTACAAAGAAGGAAGCTGAGGCATATGGAGGTGAAATGACTTACCCAGGGTCACACAGCTATTTGTAAATGTCGGAGGCTGGATTTGAATTCAGTTCTTGACTCCAGGACCAGCACTATGTTATGCACTGTACTACCTAGATGCCTCTACCTCAAGAGCTTTGGAGTAGGGCTCTGGCTGATCAGCTATCCTTCTAAGTCTGGCACTAGTATGGTGAGCCATTGGGAGCAAACCAGCCCCCATTTGAAATGGAGCCAGCCAAAGCTTCTGTGTCAATCAGTCAGCTGTGATACTGGGCCTGTAAGTGGCTGCTGTGCTTCCAGCCTGGGCAGGATAGAAAGACCCAGAATTGCAAGCAAGCCAGCAAACAGAAAACCCTGGGGTTTTTATGCAACAGATGTGCAAAATGTTTCTTTTTGATGATAGACCCCTGGTTATATTCACATAACTGAATATCTGAATATCTATTTATTACTGCCCCTTTCTGTTCGTTGCTGCACTCCTCCCCCCACCCCAAGGGAATCTTTGATAGTTGAACATATTTGCATCCTACGTGACATCCAGTGATTCTACAACATGATACAAACACGGCTGTGCTTTCTTCCCCTGGGATTTTACAGATGTATGATAATATAGCATCACTGAAATTTCAAGACGGTGATAGTGGTGAAAAACTGGTGACCGCGATGATTTCGGCAGAGAAAGAAATAATGAATTTCCGAAAGATATTGCGGGCTGAAGGGCGCGTGGAGGACTGGATGACATCAGTTTTACATGAAATGAGAAGAACAAATAGATTAATTACCAAAGAAGCTATTTTCAGATACTGCGAAGACAGAAGCAGGTGATGTGATAATCTTAAAACATGTAAATGTAATAATAGTTGTCACAAATAACTATTAATGGTTTAGACTTAATTTATAGACAGATCATAAGAGGCAGATTGGAATAGATCAACATAGGTGATATGAAGTATACCTTTAGGTGACAACTTGCCAAATTAACAGAAGTCAAACTTATAATGAGGGTAATTTTTATATATGAAGGGGAGTACTAGCACATTCAGTTCAGTTGAACACATTGATTAGGTGTCCGCTGTGTGCAGAGTACAGGTAGGTCCAGGGGAGGCAGGGCATACAACGTTTAGCTAAGGCAGGGTCTGTGCCGTCATGAAGCCCACAGGTTAGCGTGGCAACAGGACATAGACAAAACCAACTGTGATTTCTAATGCATTAGAGAGGTGCCATGTGAAGTGCTGCTGGAGGTGTAGGGGTGAAGTTATTAACCTTGGGAGGATCAGGGAAAGAAAGGGTCTGGAGAAGATGGCATTTAAGTTAGGTTTTAAAAGACAGATGGGAATAAAGGAGAAGGAGGAGGAGGAGGAAGAGGAGGAGATTTCCAGGTTTTGGAAATAGTGTGAGCCAGAGGCACAGTTCATATTCAGTGTAGTCCAGTTTTTTTGTAGCATAAAGTGTATGAAGAGACATAATATCAAATAGCTGGAAAAACAGGATGGTGCCAGATTAGGGAGGGCCTTGAATGCCAGAGAGTGGGGGTTTGAATGTTACTTACTAAGCAAAAGGGAAGCACTCAACGTTTTTCCTTTTAAAAAAAATTATTGATGTCTTTTGTTTCTCCATTACTTACATTTACCAATATGTGCCTTTCCCTGTTCTTCCCAGGGAACCATTCCTTATAACAAAAAATAAAAACAGATTAAAAAAACAATTCAGCAAAACCAACCATGTCTGACATTATATACTATGCCCCACACTCAGAAATCTCCTACCTCTGCACAGTAGGAAAGGAGGGGCATCTGCATACTTCTCTTCTGGGTCATTATAATTTCATTGCATTCAGCAAGGAGGGGACCAATTCACAGAGATGTGGAGCTAGAGGGACAAATGAAACACAGTGGAGACGCATGGTCTCCTTTGATTGTAACAGCCCTTCTTGGGATATTTGGATCTAATTTGCTTTAAATGCTACTAGAGATAAAAGTGATTTCTCTCTAGATCACTGAACCCAGAGAACCTTCCACCTCCACCTCTGGGTCTCTTGGCACTTTGCAAAGAAGCCCTTGTTTAGCTCAGTTGGACCTTAGATCATACAAGGTTATCAGTCTATCTCCAGGAAACTTGTCTGAGCCTTTATCTGCCTAGATGAGAGAGCTGTTATTTTCTCCTTTTACTTCCTTATGAAAGCCCCTTCACACACCACTTCAGTGTCTTCAGGACCTTTTCTAATTGGTTTGGCTCTCTTGATGGTCAAGGGTGAAAGCCACATACAGTATTCGAAGACTAGTTCACACACATAGTCTTGTACCACGGGAGGAGAATGTTCTCACTTTTTTACTTTTGTTGCACCTTTCTGAAGATGCCCAGTGTTTGTAACATACGTTATATAACACATTGATCTAACATCATCAAAAGATGTCTATAGCATGGGTTCCTAACCTGAGGTCCATGAATTTTTCGCTTCCCCTGTATCTTGGTAACTGTATTTCAGAATGGTTGTCTTCTTTTGTAATCCCACAAATTTTATTGTATGCATTTAAAAGCATCATTCTGACTAGGGTTCCTTGGGCATCATGAGATGGCTAGGGAGGTCCATGTACCAAAAAGGCTAGGGATCCCTGATATAGTGACTCTGGCACTGTAAGTCATAGCTCTCATACCTCATAATATTTCAAATATGGCTTAAAAATTTTTCCCTTAAATTCATTCCCTCATACTTGCTGTTATTGAAACTAATCTGCCACTTTTCTAAACATGCACAGAAGCACCTAAGAATTCCCTGCTGATTTTACTGTCTTCCATAAAGCAGCGTGCTGCACGGGAAAGAATTCTGGATTTGGACTCCAGCAACTTGTGTTTAGGTCAGGGGTGGGGAACTTGTGGCCTGGAGGCCCGTGTGGCCCTGCAGTGCTCAGTTGGATTTGGTCAAAGGGCTGCACATGAGGACCTACAGGGCCACGTGTGGCCTTGAGGCCACAGGTGCCCCAACCCTGGTTTAGGTCCTGGTTTTGCCATAAATCCCTTTGCTTTTGGGCTTCAATTTCTTCATCTCTAAAATGAGAGTGTTGGATTAAGTGGTTTCTTAGTTTCCTTCCATTTCTAGATCTACGATCCTGTTAGTACAGCTTAGAGGCATCTCTGTTCTTCAGTAAGCAATCAACAGCAAACATTTATTAAACGCCTGCTACAGGCTAGCACCATACTGGCACTAGAGACAAAAAAGTAAAAATGGAACAACTTGTTTTCTACCAGGAGAGATAACACATTCATGTATGTTTATATACAAAATAGATACAAAGTGAATAAAAGGTAATTTTAGAGGGGAAGGAGATGGGGAAGGCTTATTCAAGATGAAATCTAAGCATATTAAATAAGACTGGCCAGAGCATCGATCCCTAAGCTTTGCCTTCTCTACAGAGTTGAGTGGATGTTGCTGTACCAAGGCATGGTGGTGTTGGTTGCCAGCCAAGTGTGGTGGACTTGGGAGGTGGAAGACGTCTTTCGAAAAGTAAAGCAAGGAGAAAAACAGGCAATGAAAAGTTATGGCCAGAAAATGCACCGGCAGATTGATGAACTGGTAACTCAGATCACCAAACCATTAAGTAAAAATGACAGAAAAAAATACAATACGGTTCTCATCATTGACGTACATGCCAGAGACATAGTTGATTCATTTATAAGAGGCAGGTAAGGACCTCCAGAAAAAATGTATTGTTTCTTCCTCATAGTTCTTTGATCTGTTCCTCCCCCTCCCCCTCCCTTCCCCCCCTCTTCTTCACCTCCTCCTTGGACTTTTTCTTCTCCAGTATTCTTGAAGCTCGGGAATTTGAATGGGAAAGTCAGTTGCGCTTTTATTGGGATCGAGAACCAGATGAATTGAACGTCCGTCAGTGTACTGGAACTTTTGGCTATGGCTATGAGTATATGGGTCTGAATGGACGCTTGGTCATCACGCCAACTACAGATCGGATTTACCTGACACTTACCCAGGTAAAGGTTGGAGATGCACACACACACACACACACACACACACACATACACACAATCTGACTATTTTAACTATTTAATTGACTAATATTTAACTAATAATGGCCACTCATGATTATACATATGTATGTGTATACACACATGCATACCCACATATATAATCATGAGTTGCTGTTATTAAACAGTTTGTAGAATCAAAGCGTTACATTTTCTCACTTTGCTCCTGGTCAGAGCTACTGCTCTTGACTCTAACCTTGGCTGCTAAGGTTACTTTGTATTTCTACTGTATATGTATCTTTGTACTTATTTATGTAAATATTGTCTACCCCATCAGAATGTAACCTCCTTGAGGGCAGAGACTATTTTTGCTTTTTCTTTGTATGCTCAGTGCTCAACACAGTGCCTGGCACATAATAAGTGCTTAATGAACAAATGTCGATTGATTGAACTTTCCTTTGTAGTTCTATGATAAGTGAAATAGTAAGAATGTAGTTGTTTTAACACTTGTAAATTAAAGTTCGATATAAAAAATGGCTTTATAACAATGATAGGAAAAGGACTGTATTTATAGCCACTAATATGATTCAATTTAACAAACATTTATTAAGTGCTTTCTGTTGTCATGAGTGAAATTGAACAAAAAGGTAAACTGAGACATGTTTCTCTGAGCAAGTTTATGATTTATTAGTAGGGGCATAATCAGCCAATAAAGCAAGTCAGTGGATTGCCTCAGTTCCCAGCCAAAGACCCAGAGTTGAAGATGCAACTCATTTTTTATAAGCATACAATAAAGGACAGAACATAAATCATGTCATTGGTTATGGAACTGACAACATAATAGGGTTTAGGGATCATTATTGGTTGCATTAAAGAAAGTGGGCATAGCACATGTTTGGAATGAAGACCACCTCCACCGTTTTTGAAAAAGCTTTTGTGAATTTATGGGTCCCAGGTGCATCCTGAGGTTATTGATAGGAACCAGGGATGTAGACTCATGGATATCTGGTAATTAGATAATTGTGATAATTAGATTTTAGATAATTAGATAAGACCACCTTTTTAATTGACAAGGATGAGGCTAAAGATGGGACAGGGTCAGCTAGTCTGCATCCCACAGGTAACACACTTTGGAGTTTCTCAGACTGAAGTTGTGTAGATGTCCCTAGGCAGGACTGATTCACAGGTGTTGCTGAGATAATTCCCATAGAGATAGAGTATTTTGTGACAGCGCTGAGCCTCTACACTTAGAGTTTTTCTTTAACTAACAGAGGTTGTGGAAAAGCTCTGACTTTTGCATCTAACTTCAGAGGAGGAGGCCGAGCTTTTGAACTCACATGCTGCTTCACTGAGAGACAAAGAAGAGGTTTAGATGGGTTATAGAGAATACAGAATATGGTTACAGAATAAAATCACCTACAGGGTAAAATAAATTTTAAATGCATGATCAGTGCCTGATTTTGGCGCTCTATAGAGAGCATTGTTCTTGGCTCTGGGAGACATGCAGAATTCAACTCATCTATGTCCCATGTCCTGATGGAGCTTACTAGCTAGCAGGAATGATGGAAGCTAGGTGGTGCAGTGGATGGAGCTTGTGGCCTGAAGTCAGGAAGACCTGAGTTCAAATCCAGCCTCAGACACTGACTAGCTGAGTGACCTTGGGCAAGTCATGACTGAAACGACTGAAAAACAACAATGACATCCCATAGGAGGCTAAGACACCCAGATAACTCTAATAAAAAGCAACACATGTCAGGTGCTTTGAGGAGGTACAAAATACTAGACCAAGGGAGAAAATGTTATTACTCACAGAGAAGATGAGGGAAGGTGGCTTTAGAATTGACTGTGAATGGGTGGGCTGGCAAACAGGGAGAGACAATAGTCCAGGCACATGGCACAGTGTGAGTGAGCACAGCACATATGAAGGGAAGGGCACGATGTGTTTAGGAGGTGAGGCAGAGGGTGGCCTCTAGTCTGGTTGGAGTAAACTGTATGCATAAAGCTGGAAAAGGAAGGTGGCAGCAGATTGTGAAGGGTCTTAAATGCCCAGGAAAGGAGTTTGAACTGTATGCACTAGAGTCATAAGTCTAGAACTGGAAAGGACCTTAGAGGCCATCAAGCCCGGTTCTCTCATTTTACAGATGAAGAAACTGAGGCAGGAAGCAGTTAAGTGACTTCCTCAGGCTCACACAACTAGTAAGTGTCTGAGGTGGGATTGGAACCCAGCTCTTTCAGACTCAAGGTCCAGTGCTCTATCTGCAACAGGCAGCCTTCTAGGCAGAAAGATATTGTAGAAGGAATCCTTGTTGAGGTACAGGTTGAACTAGATGGCCTCTGGTTAGGGAACTCCTGCACATTCTTGTAATCAAGTCCAATCAGAATGATACATTCTTCAGAATGCTGAGGATCCGTGATTCTTCTTGTGGACACTCACAGGCCCTTGTATTATACCATTGAGTATTCCGTCTTTGGAGGTTGCTGTGGCTGAAAAAGTCATTTCCCCTTGGGCTACTTGGGAAGGTTCTAGAGTGACAGACATTACTAGGATAGACAGTTCATTCCTAGGTCCACACATAAAACTTTTCCACTGCTAGGGCATGTATTCTCCTGCCAAATAGTCTTTGAGAACTCGGGGTCATTTCCATACTATACCAAGCCATCAGAATAAGATTTTCAAAATTAAATGGAAATTTTTTATTAACATGCATTTATTATCTTTCATTTCAATTCAATAAAAATATTTAAGTGCTTACTATGTACCAGGCACAGTGCTAAATGCTGGGGATACAAATAAGAAAAAGAGATAGCGTTTGCCCCTTCAAGGAGCTTACAATCTAATGGGGGATTGGAGAGGGGAGAGTGGTCCTTGGAGTAGAAAATGGAGTTACCTGGAAGATGGTGAGCCCTCTATAAAGGAAGGCATTGATAGAAATTGAATGTTCTGTCCTCCAGCCCTCCAGTCAGAGGGGAGAGGCAGCTGAGTGTGAGAGGTGAGTATCAAAACCTGAGGCATTCTTCATGGTGGTGAGATTCCTGGGTACGACATGGTGTTTCTTGGAGCCAAGCCAGCAGAATTACTGATGGAAAATGGAAAATATCTCTTCTTTCTACCTTCTTCTCTCTGCCCCTGGGGCAAAACCTTTGTCACGACAAACAGAATAAAATTTTAATAGAACTTTTCATAAGGGAGATCATTCTGGCAGAGGTATTTAGGTAATGTAACAGACATTTATTAAGTGCCTACCATATTCAGGTTGTTAGGTGTTGGAGATACAAACACGACACAGGATCCCTCGGCCTTTCAGAGCTGTTGTTATTGTTCAGTCATTTCAGTCATGTCCAGCTCTTCGTGACCCCATTGGGGGTTTTCTTGGTGGAGATATTGGAGTGGTTTGCCATTTTCTTCTCCAGCTCATGTGACAGCTGAGGAAACTGAGGCAAGCAGGGTTAAGCGGCTTGCCCAGGATCACACAGCTAGTAAGTGTCTATGGTTGCAATTGAACTCAGGTCTTCCTGACTCCAGGTCCTATGCTCCATCCACTGTGTCACCTAGCTGTCCCTTCTCAGAGCTTACATTCTACCCATATGGAAAATGGATTTGAGGAATGAGAGAATGAAGACAGGAAGAGCTATTGGGAGGCTATGGTGCTCATATGGGCAATAAAGGGGCTATACTATGGTGGTTGGCAGTGGGAGGAGAATTTCTACTGTGGATGCAAGAGATGGTTCACTGGTGGAGTGAATAAGACTCGGTAATCAAATGGACATGAGAAGGAGGAGTAAAAGGTGATAATGAAGGTTTCCAACATGGGAGACTCAGTCATCACTAGTGCCATTGGCTAAAATAACAAGCTCGGGATAAACAGCACAGCTCAGAAACAGAGAAGACAGCATTTCAGAGTCGGAGGGGCTGCAGGGGCCGCTGAAGCCAACGTTTGCCCCCAAGGGATCTCCACGAAGGCAGACCCGAGAAGTGGTTCTCCATCTTTTGCGTGGAGGCCTCCAGCCAGGGGGAACCTTCTCCTTCACAGTCTGCTATGGGGCAGTAGCTCCCATGGTTGGAAAGCTTTTCCTGACGTCTAGTCCAATTGCTCCTAGTTCTGCCCTTGTGATGCAAAGGGAAAACAAGGCTCTTTATTCCCTCTTGCACAGGATGGCCTTTGGGAACTTGAGACAACTTTCATGGTCCCCACAAGCCTTCTCTTGCCCGAGCTAAATGTGGCCAGCTCTTCAGCCGGTGCTCTGTGGCATGTGTTTGAAGCTTTCCAGCATTGTGGCTGCCGTCTCTTGGACACTCGAGTTTGTCGACAGCCTCACTAGCTATGATGACTGTGGGCAATGCTCTGTGCCTAGTTTCCTCACCTGTAAAGTGGGGATAACAGTAGCACCTCCCTCTCAGGGTTATTGTGAAGATCAAATGAGATCATATTTGTAAGCACTTAGCACAGTGCCTGGCACGTAGTAGGCACTTCACATGTTTGTTTCTTTCTGGCAATGGAAGGACAGAGTAAGAGAGAAGTTTTTGGTTCCTAGAGGGTCTATTGGAGAATCACAGTTATAAGAGTAGATTTAAATTAGTTTCCCTCTAGGTATACCTGTAGCACATTTTTTGTCATGTTACGGGCTTCCAGAATAAATTTTTGCTGTCAGCCAACATCCAGCTACATCTTGCATGACTAAACATGTTTTCCTTTTTGTGCTCGGTTTCTGACAGGCATTGTCCATGTATCTGGGTGGGGCACCAGCAGGGCCAGCAGGGACAGGGAAAACAGAGACCACCAAAGACCTGGCCAAAGCCTTGGGCTTGCTGTGCGTGGTAACCAACTGTGGAGAAGGCATGGATTACAAAGTAAGGAGCTTGACCATCCTTTCTCTTTCCCCTAATGGCAGCAAGAACAAAGTAGTGACTTGAGAATACAACACATTGCCCTGTCCACTCTGCCCTGGGGGAAGGAAATGGCATGTTTTAGAGAAGATTTTCTATCAAGTTTGGGCCCGATGATCGCTGAAGTTTCTTCCAAATCTGGGTCTAATTCCCTGTCACTCTGCCCTTCTTATGTCATGTAGATGTTTGACATGTGTTTGTTGATTGGATAAATTAAAGTAAATATGGAGGGGGTAGTTTTTGTTTTTTTCTGGATAGGATTCTTCCTGCAGGGTCTGTGAGCCCCTCCAGGTCTGGGGCAGAAGCTGCTGAACTGCAGCCGGAAACAAAGGCAGGGCCTCAGCCGCTGGTTCCTGGTCATTTCCTGGCTTTTAAAGTCTGTCAGACTCCTTGGCAGGGTGAATGATGGGGAGGGGGGCAAGGAGAAAGTCACAAGATCCCTAAAGGTTCATAGGTAGAAGCCCTGTGGGAAAAAGGGAGATTGCTGAGCTGAGTCAGCGAGGTAATAGAGCTCTGGGCTTGGGAGTCAGGAAGACCTGGGTTCAAATCCTGCCTCAGTCACTAACAAGCTGCAGTTCGGTTCACTGTGGTGGCCTTGCTTTCCACATCTGTAAAATGAGGGGCGTGGACCAGTTGCCCTTGGAGGCTCCTGATTCTCTGCCCCAGCATAAGCAAAGCGTTGGCGTGGTCTTGACATTCCTCTTGCTGCAGGCTGTTGGGAAGATTTTCTCCGGGCTGGCCCAGTGCGGTGCTTGGGGCTGTTTTGATGAGTTCAATCGCATTGACGCCTCTGTGCTCTCAGTCATCTCTTCCCAGATTCAGACCATCCGAAATGCTCTGATTCATCATCTGATGACATTTCAGGTGAGCACGGCAGGCGGGCGCGTGGAACTTCCGCGGGCAGGAGGACGTGACCACCTTTGTTGGTTTCCTCACTTGGATTCATCCAGATGCTCTGCCCACGGGGACACCAGCTTCCCAATGCAGATTTTCTAGAGATGAACTTTCAGGCTTGGCAGAACTGTTGCCAACCCTGGTGTTCACTTTCCCAAAATGTATTACTAAGAACTCCCCTGGGAGGCAGGGGAGCCTGGGCCCCAGAGCCGAGGACACCACGTTTCCTACCTCGCTGGAAGAGGAGGGAGGAGATGAACCTCCGTCCCTCAAGGCTGCAGCCTCATGTAGGCAGCAAGAGGAAACAAAGCAGACAGTTGAGGGGCTCCCTCTCCTGAGCTTGGCTTTTTTTCCCCAATACTTGGAGGGCAGGACCTGGGTCATTTTTGTCTTGTCCCCTCAGCCCCTAGCCCAGCAACCTGCATGAATGAGGGACATGGTATATTCTTGGCTGAACTGAATTCTTTGTTGTGAGGAGGGCTGACTTGTCCTCTCATTTTTGGGTTCTAGTTTGAAGGCCAAGAAATTTCCCTGGATTCTCGCATGGGCATCTTCATTACTATGAATCCAGGGTATGCTGGCCGGACAGAACTCCCAGAGTCTGTGAAGGCTTTGTTCAGGCCTGTGGTTGTAATTGTGCCTGACCTCCAACAGATCTGTGAGATCATGCTCTTCTCCGAGGGATTTCTTTTGGCAAAGGTATGGGAAATGTAATTAATGCAAAGTGAGTGAGCCTTAGACTTTTACCCTTCCTCCTAGGTTTCTGTAATGTCTCAGCTTTTCTTACCACCATCTCCTACAGTTACAGTCTTAAACATTTTAATTCTCAAAGACTCCTCCCATTCCCCGCCTTTGGTTTCTATTCATTTTGTGTCTTCAGAGAACAAGGCAAAGACCTTTTTTCTCTGGTAGTTGATGACTGTGGACAAGGAGGTCCCAAGGCATACCCAAGGATCTCACCCACACAACTGTAAGACAAATACTGCTTCATGATGGCCATGGGGGACAGGGCCTGGACCTGTGATTTCACTGGTGTAAAGAACTCCCTCTACCAATGCAGGTTGGCAGCTTCGATGCACCTGGGCCATGGAGAGGCCAGGTGACTCATCCAAGATTAGACCCCTAGCGTGGATCAGAGGCAGGGCAAGAAGCCACATCTTGCTGGCGCTTCACCAGTGAAGTTACTCAAGGTGTTGGACAGTGAACATGTTCAGTGTAATGGGGTGATGCAGGCTGGTCAGATGAGTCCCTTTGACCCAGAGAAGAGGCAGGGGACAGGTAGGAGGACTGATGGTTTTTAAGTTCAGCCCCTGGTGCCAAAAAATTCTACAGTCCCCTGGGTTCATCCTCATGTGTCCTCCTTGGGCCTGGGGTATTCCCAGGGGCAAGGATCTGTCCCAGACAAACAGGTGGTGTCTGAAGGTGGATTTGAACTCGGGTCTTCCTAACTCCAGGCCCACCGCTCTATCCACTGTGATACATATCTGCCTTTTGGTTAAACATTCTGTCTCCCTTTGTCCTTGGTGTCAAGCAGCGTTGGCCGATCACTCTTCAGGCCATTCAGAATCAATCTGTGTTCTGGGCATCCTGGGTAGGAGTCTGTCTTCACTTTACACAGGCTCAGGGAAGCATAGAGTATGTGCAGGAACTGAGAACAGGAACAGACCTCCTTGGGTCCATGCCCCTCTTTTTATCCGAGAGGAAACTGAGGCCCAGAGACAGGAAGTGAATTGGTCTGGTTACTTGGCTGCTGTCTCTTGTACTCGAAGAGGACCAAAATGATGTCACTGTGCTAGAGTCAAGGTTCAGTGTGTCCGACTGTGGCTGATGAGACCAGTACAAGCTTGGAGTGCTCTACCACAGGTCAGGCACAAATAGTGCATGAGAACATTTGGGGTGGATTCTCTAAATTTGCACATCCTGCATTTCCTTTGAGCTGTTTCAATTCTGCTTTGCTCATAGAGCACAGTACCTTCTCTGATGTGGGCACGCCATGCTGGGTGGTCCTGTGCCAGCATCTCCCATGTCATACGATCAATTCCAAAGTTCTTTTTTTTTTGGCTAGGCAGTAGGGCTAAGTGACTTGCCCAGGGTCACACAGCTGGTAAGTGGTATGTGTCCGAGACCGGATTTGAACTCAGGTCCTCCTGAATCCAGGGCCGGTGCTCTATCCACTGTGCCACCTAGCTGCCCCAATTCCAAAGTTCTTAAGAGAGACCTTGAGAGTGTCCTTGTATTGCTTCTTCTGACCACCATGTGAGTGCTTGCCTTGTGTGAGTTCTCCATAAAATAGTCTTTTAGGCAAGCATTTGGCATTTGAACACTGTGGCCAGCCCATTGGAGTTGCGCTCAAGAGTTTGAATGCTTGGCAGTTTAGCTACAGAAAGGACCTCAGTGTCTGGCGTCTTATCCTGCCAGGTGGTCTTCAGATCTTCCTAAGAAAATTATCAGAGAAGAAACAAGTAGCAGAGGAACCCCACATCTGGGGCTCCTTCCACTGTACCTCGTGTCTCCTTGTGTCCTTTATGCATGTGAGTGAACCACCAGGTTTCTGCAGCATGTCGTTCATGAATCCTGTAGTTAGACTAGAGGAATTTGTAGCAGATATGTATCACAGTGGATTGAGTGCCGGGCCTGGAGTCAGGAAGACCCGAGTTCAAATCCACCTTCAGACACCACCTGTATGACTGAGCAAATCCCTTCACTGCCATCTGCCTCATCTGCAAAATGGGGATAATAACAGCACTTGCCCCTCCAGGGTTGCTGTGAGAATCAGATGAGATTGTGCTTAGCGCCTGGCACATAGTAGGTGCTGTGTAAAGGTTACCTCTTATTATGAATTCTTATCATTGTGGCTTGACTTTTGTTTTGGCTTGAGGACCTTGGGTCCCTTCACCATCATCCTGACAAAGCAGAATTCATCCTGTTGTCTTATTGGGATCCTGGGGTATAGCGTTTGGATCCTCTATTTCTCAACTGCCATTCAGGCATTAAGGGCAGGAGGGGGCGGTGAAGGGCAGATTGAGAATTCTTTGAATAGATTTAAATGATTGTTTTGTTTTATGATAAAGTGAACCAAAGTGTTGTTTTTGATGTGCTTCAAACCTGTTCTTCAAGGCATAGGAGTTATATAATTATATAAAATGAGGTTTTCAGGAACCCCTTCTCTCTATTTGATTTTTGGCATATTCATCAAAATTTTGTAAGGTGTTTGGTCCCCCCCCATTTCTTTTTAATTTTAAAATGGATTTAAAAAATCCCAAAGACGATCACGTTTGAATACACAAAGAGAAGCATTGAGCTTTGCTTTGTATTTTATGTCACACAGGGACTCTGACTTTCTATTCGGTTTTCATCTTTCATTGATGATTTCTTTTCCTAAACAGACGCTGGCCAAAAAGATGACTGTGTTGTACAAACTGTCCCGGGAGCAGCTGTCCAAACAGCACCATTATGACTTTGGACTGAGGGCTCTTAAGTCAGTGTTAGTGATGGCTGGTGAACTGAAGAGAGGGTCTTTTGAACTAAGAGAGGTAAATGTCACGTCCAGTACCATTCACCACATCTTCATTTAGTAACTAAGGATAATAATGATAAAAAGGCAACTAGGTGGATCCATGGAGGGAGCGCTGGACCAGGAGGCAAGAAGATCTGAGCTCAAATTAGGCAATTCCTAGTCATGTGACCCTGGGCAAGTTACTTGACCTCTGTCTGCATCAATTTCTTCATCTGTAAAATGGGGATAATAATATCACCTACCTCCTAGGCATGTTGTGAGATAAAGTGAATTAATAATTGTAAAGTGCTTTGTAAGTCTTAAAGTCTAATAACAAACATAGCTTTTATTATAGTTAGTAGTAATAACAAAAAATAAAAAAGTTTAAAAAGTCAAAAGATTAAAGTGACACAAGGAGTCAAGATAGTCCAAAGAATAAAATGAACAATTTGAGATCGATCAAAAACTGCTGTGGAGGCTTGAGAACAAAGGGATCGGAGATGAGAGAGAGCCTTTGAAGAAGGAGGGTGTGGGAGACTCCTGGCTGTGCAGATGATGACAAGAAGTCAAATGAAAGGAAAACGCAGCACGCATGCAACAAGAAACAGATCGTTTGTGCATTGTTATTGTAATTAATGGCAGACCTATTATTCAAGGTAGATGTTGGAAACTAGCTTCCTTGCAAAACTGGAAAGAGGTGAGACCAGATAATATCCACAATTATTGGCTCACCAACAAAGCACTTTAGAATTTTCCTCTCAAATGAAAGCCTGATTCTCCTTCCTCTTTTTAAAAACTATTTTTAAAATTAATTTTTGTTGTTGTTATTGTTGTTGTCCAGTCATTTAGGTGCGTGCAGTTCTTCATCACCCCGTGGACCAGAGCACGCCAAGCCCTTCTATCCTCCACTCTCTCCTGAAGACCGTCCGAGCTCATGTTTATTGCTTCCACGACACTATCCATCCTTCTCATCTTTGGCCGTCCCCTTCTCCTTTTGCCTTCAGTCTTTCCCAACATCAGAATCTTTTCTGATGAATCCCATCTTCTCATATGTGGCCAAAATATTTAAGCTTCAGTTTCAGTATTTGACCTTCCAGTGAATACCCTGACTTAATTTCTTTAAGCATTGACTAATTTGATCTCCTTGCTGTCCAAGGGACTCTCAAAAGTCTTCTGCAGCACCACATTATGAAAGCATCAATTCTGCGGTGCTCAGCTTTCCTTATGTCCAATTCTCACAGACATATATTGCTAACTGGAAAAAAAAATAGCTATGACTATATGGACCTTTGCTGGCAAGGTAATGTCTCTGCTTTTTAATCTGTTGTCCAGATTTGCCATAGCTCTCCTTCTAAGGAGCAAACGCCTTTTAATTTCATGGCAACAGTCTCCATCTGAAGTGATCTGTGAGCCTGAGAATATAAAATCTGACTCTGCTTCCATTTCTTCTCCTTGTATTTGCCAGCAGGTGATGGACCAGTTGCCAAGATCTTAGCTTTTTTTGATGTTAAGCTTCAAGCCAGTTTTTACTGTCTCCTCTTTCACCCTCATCAAGAAGCTTCTTAATTCCTCTTTACTTTCTGCCATCAGAGTGGTACCATCCGCATATCTGAGATTGTTGATATTTCTCTTGGCACCCTCAGTTCTGGCTTTTGATTTGTCTAGCCTGGCATTTCACATGATGAACTCTGTATTTAAGTTAAATAAGGTGACAATATATAGCCTTGTCGAATTCCTTTCCCAATCTTAAACCAATCAGTTGCTCCATATTTGGTTCTAACTGCTGCTTCTTGACCTGATTACAGGTTCCTCAGGAGACAAGTAAGACGATCTGGTCCTCCCATCTCTTTGAGCACTTGTTGCCATCCACACAGTCAAAGGCTTTATACTGTAGTCAGTGAAGCAGAAGTCGATGTTTTTCTGGAACTCCCTTGCTTTCTCCATAATCCAGTGTATGCTGGCAATTTGGTCCCTAGTTCTTCAGCCCCTTTGAAAACCAGTCTGCTCTTCCGGTAATTCTCGGTTTACATATTGCCAAAGCTTGGCTTGCGGAATCTTAAGCATGTGAGATGAACATGCTTGTTCAGTAATTTGAACATTCCTTGGCATTGCCCTTCTTCAGGAAATTGATCTTTTCCAATCCAGTGGCCACTATTGAGTGCACCACTTTAACAGCACCGTCTTTCAGGGTTTTAAATAGTTCAGCTGGAATTCCATCTTCTCCACTAGCTTTATTGTTAGCAGTGCTTCCTAGGGCCTACTTGACTTCATTCCCCAGGATGTCTGGCTCTGGATCAGTAACCACACCATTGTTGTTTTATATCACCTAAATTTCTCCCTGTATCCATTCTCTTTTCTCCTCCTAGAAAGCCATCTCATATAACATATTTATTTTTAAAAAAATAAGAAGAGGAAAAAGAAAAAATAAGAAAAAATTTGATAAAAATCTGACAACATATGTAATGTTTTATACCTGTGGACCCTCACCTCTACAATAGAGTAGGGGGGGAGGTTTTAAAAAAAATTAATTTTTTCAATGAACAAAAATCTATTTTCTCTCTTACTTCCCAACTGCCTCACCCTCCCTGAGAAAGAAAGAAAAACAAAACCCTTTTAACATATACTTAGTCAAATAAAATAAATTCCCTCAGTGGCCAAGCCTAAAAATGCGTGTCTCTGCATCCTGAGCCCATTATCTCTTGTAGAGGACGTAGAGTAGCATGCTTCATCACCAGTCAGTCCTGTGGAATCATTTACTCATGTATTGATCAGAATTCTTAAGCCTTTCAAAGTTATTTATTTTTACAATGTTAGTATTATTGTATAAATTGTTTTCTTGGTTCAATTCACATCAGTTGATCAAAAACTCAGGTTTCTCTGAAACCATGCCTTTCATTATTTCTTCCAGTATAATAGTATTCTATTACGTTCACATACCATAATTTTCCCAGCCATTCCCCAATTGATGAGCACTCCCCTTAATTTCCAGTTGTTTGCAACTACAAAAAGAGCTGCTATAAATATTTTTGTACAAGTGAATCTGTTTCGTCTTTCTTCGATCTCTTTGGAGTATGGACCTAGTGGTGGTATCATAGATCAAAGGATGTGCACAGTTTGATGCCTTTTTGGGTTACAGTTCCAGATTGCTTTATATAATGGCTGGACACATTTATCACCCAGCCTTTCTCATAGTTGTCATTTTCCTTTTTTGTAAACTTTGTCAATCAATGAGGTAGAATCTCAGAATCACTTTAATTTGCGTTTCTTTAATTATTAGGATTCAGATAATTTATTATTTTTTTATTGATAGCTTGGATTTCTTCCCCATAAAACCATTCGTTCATATTCCTTGACCACCTATCCTTTGGGGAGAAGTTGTCTTCTTGTGTGCTCATTTTGGGATGAAGCGTGTTCTTTGTCATCTTGTTATGTTCATTTCTAATTGTTTTGTGGTCATTTTCTCCACTTCCGTTGCTGTACTCATCATGTGCACGGTTCCCTTGGTTCTGCGCTCCACGTTGCATCAGTTCACGGATGCCGTCCTGCGCTTCTTTGTATTTATCACGTGGGTCATTTCAGACAGTGCAGCAATAGTCCACTTTCTTAATACCCCACGATGTGGTTCGCCGTCCCCTGGTTGATGGACGTCCATTTTGTCCTTAGTTCTTTACCATCACATAAAGTGTTCCTGCAAACGTTGGTGAACACGGAGCCTTTCTTGTTATCAAAGACCTTTTCAATTTTACGCCATCGAAATTGCCCATTTTATCATAAATGGTCCCCTTCGTCCCTTGTTTGGTCATGAACGATTCCCCTATCCATGGAACTGAAAGCGACTGCTTCCTTCCTCTCCTCGATGGTTTAGGATGTCACCCTTTATGTCTAAGGAACATTTTCTGAAAAGACATCTTGTGATTTCCTGTTGACTAGGATGTGGTCCTGATGAGGGCTCTCAGAGACATGAATCTGCCCAAGTTTGTGTTTGAAGACGTTCCTCTTTTCCTTGGCTTGATTTCTGACTTGTTTCCTGGGCTTGATTGTCCTCGAGTTCGCTACCCCAGTTTCAATGACGCAGTAGAACAAGTCTTAGAGGACAACGGTTACATCGTCTTACCAGTTCAGGTAAAAATCAGGTGGGGAACAGATGGACGGTCCTTTTGGACGGCCAAAGTCCTTCACCTCTTTCTCATAGCTTTTCTTTTGGAAAATAGTGGATAAAGTATTCTCTTTTTTAGAGGTTGATTTATGATAGAGAGCTTCATTTCTTTAAACTTAATTTTATTATTATGAGCTTGAGAGATGAGTTTTAACTGGCTGCCAATGTATATTTTATAGGTGGATAAAGTGGTTCAAATGTATGAGACCATGTTAACCCGCCATACTACTATGGTGGTTGGACCCACAGGAGGCGGCAAATCGGTCATCATCAACACGTTATGCCAGGCCCAGACGAAGTGAGTATGGCAGCACGTGTAGTGTTGGCAGGATAGTTAAGTCATGCTTTGCCTGTTTTTATTTTCCTGGAATTGTAAAATGCATCACTTTTTGTATGTTTTTTTTTTGGTTTGCATTCTTTTCTTGAATGATTTAGTCGGCACATTTTAGGAGGCAAAATAGTGATGGTCTTGAATCCTTGTCTGAGGTTCAATTTCTGCCTGTAAAATCAGAATAATTGTTAGCAATGCTTCCTAGGGCCCGCTTGACTTCATTCCCTAGGATGTCTGGCTCTAGATCACTAACCACGTCACTGTTGTTTTATATCACCTAAATTTCTCCCTGTACCTATTCTCTTTCCTCCTCCTAGAAAGCCATTCCATATAACATATTTATTTTTAAAAAATAAAAAGAAGAAAAAATGAAAACTAACTTCATGGGAGTGTTTGGAGGATAAATAATGAAATTCAGATTTGCCTTTTGGGCAGATTATTCCCAGAAAGTAAGTTAGACATATGGATATGGGTTAGGAGGTGGAGGTGGGTGTGTACTTATGCACAATTGTATATGGTGGGTTAATGATTAGAAGAACTCACACACTTTCCAAAGGGCCTTTTACTCCCAGTTATTGATTTAGGTTAAGGAAAGACAGAAACCTCAAGGCTTTGAGATTTTCAGAAAATCATAAATCCAAGTTACTATTATTATTTTTATTAGGGGTAGGAGTTTTATTTTTTAATATCTTATTTCACTCATAAGTGGATTGCTAATCTGATCTGTATATGTATGCATGTATATGTGTACATATATATTCTCTCTATATATTCTAATAATAATATTTATGGCAGAACAAATAAATATCACAAAAGGACCTGAGTTCAAAATTCTGCCTTTCTGGGCCTCTGTTTCCTTATCTGTAAAATGAGGGGGTTAGCCTCAGTGGTTTCTAAGGTTCTTTCAAGCTCTTTAATACCCTGTGATCATATTCTTTGTGGTTATCATCCCTAACAAGTAGTCCTTAGTAGGCATAGCAATTAAGGTAGATAAAGCATTTATTTAAAAAAAATTATTTTTAAATTCAATTTTTGAGTCCGTATTCTTTCTTTCCCACCTCCTCCAACCCATTGAGAAAGCAAGAAAAATAGAACTCAAATGTAGTAAAGCAAAATAAATTCCAACATTGGCCATGTCCAAAAAAAAATGTCTGAAATCAACACCAGTAATGCATTAATGTACTTATTTTACCACAGCCCCTCCAAACATTTGTAATTTTACTTTTTGTCACCTTTCCAATCTTCTGGATGTGAGATGAAAACTCAGAATTCTTTTAATGTACAATTTTCTAATTATTAGTGATTTAGAACATTTTTTCCCCTTGTGGCTACCGATAGCTTAGATTTCTTCCCTGTGAAACTGACTATTCAATTACTTTGACCATTTATTAACCGGGAGAATGGCTCTTTTTGCATATATCTGAATCCATTCTCTATATATTTTAGAATGACATCTTTATCAGACAAACTGCTGCAAAGATTTTTGCAACATGTACCTGTTTCTCTCCTAATTTTACCTACATTGGTTTTGTTTGTGCAAAACCTTTTTAATTTTATGTAATCAAAATTGTACATTTTGCCTTCTTCGGTCCTTTCTATCTTGGTCTTGAACTCTTTCTCCATCCATAAATCTGACATATAATTTCTTCCTTGATTCCCTAATTTGTTTGTGATATGAAAGCCTTACGAAGAGTTAGACATGTAGAGTTCTGAAGTTTTTCTCCTTAGCTGGTGTTGTGTTTTCTAAACACCCTGTTCAGGTACAGCTTTCTAGTTTTCCTAGTTTTCTAGTTTCTAGCTTTCTAGATGGCTTAACACATCAGGTGTTTTTAAATTAGGCTTGGCTTAGTGACGAAGATCTATACGCTAAACCCCAAGGCAATGAGTGTGATAGAATTATACGGCATTTTGGACCCTACTACCCGCGACTGGACAGATGGTGTGTTGTCAAACATCTTCAGGGAGACCAATAAGCCAACAGACAAGAAAGAGAGAAAGTAAGTGTTTTCAGAAACCCTGAAGAGTTCAGTCGGTTAACAGGAAACAATTGAAAATCATATCAGAATCAAGAATATTATAAATTTATTAATTATTAATTAGTTAATTACTTTGTGGCAGAATGAGGCCAGGAAAGATTCCAATTTTATATTTTAGCTCAAGATCTGTTATGACAAATCCCCCAAATAATCCCAAAGCTGCATCACAAAAGGAGTGTCATTATTATTTTAAAGGATATTTGATAGAACAAAATTCCAGTACAACAGAGTAATTGGGACAGCCTCTGTGAGTTGATCTCCATAGGATATAACCTGTATGTGATTCTGCCTTACTTGTTGACATAGCTAATGTACAATTTGTCTTGTGATGGTATAATGCCAAAAGTTGCTTGAATGTACTGGGAGAGAGTACTGGCTTTAGAATTGAGGAGCTTGATTTAAATCCTGCCTTTGCTACTTATTTGCTGTGTGACCTTGGCAAGACATCAATCCTCTCTGGGCCTCAGGTCCTCTTGGTGAAATGAGGGGATTGGAGAAGATGGACTCTATGGCACCTTTCATCTCTAAATCCTATGATCCTACAACATGGAGTCATAGAATTTCAGGGTTGGGAGAAACCATCTGCTCCAACTCATAACTTAACACAAATCCTTCTACAACATGGTTGACAAATGGTCATCCAGCATCTGCTTGAAGGGTCCCCTTTTCCCCCCACGAGGGGAAGCCCGTCACCACACCAAGGCCGTTGATTCCCCATCCCTTCTGAGGTGATCCGTTCCACCTTGGGACAGCTCTCATCATTAGGGAGCTTGGGTCTCTCCAGCCACTCCCAAGACCAGGTTGCGTGCTCCTTATTGGGGTTCACCCCCCAAGAGGCAGGTGACTCTTATTCACTGGCCGGGGAAGCGAGCCACTTTGTCGTGGCTGGCTATTCCCTCCTTACCACCTTTATACAGATACATTTTATTTGATGGTGATGTGGATGCACTCTGGGTGGAAAACATGAATTCTGTGATGGATGACAACAAGCTGTTGACCTTGGCCAATGGAGAGCGCATCCGACTTCAGGCTCATTGTTCTCTGTTGTTTGAGGTAAGAGGCAGTGAAGTCATTCTGAGCTAAATTTTAATGATGTGGCTAATTGGGACACCCATCATTTGTCCACATTAACTGTTTGTCAAAGGCACTTTTGCATGTGGCCACACGTTTTGATGCTTGTATGCTGTAAATAATTTTTTGGGGGAATTCTACCTGTGGTTTCATTGCTATAGGACAGGAGTTCTTAACCCTTTTTTGTCTTGAGTCCCTTTGGTAGTGTGGTGAAGCCTAACAAGTCTTAGAATAATGCTTTTAAATGCATAAAATAAAATACAGAGGATTATGAGGAAAAACCATTTTTGTTGAAATACAGTTACTGAAATGAGTTAAAAAACCCAAGTTCAGGTTAAGAACCCCTGGTACAGGGAACTCCCAGGTGAGAAAGCTCCCTCCACAGAGGCAGGTCAGCCTTCTTTGCAAGTTAGAGTTGCCTGGGGCTCTGAGAGTTTAAAATGACTTGCCCAGGGTCATAGAGTCAGTATGTGGCAGAGGCAGCACTGGAACCCAAGTCTTCTGATTCAAAGGCTGGCCCTCTAACCGTTATACCACACTACCCTCTCATGTCAAAAGCTTGTGTGTTAATTTTATTGGTGCAGTTCAACTTTTGAGAATAGTTTCCTATCAAAGTCAAAAGCTCTTGGCCTTTTGACCACAAATCTTCGTGATGTATAAAAAGTTTGAGAGACATAATTTCTGGGTAATTAATCATTTTATTAATTATGGCTAGTGAATAATTAATAAAAAGATGGTTATATGGCCATCTCTTATAAACCAAAGACCTCTCATGGGGGCCTCTTGATGCTTATATGCCCTTGGAAGAGTGGGTGTTCCCAATAGATGGCTATCAACTCTGATTAGTTAACAATTAATGAGAGAATTAATATTATAATAAGAGATGGGTTTATTCCAATGAGGGGCACAGTGGGCATGGTCCCCCCTGACCATAACTCAGATCACTCAGACCTAGACAAAGAGATTTAGCTCTACCCAAACCCACCCCTGTCTAGGGCAATCTAGACAAAGAGAGTCTACCTCCACTTGGATCTGTCTGACCAGAACACCTGGACTTTACTTTTTGGTCACATCTAAACTTTCCTAGTTGGGTAAGTCTTGTCCAAGATTTCATCTCATCATCAGCTCTGCCCTTCAGAGAACTAAACTTTGACCTAATCTCTAAATGAGGAAATAGGAAGGGTAAAAATCCTGTGTCTCCCCCATAGTAATTGGTTGTTAATATGAGAGAAATAATCATTTCTTTACCTTCTCCAAAGAGATGTCAGTCCAAGAGAACATAAGATTGTTGAATGCCAGGGTAGCTTTGTACATTCACCATGAGGCCCTGGCCACAGTGAATGCTTGCTCCATCAGTGCTTGCTGGACTGGGCTCTATTGGATTGGGTTCTTCAATACTGGATCATGCCTCCTTCCTTTTATATCTGCATTTCTTTGAGGCCTGCTGAAATGAAAGTTGTGTGGCTATCAGAGAAGGTCCCCAGGGTCCTGGGAGTTAGCACATAGTGAATTGTAGGGGGAAGGTCCATCCTATAGCTTGGCATGATGCCTGGACCAACATCTATGCTGAATAAACATCTATTGAATTGCATTGAGTAGTAAATGAGTTCATCTGAAACTGAAAAGTGTTTGCACATGAGATGAAGGTAGTCAGATTTCTGGGTCACCAGACGTTCCACAGGCAATATCCACCTCGATTGTTCCATGAATACTATGTAACAACTTTTTTTCCTTCCTTCCTTCCTTCCTTCCTTCCTTCCTTCCTTCCTTCCTTCCTTCCTTCCTTCCTTCCTCCTTCCTTCTTCCTTCCTTTTCTTTCTTTCTTTCCTTCTTTCTTTTCTTTCTTTCTTCTTTCTTCTTTCTTTCTTTCTTTCTTTCTTTCTTTCTTTCTTCTTTCTTTCTTTCTTTCTTTCTTTCTTTCTTTCTTTCTTTCTTTCTTTCTTTCTTTCTTTCTTTCTTTCTCCCTTCAGGTTGGGGACTTACAGTATGCTTCCCCTGCCACCGTCTCTCGATGTGGGATGGTTTATGTTGATCCTAAAAACCTGAAATACGACCCTTTCTGGATGATGTGGGTTAACCGGATCACCAACAAGGTAAGCATTATTTCTAAATGAGAGCGAAACAACTGAGTAGAACTCATAACTGTGTTGAACTCTGGTATCCAAAAAGTTCTGGCAAAGGATGGACATCGTGTGGAAAGCCTTGGGGCTGTGTCTTGGGCCCTGTATTATCTGACAGTTTCACCAGTGACTTGGGTGAAGACAGTTTATCACTGTTATTATTAAGCAGACAGACACAGAGGCATCATAGGAGACAGAAGGTTGGCCTTGAAGCCCAGTTCAAATCCCGTGTTCTTCAGGAGACCTTTCTTGGCTCTTCCAGCCACTAATGTCTTCGCCTTTCAGATGACTTCCCATTGACTCTGTATATACCTTGTCCATATCTATTTATTTACATGTTGACTCCCTTATCAGAGTGTGAGCCCATTGAGGACAGGGACTATCTTTTGCCTTTCTTTAAATCTCTTGCGCTCAGCATATAGTTGTCATTGAGGATCGTGACATCAGGAAGGTGGTGCCATAACTTGCAAGTGAATTGGATTTAAGTGATGGAGGACTGTACAAAGTCAGTAGACTTACTTTCTCCTGCAGAACCATCTGGGTCCAGTGGTGAGATATAGATCAGTCTGACTGAAGATGGCCCGAGATACAGTGGAAGACCTTGAACAAATGCATGTTGACTGACTGATCAGTAAAATCATGGGTTCAGAACCCATCCCTATTCCCTACTAAGCAAACATTACTATATTTATTAGGTATAATATAGGGCCATTGCTTGATATATGATAATGACATTTTATATTTATGTATTGCTTTAAATTTTAATAGTTTCATCCCTGATGTCTCATTAAATGTTCACAACTCATCTGGTAAATAGGGCAGGTCTTCTTATCCCCATTTTATTGATGAAGAAATTGACAATGAGAATGGTCCTGGATCTCAAACGTACTAAGTGGCAAAGCCACGGCGTGAACTTGGGATTTCTTTTCCACATTTTGTATTTTTTTTTTGCAATGAAATCAACTTGCTTCTTTGTTTTAAGTAGAACACGAGTTCTTAGCCTTTTTTGTGTCCTGGAGCCCTTGGGCAGTCTGGTGAGGCCTATGGACTCTTCCCTAGAATGTGATGGATTTAAATACATAATATAAAATATATAGGTTTACAAAGGCATCCAATTATATTAAGATAGAGTTATCATATTGAAAAAGCTCACAGATCTGAGACTAAAAGCCCCTGATTAACAGGCATTTTAATATACCAAAATTAATAAAAGCTTAGCTACCAAAGAAAAATATTTTCAAATATTTGCAGTCATCAATTAGAATCAGAATGTGATTCCTACCACAATGGAGTTATCAAAAATAGGAGTGCCTTTGAATACATGCATCAGTGATGCATAATGGTGCCATTGTGAGAAGAGGGTCCTTCCATTGATCTGCAGTGGCCCTGGCCCATCCCTGAAGCCTTACAATCTGCCCACTGCTCAGATTTCACCAGATTCAGGAGAAGCAGCTTCCACCTGTCTTTTGATCATTAAAAAAAATGATAATAAAACCTCTAAGACGTGGGTCCTGGTGAGGCAGCAGCCCCTGATGACCTGTTGGAATGGTGTTCTCTTCCAGCAAGAGCAGAAAGATCTGCAGCAGCTCTACAACAAATACGTTCCCTACCTCATTGACATGATCGTGGAGGGGATTCTTGATGGCAGGCAAGGGGAGAAGCTCAAGACCATAGTGCCTCAGACAGACCTAAACATGGTAGGAAAGTGTCACTGTTCCTTCCCTTCCCTATCCTCACCCACAGTCAGCCTCCTGGGTGCAGGGAGGGCGCTGTCCAAGGTCCTGGGAGAAATAAGGATTAGGGCTAGGGTGCGGTGAATGTAGAAGACACACGTTATGAAAGGATCGGTGCAATTAGGGCCCCGTAAAACAAAGTGCTGGGTGAACTCATTACCAACCAGAGGGATCAGGGAAATTCCCCTAGGAGATTTAGACTTTCGGTTGCTCTTTAAAGGATGGGGAGGGGCAAATGGAAAGCTAGGTGGTGCAGTGGATAGAGTGCCAGGCCAGGAGTCAGGAAGACTTGTCTTCCTGAGTTCAAATCCAGCCTCAGATGCTTACTAGCAAGTCACTTCATCCTATTTGTCTTAGTTTCCTCATCTGTTAAATGAGCTAGAGAAGGAAATGGCCAACCATTCTGGCATCTCTGCCAAGAAAACCCCAAATGGGGTCATGGAAAGTCAGACACGACTGAAAAATGACTCAACAAATCTCAGAGAGAAGGCTCTGGTAGCTGGGGTTGGGGAAGACCAGTAAAGTCTCTTGTAGAAGGTGGAGCTTGAGGGGAGACTTGAAGGAATGTGGAGGTGAAGAGTAAGAGCATTCTGGGCGTGAGGAATAGCCAGTGCTAACGCATGGGGATAGCAGTGTTGGAGCGTCCTGAATGAGGAATAGCAAGTGGACCAGTGTGGCTGGACCACAGAGTCCATCAAGGGAAGCAGAGTATAAGAAGACTGGAAGGGTAGGAAGGGTCCATATTGGGATTGTGTTCGTCCTGGAGGTAATAGGGAACTGTTGAAATTTATTGAGTAGGGGAGGGGCATGATCACATTTGCATTTTAGGAAAATCACTTTGGTAGCTGAGTGGAGGGTGGATTGGAGTGGGAAAAGAGCTGAGGCAGGGAAGTCAGGTGGGAGGCTATTGTAGCAGTTAAGGCAAGAGGTGATAAGAGCATGTCCAAGGGACTTGTGGGTGCATGAGTGGAAAGAAAGGGACATATATAGTATGGTGTCAAAATAAAAATGGTGGTATTTGACAACAGATTAGATATGTGGGTCAGGTATGAGTGAGAAAACATCGAGGAGGATAACGATAGTAATAACAATAATAGCATTTATATTGTACTTTACAAATATTATTTTATCTTCACAACAATCCTGGGAGGCAGGTGCTATTATTTCCCCATTTACAGAGAAGGAAACTGAAGCAAATCCAGGTTAAGTGATTAGCCCAGGATCATTCAACTAGTATGTGTCTAAGGTAGCATATGAACTCAGGTCTTGCTGACTCCAGGCCCAAGGCTCCAACCACTGTGTCACCTAGCTCCCTGTATACCATATATCAGATAACACTGAAGATAACACAGTCTGTGTACCTATGTGACTGGGAGGATCATAGCACCCTCAATAGTAGTAGAGAAATTGGGAAGGAGGGACAATTTGGGGGCATGATAATGAGTTCTGTTTTGGCCATGTTTAGTTTCAGATTCCTATGGGAAATCCAATTTGAGATGTCCAAGAGGTGGTTGGTAACACGGAGCTAGAGTTCTAGAGAGAGATTAGGGCTGTATCTATCAACCTGGGAATCATTGTAATTGAGCCCATGGGAGCTGTTGGGATCACTAAGCCAGGGGCCAGGACAGAGCCTCAAGGGACAGACTTAGTGGAGGTGACCTGGACAAAGAACCATAGAGTCAGTGAGTAGTGGAGAGTGGACAGGTAGGAGGAGATCCAGAAAAGAACATGTCATGCAGACTCTAGAGAGGAGAGAATATCTAGGAGGAGAGGGTGAAGGATGGCATGACCCCTCATCTGCCATCTTCATCTCTGCACTGGCTGTCTCCATACCCGAAGTGCCCTCCTTCCTCACCTCCATCACATTTCACTCCACCTCTTCCAAGAGGCCTTTCCCCCTTCAAATTACCGTGGATATATTTTTATTTACTCATGTGTGTGCACCATTTCCCTCAATAGAATCTGAGCCTCTTAGGTCAGAGGCCATTTTTCTTCTGTCACCTTAGCATAGTGATTACCCCATTACATAAATGCTTAGTGACTGCTTATTTTCTGACCATGTGCTTTCCCTTATTCTGTGGGCTAGGTGACTCAGTTGACCAAGATGTTGGATGCCTTACTTGAGACAGAAATAGAAGACCCTGAACTCTTGGAATGTTACTTCTTGGAGGCTCTCTACTGTTCTTTGGGGGCCTCCCTCCTGGATGATGGCAGACTGAAATTTGATGAATGTGTTAAACGAGTTTCCTCCATGTCAACAGTAGAAGATGAGGAAGTCTGGGCCAGACCTGGTGAACTGCCAGGTTGGTGCTGGCCGGTTTGACCCATTCTCCTATATGGGGCTTAATTTTTTTCTTCTATCTTCAGAAAGTGGAATTGGTAATTATTTGCAGCATGGTGGATAGAGGTCTGCAGCTTTGGAGTCAGGGGGACCCCAGCTGCTAGCACACACTAGCTGGGGAGCCCAGGGCACTTATTACTTAACCCTTCAGTGCCCAAGGCTCTGCTCAAAGATTGTGAGTCACAGAACGGTTGCCGATCTGTATCAGGGAGTATGTAAGTTCCTCACCCTGATGAAATCATGGATCTGGGCCAAAAAAAAAAAAAAAAGAATTCTTTTGGCTGTGGACGACTGTATAAATGTAGTAAGTTCCTGGTGAAATCAAATCCCCTCGTTCTCCATGTCTTGGAGATTCCAAGCTTCATTTTGTTGCCCCCATTTTCTCCCCTTCCCCAACCTGAAACTTGGGCAGAGATCATTTCTCTTTTGTCTTTGCACTCCTAGTACCTCACATTGTGCTGACCCATAGTAGGCTGCTTAATAAGTGCTTGTGGATTGACTGGTCGATTGATTTAGCCAAGTTACTTATTTGGTCTTCAGTGGCTGCTTGAATTTCTCATATTCCTGCTGACTTTGGAATATTTCTTCTTCATCCTTTCCTAGCTGTGTCTTTGAGTTCTGCAGTTACTTCCTTCTGCCCCATTACATAGCTAGGAATGTTTTTTCTTCTTTTTTTATAATCTTTTGTTTTTACCACACCAAGATCTCTTAGCATATACCTCTTTGCATAGCATTTTCATGGAAAAATGCAAAGCAGAGCTTTGCAGGAAAAACCTGCAGAAAACCATTGTAACCACTGTATCAAGATTTTTCATTCTACCCATGAAAAAAGAAGTCTCACCCGAGGACTGCTATTCACTGAGGTGTATTTTTTTTTTTCTGGAAGATTTGAACTTCCATACCTACTTAGAATGGGGTCTTGGCATCTCTCTGTCTTCATTTGGAGACCTATGACTTCCTCATTTGGGAACTCTTATGGTAGAAACTCCTTTTACCGATAAAGGTAAACTTGTCTGGCACTTTTGAATTCTAAAATGATTTTAAGATGATCTTAAGGTGTTTCGTGAGAATGGATAATTTTTGCCAACTGTTTTTATTGGAACAGTTCACAAATTTGATTTCATTTCCAACATATGCTGGAACTCACTTGCATTTCAGTGTTCTGTAGCTGAATCGTATGCTGTTTGTTTTAGGTCAGCTTCCAACACTGTATGACTTTCATTTTGATGGCAAGCAGAAGAAGTGGATCCCATGGAATAAATTAGTTCCTGAATACATTCATAACCCAGAACAGAAATTTATTGACATCCTGGGTAAGTAAGAATAGAATTAGCATGAGAATATTTAATTATTCTGTTTAATATGGGAGAGAAAGGCATCCTTGTGAATTACTTTCAGAGGTTCGGCCAACAGAAATTGTGGTAAGTATGGTTTAGTGTTGACTCCCAAATGGTTATCACTTTGTTTTGGAGGCAGTTGGGGTTAAGTTACTTGCCCAGGGTCACACAGTTAGTGTCTGAGACTGGATTTGAACTCAGGTCCTCCTGACTCCAGGGCCAGTATTCTATCCACTGTGCGACCTAGCTGCCTTGGTTATCCCTTTTTAATAAAGAACATGTTCTTTGAGGCAGTGGTGTCTTCATGCCCTATATTTGTCAGCTGGGTACCATCATTCTCAGTATCATAGGATGAGGGACAAAACAGACAAAGATGATGGTGGGGGTGGGGTGGGACACTGGCCCGCTCCCTGGCCAGCCTCTCTTGTATCCCTTGGTTCCTGGCATCTTTGACAAATGTAGAAGATGGCATGTTGGTGGAGCTATGGTTCCACCGTGCCATCCAGTGCTAATGGAAACAAATGGAATAAGCCAGAGCTAGAGATTAGAAATCTCTAGAACTGGTTTCTTTAATGGTGCCCAGTGTAACTCTCTTTATGGAATAGTTGTTTTTCTAAGAACTATGCAAGTCAAATTTTAAAATTGAATCAGAGATTATTTTTAATGCCAGCATTAAACAGGCAGCAGCAAAGCATGGAATACCAGGGTCTTCAAAGCACTGAAATGAAATGTGACCCCGAGGGCAATGGAGAGGCACATCATGGAGGACGTGAGGGCAGGCTACAGAACGGGAGAAAAGGATGGGACAGGCAGATGGAGGAGAGGAAGAAGAAGGGTCTGGCCAGGTGGCGAGGGTGAGGGATGGCTTGTGGACAGCCAGGAAGCCACGCTGGCATCTTCAGGATGCCTGGAGAAGTTGAGGAAGCCCTCCGACATGATGGATGTGAACAAATGGGAAGACATGGACAGGAGTTCAACTAGATGGGCAGGTATGGGTTGGCTGTGATCTGGATCATTGGAGGAGAATACTAGCATGGATGAGGCCTTATCCATTTGGGATTTGGACTGTAGGATCAAGGCACTATTGCTATTTATTTGGAAGAAAACTAGGTGATGAATACTTTTATGGAGCAAATAATCATGCCTCAAATTGTTCTGTTTTATGTATTTGGATTTCAGCATGTTGTGCATTTTGAAAGTGCATCTAGATTGTCAGTGATCAACCAGAGTTAAAATCTGAGCAACCAATGCTATTGAAAACAGTCAGTGCTAGAACTTAGTGAAGCCCAAAGCCCAAGTTATATGTCTGAGTTAGAGGAAGTTGTCAAGGTCTTTTGTACCCTGGTAAATCAATTCTAGGTTCAATCCGTTGCATTTTAAATGAATTCTTAAATGTTTCATAGTTCACACAGTGGATACCACCCGTACAACTTGGTTGCTGGAGCAAATGGTTAAAATTAAGCATCCTGTTATTTTTGTGGGTGAATCTGGTACCTCTAAGACAGCCACTGCCCAGAACTTCCTAAAGAATCTTAACCAAGACCTCAATGTAAGTCCTTGTGCTTAATTAGTAACAACCAATACTTCTCTAGCTCTTTAATATTTATAAAAAAAGACTGTGCAACTTACTTAACTCATTTGATTACATATTAGCTCATTAATCTATTATTTCTAATTCTTTTCATGTTTTGCTTCTTCCTTCCTTATAAAGTACTCAAACTATCCCTTTTGTAAATCTTTGCCTCTCCACCTTTCTTTATGTGCCTTTTCTGCTGCTTTTTTTGCATACTACTGAATTCCCTGGGAGAAGTCACAGAACTGTGCTGACTGAATTGAATACGAATTTATGTCATCTAATGTCACTGCTGTTTGACTTTCCTCTTACTCCTCCCTGGCTGACTCTATGTCACACTCACCACAGAAATTGTTGCAAGCCTTCTCTTTCCTTTCCTTTCCTTTCCTTTCCTTTCCTTTCCTTTCCTTTCCTTTCCTTTCCTTTCCTTTCCTTTCCTTTCCTTTCCTTTCCTTTCCTTTCCTTTCCTTTCCTTTCCTTTCCTTTCCTTTCCTTTCCTTTCCTTTCCTTTCCTTTCCTTTCCTTTCCTTTCCTTTCTTTCCTTTCCTTTTTCTTTTCTTTTCTTTTCTTTTCTTTCCTTTTCTTCTCTCTCTCTCTCTCTCTCTCTCTCTCTCTCTCTCTCTCTCTCTCTCTCTCTTTCTTTCTTTCTCAATTGGGGTTAAGTGACTGTGTGCCCAGGGTCACACAGCTAGTACAAGACTTCTCTTTTTTTCTCAAGCTGCCCTTACTTTCTCTTCCCTGCCTCTTAGCAGAGGACCTTGCCTCATACTTTACTGATTCAGCCTTTTTTGCCTGTCTAGGTATAGGTTTGAGGTAGGGGGTAAAGCCTAAGGGGAAAAAAAAGTACTCCCTTCTCCCTGGCTCCCACCTTTGGAATGCAGGGGTTGCTGCTCAGGTTCAGACACATCTTTTCTCCTCCCACTGGGTAGTTTCTACTCACTTCTCCCCAACAGCAACAAAATTTATAGTGTAGCCAGTGAGCATAGTTGTAAGACTTCTTTCAGATCTGTTCAGCATCTTATGAGTAGGAGCAGAAAAGGTAGATAATGGGAGTAATCCTGGGCTGGACCTGATAAAGTACTTAAAGGTGGGAAGAGGGGGATGGGAACTGGAGGTCATGAAGAGAGCAAAAAATAGGTTTAGCCCAAGTGAAGCATAGGGACAGACAGAATGAGAGAGGTTATGGTCATATATAGGAATGGCAGAGTCTGCCATGTTTTGTGCTCATGGATAGTGGTAATCCTGTAAAAATATGTGTAGGCTGAGAAGTTATCTCATCTCTTCCAATTGTATTTTCCTTACAGTAGAATGAAAGCTCCTTGAGGGCAGGGGCTGTTTTGTTTTTATCTTTGTCTATGTAGGGGCTACCACAGTTCCTTTTGCATAGTAGGTACTTAAAATTTTTTTTTAATTTTAATTGAATTGACTATGCTGCTGCCAAGGTCCACATGTAGAAACTGGCTTACTTGCAAATTGGCAGACGAGACCTGCCTCGTTCAGGGAAAAGGAATGACTCATGTCTTAAAGCACAATGAAATCGATCCAATAAACATTTTCAGTGAGTTGGAAAAGGTTTAAGTTTGAAAATTGTTGAATTAATAAAATAGATGGAAACTCTTCTTCACACTTTTGTGGTTGACTAATGAAGTAACATTATACTATTATGTCAAAATAGTTAGCTTCCTATCTCCAACACTATCTCCATTTCAGATTGTGCTCATCGTTAATTTCTCCTCCCGTACCACATCCATGGATATTCAAAGGAATTTGGAGGCAAATGTTGAGAAGCGAACTAAAGACACTTATGGACCACCCATGGGTAAACATCTCCTGGTATTCATGGATGATATGAATATGCCCAAGGTAACTGAAGGATTTCATTGAGAACATTACAATAGCCTCCAGGAAGTATGGATTCTCACTTGGAGGCTTCAGAATGGTTCCTGGGTTTCTTTATCTCTCTGCCCATGTACTCTGTGGTTTACTTTCTTAAAGAATAGTGGTCAAATTGAATAATGATATGTTAGTACGTGAATTCAAACTCTTCTGCAGCTTGAAATAATATTTCATTGCCTTTCTTTCCTTCCTTGCTTGCTTCCTGAATATACATATAGTTCCTACCCTACAAGATCCTAATAAACCCATCTAAGGAGAGGGACCTTTACTATACACAATAAGGATACTCCTGGGTGTAGAGAGCTCTTTGGCAAAACTTGTGTAAGAGTGTGCTGGAGGCAGCTCACACCAGCTCAGGAATGCTGATTATTACATTTTCAGTGTGATCATTTACGTCTTGGAAATCAGCAAATGCTTCAAATCAGGGCTTGATTTATTGATTTCATAGACTTAAGAAAATTATTGAGAAAATATTAATAATACAAACTAAACTTTACTGTATGTTGTGTGTACATTGTTTTTCTGGGAAGCTGATTGTTAAACATTTGCCAATACATCCCTGCCCTATCTAGCATTTAAAACTATACAGATCCTGGGAACCCATTTTGGAAAAATTTGTTTCCCTGGTAGAGTAAGTACACAGCCAAGATCCATGACAATGTATCTTCCGTGATAGAGTATAAGCTTCTTGAGGGCAGGGACTATTTCATTTTTTAGTTTCTATCCCCGAGGGCCTGCAGTGTCTGGTACATAGTAAGTGCTTAATAAATGCTGATTGATTGATTGATTCTTTTCTTCTCAAAAACAAGGTTGATGAGTATGGCACACAGCAGCCGATTGCTCTGCTGAAGCTCCTTTTGGAGAAGGGTTTCCTGTATGACCGTGGGAAGGAGATGAATTGTAAAGTCCTCCGAGACCTTGGATTCATCGCTGCAATGGGAAAGGCAGGAGGGGGTCGGAATGAAGTTGATCCAAGATTTATTTCTCTCTTCAATGTTTTCAACGTGCCATTTCCTTCGGAAGAGTCTTTGAGTCTCATTTATGCCTCCATCTTGAAAGGCCATACTAAGGTAATTTGAACTTAAATTAGAAACAGAAACTAAAGTATTATTTGACAGTAACTTGTGATGAGTTAAATTATAACCTTCAAAGGGCTCTTTGATGAGCGGCCCCTCTCCTAGCACCCAACTGCTTGGCACCCATCACTTTCCCACTATTTCCTCCTCCTCAATCAGGCCGTCCAGTTACCTGCGGTGGTCTTACTTTGTAGGTGTTTGCAGAGGCGATCGCCGCTGTGAGTGACTTGATGACCTTCTGCACGCTGCAGCTGTACCAGATAATTGTCCAGGACCTTCCCCCGACGCCCTCCAAGTTTCATTACATCTTTAACCTTCGGGATCTCTCTCGAGTTTTCAATGGGCTTGTCCTCACCAACCCAGAGCGGTAAGCGTATGTGGTCTCACCTGCACCTGGTGCTCACCATTTCCTCTTTGAGAGAGAGAGAGAGAGTCCCATTCAAGAAACTCCAGTGGCTTCCTATTACCTCCAGGATCAAATATGTTCAATCTTCTGTTTGGTGTTTAAAGCCTTTCATAACCTGAGCACTTTCTCTTTCCAATCTTCTTACACCCTATTCCTCTTCACATACTCTTCCATATGGTAACAGTGTCCTCCTTGCTGTTCCTCTATATCCCATCTCCTAACTCTGATCATTTTTGCTGGATGTTTCCTGTGCCTGAAATTCTCTCCTTCTACACCTTCTCCTCCTCCTTCTCCTACCTTTCCTGGCTTTCTTCAAATCCCAACTAAAGTCCCACCTTCTGCAAGAAGTCTTTCCCAGTTCTCTTTAATCTTAATGAAGTCCCTCTGTTGATTACCTCCAATTTATCCAGTCTGTATCTAGTTTGTATATACTTTTTAGCATATTCTCATGCTTATATAATTATGAGCTCCTTGAGGACAGGGCTGGGTTTTTTTTAAATCTTTCTTTGTATCCCCAGCTCTTAGCATAGTGCCTAATGGCACAAAGTCAATGCTTAATAAATTCTAGTTAACCAACTGACTTTCTATTAGCTTTTTTAGTTTTCCCCCTTTTAGTCCAAAGGCCATTCTTCTTGGCAGAGAAACAGTCAACTTAAAAATTGAGCATAGAGAGAGAAGAGGGGAAAGAGAGAGAGAGAGACAGACAGAGACAGAGAGACAATGAGAAAGAAGAGAGAGAGAAGAAAGGATAGAAAGAGAGGAGAGAGAAAGGAGAGGAGAGAAAAAAGAGAAAGAAGAGAGAGAATGAGAGAGAGAAAGGAGAGGGAAAGGGAGAAAGGACAGAGGGAGGAGAGAGAGAAGAGAGAAAGAAGAGAGAAAGAAAAGAGAGAGACAGAGAGGAGAAAAAGAAAAGAGACAGAGAAAGGGAGAGGGAGACAGAGGTCACACCATTCAGAGAGAGCACTCTAACAGGTGTTTGGGTAATCAAAATCTCCATCATCCTACCTCTGTGATGGTCTTGTAATCTGGTTGCTGAAGTCATCCATTTCCTCCTTCTGTCCAGGTGCTCTGTGGTGTGTCCCAATGATAATATCACTACTGTTTCAGCCTCCACTGAGCTTCATCCAAATACTTCTTGCCTCTGGCTCCTGAATGTTCTCCCATGATATATCTTCCTAATAGCTACCCCTCCCTTTTTTTTTTTTTCAGTTATTCTGTTTCTTTTGAATAAGGTATACCATTCAGGGCCATTGCCTCCCCACCTCCTACCCTTATATTGGTACCTATGAAGGGACCATTGAGGAAATTTACCTACTTTTATTAGGACCTCTAGTTTTCCTTATTGGTTGCCTAAACTTTGGCCATTTGAGTATAGACACTTGAGATCATACCTTTTACTGCTAGCTCCTTCTTGGTGTCTGAACCACTATTCTTTCTAAATTGTCATTATTTTCTGTGGTATCTAGCTTGGTGGGTATATGTTGGGAATGTTCTCCCTCTCCCATTCTTTTCAGTGTAAGGCCCCTTTGGTTATTAATTTGCAAGACCCCAGGCAAATAAATTCTTATTAGCCTATGTTCCATGTATTCTGGAACACACTTTACATCTGCTGCCATGCCTAGGTTCATCTCCACAGAACAAGACGCCCCTCCCAGGTTGAGCTCATCACTTTTTCTTATTGTTGTTTGTCCTTCACCGTGAGCTACTGACTCAAGCCTTCACCGTAACCACCTCCTCCAGCCTCCTCTCCCCTCTGATTGGAGGCTCGAGGCTGGACTACCAAACTCTTCCCCATGTCTTCCTTCATAGAGGGCAGAAAGTGGACTCTCAGCTCACTCTGCTTTGCATCTGCTGCCCTGCCTGGTTTCAGCTCCCAGGAACAAGATGCCCCCGTGCTGTCGGGTCCTCCCTGGTGTCCCCCTCCCCTTTCTTTCTTCCTTTTTCATGTTGTCTCCCCCTTCAGACTGTAAGCTCCTTGAGAGCAGGAACTGTCTTTTCTTTTCATTAATTCTATCTCCATTGTATAGTGCAGTACCTGGAACACAGTAGGTACTTAATAAATGTTGATGGGGTGGGGCTGGATTGGAGTCTGTGGAGTCCACATTTTAAGCCACAGTCTCAGAAGCCAAATCCCCTTCTTGGCCAGCATGTTCTTAGCTAGTAGTTCACCTCCCAAGTGAGTTTTTCTCTTTTGCACTCTATTGGCTGTGGTGCGAATGCCTTCTGTGCTCCTCTGGCCTTCAGTTTCTTGTCTGAGATTTCAATACTTTCTAGGCTCTTTCTGGCACTATAATTGGTGCCCACGCAATGCATGAGAAGTGGGTAGTGGTCTTGGGGGAAGGGCCTCTGTTATGTTGTATACCAAGCCCATCTTATTGCTGACAGGTTGACAAGTGGCTATCCAGTTCCCCCTGAGCAGGGAGTTCCCAGCCACTGCTGCTCTGTCCTTCCCCTCTCACCTCATAGCACCATTATCCCTGGGAAGATGAACAGCTGCTTCCCACCTCCTCTTCAAGAAGAGCCTCACATTTGTTCTTTACTTGTAAGAGTAGAGTGGTCCTTCTAGTGATGGCTAGGGGGCACCATGGTGCACAGAGCGCTAGGTCTGGGGTCAGGAATGCCTGAGTTCAAATCCAGCTATGCTAGGCCTGTCCTTGTCCACTGGTGATGCATATTGTATTCCACTGGCATGTCTTCTAAGAATCCAGGGTCACTTTCACACTATGATGGAGGAAGCATGAGATTGTTTTAAATTAAAGCAGGGTAGTTTATGGCAGATAATTTTTATTATGGTTTTTGTGTTCTATCAAGGGCTATCTCAGTGTGGCTCATAGGGAGATAGGAATAGATAGATACATCCCTAGTCTCTCTTCTCTGACCCTTATTCAAGGGAGACTTTGATTCTTGTCATTAGGGGCAGGGCCAGAGGCCAGCCACCCTGCTCTCCTCAGAGGGAGGGGATACCAGGCTAGAGTGATATTTCTGTTTCATTAAATATTGTTGGTCTAGAGGACATAATTTTTAAGGTTCATGCTAAACGTCTGATCTCTATTCATAAACAGAGAAAAGGAATCTCAAGCTTTAAATCTAGGGCTTGACTCCCTTCCTGATTAAACACCAGTTCCACAATGAGCACACATAACAAATATCAAATAAATTTATCTAGGTTGATAGCAAAATAAAAAAAGAGAAAGTGTATGAGCAGATAGATATGCACCAGGCAATGCAAATTGAAGGAGCTTTTCCATTGGGAATGAGGTAACTCAACTCAACCAAGAAAGAGAAAGTCCTACATCTTAGCCAAAGGCGAAATTCTTCTGTGTCTCTAGTGCAGCAAGCTGTGGTTAGCTACATGATGGAGATTTCCAGCTGCTCCAACTTCTTCCCAGAGTCTTTCTCTCCCTTTAGCAACTTGAAGAGAGGTTGGCATCACAGATTTTCTCTCTCATAGCTGGAAGCCGGAAGAATCTGGAAGCTCAAGAAGCAGGAAGGGAGAAGAACATTTCTCTCTGGCTCTTGCCAGCTCTGGCCTGCCTGTCATGCAGGTGTGGGGACATTGAGTCATCAGTATCCCCAGTGAGGAGAGAGCCCCATACCAATGGGTCTTGAGACTTGGGCTTTATTAACATTAACACAGCAATTAACATTTTAGATTCTCTAAATGTGTTGAGTTAGATTTCATTTGTTAGCCCATAAAGGGAAATGGAAGAATTTTGTCACTTTGTCCCAAAAAAATATTAATGTGTTTCTGAGTATTGTTCTCTTTATGATAAATCTCAGAGCAGAGGTTCTTAATCTGAGGTCTGGGAATTTAAAAAAAAATTTTGTAATAACTATATTCCAATATAATTGGTTACCTTTAGAATCCCGCATGTTTTATTTTATGCATTTAAAACCATGTTTCTGAGGTATTTGTAGGCTTTGCTGGACTGCCAAAAAGATCCATGATGCAGAAAAGGTTAAACTAGATGAAGGATAGGAAGTTCACCATTAGCTCCCTTCCCAATAGTGTATTTTTGAAATTTCAAAAGTTCTCATTTTAGTGAAAGTGACTGTTTTTGAGCTCTGCTCCTCTAGTCTGCATCCACACTGTTTCTGTTCTTTTAATCATTCAGGTTTCAGACAGTATCACAGATGGTGAGAGTCTGGAGAAATGAGTGTTTGAGAGTTTTCCATGACAGATTAATTAATGAACACGACAAGACTTTGGTTAGTATCTCTAAATGTAATTATGAACATAAGACTATAACTGTGCTCACAGTTACTCACTCACAGTATTGGTGCCTTCATGCAAAGGGCCAAAAAACCTGGACTTAGGAGTGATTTTTTTTTGGATATTATGTAGATGGCTGAAAACCAACAAACCAACATGGAATCATGTGATAAAGATAAACAAGCACACACAGGAAGGCTACATTATTTAGTACCTTTTTTATTGGAAAAAAAATTGAAGCCACAGACAAAACGTTCATCCAGATTCTGCTTGAAATGATAGCCAGGCAGCAGCAGGGTTAAGAATTGGCTGGAGTTGAAGTTAGGAAGATCTAATCTTCTTCAGTCTTGTCTCAAGACACTTAATAGCTGTATAATCCTTAGCAAGTCACTCAGTCTCTCTCAGCCTCACTTTCCTCATTTGTAAAATGGGGATAATAACGGCACCTACCTTCTAGAGTTGTTGTGAAGACCAAATGAATGGACATATGTAAATGGCTTTGCAAACCTTAAAGCAAGCACTATAGAAATGCTAGTTGTTGTTACTATTAATTACATGGAATTTCCAGTTGAATCATTTTAGCTAGTCTACTAGTAAACATTCCTTTTTGGACTGGTGTAAGTCCCCCTTGCTTTGTTTCTTACTCCATCTTCTTTTGGAAGGTACAAGATCATATCCGGGCCTTGGTTCAGGAACATTTCCTGGATGACTTGGAATTTGTCATGAGAGATCCTATACTCTTTGGAGATTTTAGGATGGCCTTGAACGAAGAAGAGCCTCGGATTTATGAAGACATCCAGGATTATGAAGCTGCAAAAGCTCTTTTCCAGGTATGGCCTAGTCGGTCATCTTTAAGGTGGCCTTTTCTCTATGGTACCAACCTGACAGTCAGTTTAAAGATGGTGGATGATGGTGCACGAGTTTGGGTCCCAGCCCTTCTGTTGACATGTAGGGTGTAGGGGTGCTGAGATCCAAAATCATGACAAGTGGGTCCTCTCCTAAAGAATTCAACCCAAGCCTTCTTTTAGCCAAAGACAAGATTTATTAGAACATCCTTCATATTGGGCAGACTGTTAAAGAGTCTGAACATTAGTGAGCTGTTGGCTAAATTATAAGAACCCGAGCAGCAGCTAGATTGTAAGAATGTGAGCGCCTGAATGGAGACAAGGTGGACCTTATATACAGAAAGACTGTGGGGGAGATCTAGGAGTGGTTAAGTAGTCTGCAGGGACTGTGAGGTAATAGAATGCCGGGGACCTGGACCATGTGGCCAAGGGAGAATGGAGCCTAGCTAGGATTAAGGGTGGGAAGTGGCCTGGGGCCATAGGGAGGTAAAACAACAGAGGGCTAGGCTAGGATAAGGGTAACAGCATTGGGAGACTGAGCATAGGCAATAATGAAAGGCCAGTTGATAGGATTATAGCCTCAGGTGACTACCAGAGATTTGGCCACTTGGAAAAGTCCAGGGCTTTTCCTTTCTGGGATCCAGATCCCAACCCCATCACTTCCATCCACTTTATCATTGTTTTCATTTCATGAGCTGAGCTCCAGGGAGAGGGGCTGTGGAGGGGAATTTTGTACTAATAGGTGCATGAAAAAGAGAGTTACCACAGAAAGCTTCCAGCTGGGACCCTCTGCACACCAAATGGGGCAATGTTTCCAAAAGTCCTGTTCTGAAGTGAAATGTGGTTTATTTCTCATTCTGCACCAATAATTCGATTCAACAAAATCAAATGTAGTGTAGTAGATATAAGACTGGCCTTGAAGTCAGAAGGCCTGGGTTCCGGTCTTTAACTCTGATGTGTGGCCCTGGGCAAGTCACTTACCCCAGGCAACTCTCTTAAGAGGTGTGGGGTCATGAACTTTTTTTTGTTTTTTGTTTTTTGCATTCTGATAACTGTATCTCAATAGAATTGATTTATTTCACAATCCTATGTATTTTATTTCATGCATTTAAAAACATTATTCTGAGATGGGGGGTCCTTAGACTTTTCTGCCCTGCCAAAGGGTTCCATGGTGACACAAAACCAGTGAAAAATCCTTGCTGATTTTCAGGGGACAGCTAGGGGGCTCAGTAGATAGAGCGCTGGCCCTAGAGTCAGGAGAACCTGAGTTCAAATCTGGCCTAAGACACATAACACTTACTAGCTGTGTGACTCTGGGCAAATCACTTCATTGCCTCACCAAATAAAATAAAATAAAATAAAGTTTGCAGAGCAGGTGCTGATCTGCTATGGTGGCAGGAGTTTTCTCACTGGGAAAATTCATTAAAATGATGAAATTGCAGATATGGAACATTTTTTTCTCCCACAAATATTAAATTTAAAGTTCAAGATAATGAGGTGATTTT